GCCACTAAAGTCCCCCTCCTCCCCTCCTCACCCCTCTGCTTCTCCTTTGGGGACAGGCGTGCAGGCACATGAAACAGCTGCTGTGCTCCAAAAAACCAATTACAGAGGCCCCTGGCCCCCTGCTTGGCTACTTGTAAGGCCCAGGGAGGGGGAGAGTGCGTGATTGTTAGCACCCACAGATGAGTCTTAACAAGGGGGCCAGCACCGGGACAGTCAGATGGGGGACAGAGGAGGCTCAGGATATGATTTATACAGACAGGGCCTGAGTGTATGGGTGGGATATTGGGAGTATTTCATGCAGGAGAGGCTTTCATTGATGTTGGTTCATGCTGTATACTTACTACGAGTCAGATCTAGATGGGCTCAGGTGTGGGATACGCTCATGGATCTGAGCTGGATCAACTTCAGTCGGACAAATCATGAAAGATTCCTTTTACATCAGAGATACAAAAAAAAGTACAGATTAAAATATAAAATGCAGGAGACATTTAATATTTTAGTGCCACTGTGAATCACATTTCCCCTCCTGTGTTTCATTTCGATCGAAATTTTGAGTGAAGGGACTCGAAACAGCTCAGGTGTTGAAGCTATTGATCCTCTTTCTAACGGGCGAGTTTCGGCAGGGGATCTGAATGAAAAACCACACGAGCTAGCCTCATTAAAATACATTTTTTGGTCCCCTGAGAGACCTGTGAGAGCTGGACTCGGAGTGATATAAAGCTCTGTATGAAGTCTTACTATAATGGGGAACAAATAGTCTACAGGTAACAGAGGATTTCTTTGTTTACTCTAGGAAATCAGCCACCGTTTTAACCATTTTTATGACAGGGATTTGATTCTATATGGATAAATTTACCGTAAAGTTTTGAATCAATTCCCGCCCAGATTGTGGGTGTCATGATTGAGGAAGAGCTAACCTTTGCTCTGCTGATCAGACTCTACCTGACACACAACACAGCTGCTCGCACAGGCTCTATCAGATCTGCAGAGACCCTTACTACCTTTAAGAAAAACTAGACTTATCTCTTTAGGAAACACCTGAGCATTTAAAGGGATATTCTGGCGTAAAATTAATTTAGGGTCAAACACACCGTAACACTGAGTTAGACATACCCTCGAGAGATGAATGTTGCCGACTGCTTGCTTCTCTAGTTAAACCAACTTTAGTAACGACCGCACGATAGCAATACACAGCGGTGTAAAGAGCCATAAACAAACCTCAACCAAAATATCTTTTTAACTTTGCCTAACTTCTTTCACAAAGAGATGAAACACAACTCACCTACTCTCTTCCAGCAGCCGCTTGTTTGGCCAGTCCATCAAGACTACAGTGGGGTGTCGCAGCTCAAGGAAGAACATTTATGATAATTTCCTTAAAGTAACAATCACCATATAAATTATTTCACACTGCAGACGCAGTAGTTCTTCTGCCTTAGCTTCATTCTCATAAAGAAATATCCCTTTAAGCCCCGTCTGTTAGATTTCAGGTATTTCAACTGGAAGTAAAGTTCAGGGCTAACATGTGAGGCGGTGTTGTAATCGTTCAAAAGTTTAACTATTTTTCCAAACTCCCCACATTCCTTCAGGGGACGCTATCTGCACTCTTTGTTTGGCCTCGGGGGTTGAAGAGGATTTAGCTGATCTCTCTGTTTGCTCTTCACACAGATAGTTGAAACATTTGACTGATCGGTCAATAAAGGCCCCAGAAAGTCATCATCTGAAGACCTCACCCCTTTGGTAACCCTAAGATCAGTGAGGTCAGGAGGTCAAGATAATCCGCTATCACACATCTACAAAGACACGCATGAATACTCATATATAATCCCGACACACATGCTCACTGATGCCTCGCAGACTCAAAACAAATAACAGTCAGAGTGATAAATAAGTGATCAGCTGCACTAAATAATTAATTGTATATATTAGGATCAGCAACAATGGTGCGACTTTTTTTCCCTCTTAAGACAGAAATGATAAAGCGACGGATAAATAATTCAGCGGGTGTCTGCGGATCTGTTTAAACACGGAGCAGTTTGCAGGGAATCACACACCTCCGGCAGAATGTGTTGACGGTGTGTCAGTATGTGGCTGTGAGGTGCGAGATGACTGTATGACACACTTTTTTATGGCATCCGGCACCTTCGGGTGTCCCACACACAATGTTCATAATCAGGTGTGAAAGCTTTAATACCCGTCTTATGAATCTCCCCCTCCCACTCAAAAACATACTTTTATCTCTAATCACTGACGCTGCGATGACCTACTTTTCTCTGGTCCAGTGAATGTCTCTTGGAGTTTCTAATTTGCTCCAATAGTGTTGAGCATTTTACCCAAAACACACCGTTACGACTACATAAATGTTGGTAAAGTATAATCCTTTAAAGGATTTTAAAATCGCTGTAAAGAACTTTAGGTTTGTGTTGATTTTGGCGCCCTCTGTGGACAAAGGTACATCTTACTTCTTTGCAGATTTTGTTGTAGATTTTGTCAGTGTTTCTAATTTGCTTATACAATATTCAGCATTTTACCCGAAACACACCATTACGGCTACATAAATATTGGAAAAGTAAAATCCTTTAAAAGATTGTAAAGCTGCTGTAAAAAATTTATGGTTTGTGTTGATTTTGGCGCCCCCTGTGGACAAAAGTACATCCCATTTCTTTGCTGATTTTGTTGGCAAAGACTGTTTTTACAAAAATCACATCCTACTGTCTACTAATGCTGCATTCGAGTTACCTCGGAAGTCAGATATCGGAGCTGGGAATGACGTCACACCTGAGTTAAAAGCGTTTTAGTTACCAAGTCGGAAAAAAGCAAAATCGGAGGTGGAAACAAGATGGCTACATCTACGAAAGGAGATGCTAAAATAACTTAAAATAACTAAAATTACATGTGCTAAAATAACTTTCGTAGATGCAGCCATCTTGTTTCCACCTCCAATTTTGCTTTTTTCCGATTTGGTAACTGAAATGATGGACACCCGACTTCCAAGGTAACTTGAATGCAGCATAACAATACAATTTTTTTTACCGTACTTAAGGTATTTATGGTAGAATATGTAAAAAATCAAACACATAAACAGCAGTTTGGGTATAAAAATGTCTGCTGCTGATGACTTTGTTTTTGTAGTTGCAAATCGTAAGGTTGACTACATTTGGTTTAAAACTTTTGACCTTTTAGGATCGATATCTCAATACGCCGACGACTCCATTCTTACTAAAAGTCACAGACTGATAGTCTCCCCCTGAAAAAAACAGGATGTACAATAAAAGATGTGTGTTTTGCTCTTTTTAACAGGCTTTTAATCATCTTGTGATCCCTCAGATTAAAGTGCAGCTCCTTAGGGTATCTCCACCCCCAGCCAAGCTTGGATTACAGACAGAGAAAATCCAGTAAGTACCCCAAAAGCCCCGGGTTCAGTTGAGGTTGCTTTATTGTGCTAATCAAGGTATTTGTAGTGATAAAGAAGCGTATCAATCAGGAAACATTATACAATGTGTCTCAAAGCCCTCTGCGGCTAATTAATCATTACATTTTAGTGCTTAGGTGAAGACATTCCTACATAGAGGTGTGTTAGGAGTATTGATCGGCCTCGGGCATGGAGGCTCTGGGAGTTTTTAGGTAATATGTTACACACACTCACAAATCCTAGAGCCCTCTGATCATTGAACATAATTGACCTCTTCCTGAAGGAGAGAAGGAGAGATATTTAAACTGTCTTATCAAGAGACGGGGTCTTAGTTTCCTAAGATTGGAGAGCAGCGAAACAACACAACAAATACAAACAGACAGGATCGTCGACTCAATTTAGTGTCTAAATGATAAAACAAGCCATGAGAACAATTGGGTATGTTCAAGTAAATAACAACAATATACGTTTATATGTATAAAAACCAACAGAACCCCTGAATTACTTGAAACTATCTTGTCCTCATTATGTCACTATCTTTTAAAGCTATCTTGCAGAGTGATCTTGTTGACTTAACATAAATATATATATATATATATATATATATATATATTATATATATATATATTTTGTTAGGATCTTACTTCAATCAACTAGTAATTACTCATTACTCTGAGAGAATCTTTTATGGATTTTTTTTTCTTTTTGAATTATTTTGTGAGATAATTTTTTTGAATTATCTTGAGCACATTATATCATTATATCGTTGAATAATCTTGTACACATGATAAAGTCTTGTCAACAAACTTTGAACTTTTTGGAATTTTGGGAGCTCCTTAAAAACCAAAGATGATCATCTACTTTCGTAGATGTAGCCATCTTGTTTCCGCCTCTAATTTTGCTTTTTTCCGACTTGGTAACTGAAACACTGGTAACTCGGGTGCAAAGTAAATCAAACGCAGCATAACAGTATTATTATTTTTTTTTCTACTGTATTTTTGACATTTGTGGTAAAAAATGTAAAAAATCAGACGCCTTAACATCAGTTTAAGGTATAAAAATGTCAGTTTGAAACTAATTTTAACATCTTTATATGCTGATGACTTTGTTTTAGTAGTTGAAAGTCGTAAGGTTGACTACATTTGGTTTAAATTTTTTGACCTTTAAGGTCAATCATCTTGTGAAAATTTTGTGCACATTTTGTAAGGATCTTGTGAACAGTGTTTTATGATTCTTGGGAAGTATCTTTTGGTATATTTTTTCCTTGTTGAATTATCTTGAGCACATTGTATCATTATATCGTTGAATAATGTACACATTATAAGGTCTTGTCTTGGAACTTTTTGAAAATTTTGTGGGCTCCTTGAAAAACAAAGATGACCTCATTTAGAGTAATTACGGTAATGATTTATCTCCATTCAGAAAACCTCATATTTTCAGATGAATGTGTTTTTCTCTCTTTTAAATGTCTTCTTAATCATAATTCTGGTTCAGTGATACCTTCAGACATATGGGTGAGAAGTGGGCCAGCTCAAGCGCCCCCACAGGTGCTTTTTTTTTGCGGTGGTCACGTGTGGACCCGCCCCGCCTCGCTGCCTCCAATAAAGCACGGCAAAAGTCACCGCTCCTCTTCCTTCGTGCCCAGCGAGGAAGACGCGCAGGACGTAAAACGAAACCACTGAAGCCAGCGTGTGCATGTGTGTGTTCGCGTGTGTTTGAGCGCGCACAGATGATTAATTAGTAAAAGAAAGACTCGCGGTAACTGGACGCCGCAGCTGATCCGGGGCAGAGGACACTGGCGCATGTGGAGGTTGTGGGATTTTTTGGAGAAGGCCAGGTGAGTGAGTGCGTGAGAGAGTGAGTGAGTGAGGCACGCGCCCCCTTGCTTGGTCGCAGTCGGTGCGTCAGCGTTTTTTCCACTTTGAACAGTGAAGCAGGTTCAGTCTGCGGTGGTAGAGACTTTGATCCGCGACAGATGAGCCCACAAACTCGGCTCAGTTCGGCATCCATAATTCACGAATTCACGTCCAGGCTGCGGGGGGATCCGCGGCTGTGTAGGTTCACGCGGGTGGAGAGGCAGGTCGAGCGACAATGCCACCATTTCTGCCCACGGGGGTTGATTGGATCAGCTCTCCTCTTAGCGCGTCTGTGTGCAAAGACTGCATCCACGCGTGCTCTTATCATGTCAGATAACCCCACGCAGCCTCCTCTAACTCTCTCTAGGTTTGCTTTTCTCGCTCAGAGCTCTGATTGTTCGCTCTCGATGCGCATCAAACACGAATGAGACGTTTTGGAAAATGTTTTGCGCATCATCCGGAGAGTTTTTACCGCAAAAATCTGTAATTCTCCCCCAAAATGACAGCGATGATAGGTCAGACACACACCCCCTTTATGATTGAGTGAATTAACGCCCCTGTTTCCGCCCCTCTCTCTTCACTCTCCCTCTTCAGTTTTTAACAGGCTGAAGCGTCACCGAGGCTGCCCGTGCGCACTGGAAACCCGGGATTCAATTGGTGGAAGCAGGAGGGGAGCCCCGGCCTTTTTCTACTGCAAGGAGGAGGAGGAGGAGGAGGAGGAGAGCAGAGTGAGGAAACGGAGGAGAAAGAAGCAGCAGCAGCACAAGCAGCAGCAGCAGGAGCCTGCGCAGTTTTTTACGACATGAGGGACTTCATCCAAACTGCGCACCGACTCTGCAGGATGCGCCGCCGCAGCTGCGTAGTTTGTTAGACACACACGGAACCAGACCCCCCCTCTCAACCGGGCCGGGACTTTATCTGCGACATCTCCATTGAGAGTTTTATCCGCTTCCTCGCGCGCTGTGGCCTTGCAGCGAATCATGAGGAATGTAAATACTTAGTCGGGCTGGATTTTAAACCGCGCACACGTCCCACGTTCTCCCTCCTCCTCCTCCTCCTCCTCTTCCTCCTCCCGGGGAGTCCGAGATGGAGATGGGGATGGAGACGGAGAGGGTCGAGCCGGAGCCGCCGGAGCAGGAGGGAGACGCAGAGCCGCCCATGCACAGCGTCCACGGAACCAACCGGATCAGACCGTCCTCGTACCGGGCCCTGAGGAGCGCCGTGAGCAGCCTGGCGAGGTTAGACGACTTCAGCAGGGAGAAGATCGGGGCCGGGTTCTTCTCGGAGGTCTTCAAGGTGAGTCCAAGTCTGAGTCTGTTAAGTTTTTGCCTTTTTTTAGTCAGAGAACTGCTGCTAAACTTTCCCAGTTCTCCTTGCTGTTAACTCACTCTGTCCATCTGTGAATGATGCGTTACCCATGGCAACCAGTGCATCTTGAACCAAAACCCATGCAGAAAAAGAAGCGAGTAACTTAGACTCTTTCTGTATCAGTGAAACACAGCAGTGATTTCTCTCTGCAATGAAATGTTATTGCTTGGCTTCCATATCACAGCATGATGGTGTTTAATTTAGTATACAGGAAAAATCAAATGAAATCGCTCTTGATGACTATACACATCAAGAGCGATGCGATTTTGCCACTTTCCGGGGGGAACAAAAGACTTGTCCCAGGTGGAAGCGAGAAGACTGACACAACAGCAGACTGACTGTTTTTCAGTTCAGATTAGACTCTAGTGTTGAGATGTCTAATGGTGCTGTGACAGCAATGCGATTGAGTTTGAGACAGTGAAAATACATATGGTATGTTGTATCTGAACAGGTTAGCTTACAAGCTAAAGTAACTTAGCGCAGGTGAAAGTTAAAACAAAGACATTTAGCAAACTGTTAAAGCACACAAACCATCGTCAGATGAGAGATCCGAAGCTATGTTGTCCTTCAGGTTGTTATCTTTGTAATGTTTGTGTTTTTTATCAAAAAGCACTCTGTTCTCCGACACGTAAACAATTAGCCGGTCGGCCATGTTGGATATACCGGTGAATCAGAAGTCGCAACAACACGCAATCTGATTGGTCATAAGTGGACACACAGTATGTGAAACTTTAGAAAAATCAACCGTGAAACGAAAAAATAAATGCTGCAACATCGCAGGACAATATCGCTGATGTGAACACTTGTATTGACAGGATACGGGTTCGAAAAAAAATATTGACATCCGAAATAATCGCAAGTAAAAAAACGCTCCCGGTGTGTAAGGACCTTAAGGGTAAAATAGCAGCATGGTGAGTACTATTGCACTTTCTGGAGTAGTGATGGGCACAGCAGTTCTTTTAGATGTACTGAATCATTAGAATCAGTTCACTGAAAAGATTCGTTCAAAAGATTTGTTCACCAAATCACCGAATCATTTAGTTTATGGGACCGGGAGACGAGAGTGTTTGGCTGTGTTACTTTGGCAAACTGGTTTGTAAAAATGAACTTGTTTAGAAGTCATGATGTTTTAAGTGTACTGTCCTATGGTATGCTATTTATCAGGTCTGCTTGGGGTCAGTGAATGATTCATTCAGTGAACGTTAAGAAGAATTCACACTGAACGTGCACCGTTCCCTCACAAACCGCTGTTGGGATGCTACGGGTTTAATGCACTACTTGTTACATGCTGTGTCCTATTGTATGCAAGTTGTTGTGGTGGCAATTTAGCAGTAAAAAAAAAGAAAGTAGTTTTGTCCAACATAAATGATTCCAGAGAGTGTAGTTCAATGCGTGATTCGTTCACGAAGTGATTCAGGTGTCAGTGCATTTGGGTCCCTCATGCGCCGGCTGCTGGCCTGACAATGCTGTTTCTCACAAACGAATCACTTGAGGAAGTGATGCAGTTCAGTACGTTCACTTAAAAGATTCGGTTCTTTTGAACGAATCGTTCGTGAACAACACAACACTATTCTGGAGGAAGGGTGATAGTTGAACAAAAACCAAATGAATAAAAGTATATTTAAAAAGATATGATTGCAGGAGGAAGTTTATGTTGATGGTGGAAATTTACACCTCACTGTCCCATCTTCTCTCTGCACGTGTTTGCACTGACCCACATGCTGTGTAAGATGGACACACAGTGCATGTGTGTGCGTGTGTGTTTTTGGCGTGTAAGGAGATATGGTCAGGACAGGTAGATCTGGCACACGTGTAGGTAAGACTACACTCCCTTTGTCATGCTGCTGCTCACCTCCATGGAGACTAATTCTGAGGATGGCCTCATCAGTGACCCACAATGAGCCGTCACATAGAGAGCGATGGGATGGTGTCAGAGATAAAGCGGAACAAAAGAGGAGGCGGCCGGCGAGAAAACGGCATCAGATATTTAATATCATGTAGTTTGTGTTTAGGAGAACAACAAAAATATCTTTACATACTTTATTTTGAACCTACAAAACTTCAGCTACTGTCTATTTTCAGTCAGTTTAACCTTCTTTTACTGTCGAATCTCTGTCCTAAGAGTTTTTTTTTAATTTTGCTGTTCAGACTCATGAGCCCACTTTAAAGAACAGACCAGAGAATTAGAGATGAGAGTCATCCTCATCTGCAGCTCTTCTTCTGTAATTATCTTAAGGGTGGTCGTGTAAATACTCGGGGTAATCACACTCTATATGCAAAGGTAACTGCTAGTGGTGACACTTAATTTCACGGTGTTCACAAACACTTGTGTGTCCATTCATCTGGATTTTTTTATGATGGCGTTTCAGAACAAGAAATTACTCGCTCACTGAGGAGTATTTTTTAATTTCCTACCTACCTCTTCTTTGTTTCAGACAAAAACTTTCACAGTGAAGTTTATTTATTTATTTATTTTTTCTCAAAAGTTATTTGGAAAAACTTTCAAGATTTTCCTTTCGACACGTTCAGAGACTTTGAGAATATTCAGGAAACTACACTCCTGGAAAAATTTGAGGATATTTTTCTCATGAAAACTTTGAGGAATTCCTAAAACTTTTAGGGGCAATTTTTAAAATAATTTTCTGAACTGTCAAATTTTCAAAATTTTTTAGATTTTTTTCCAATTGGGAACAATTGAACAACTTTTGTAACCTGAATTTTTCCCTTAAAAGATACTACTTTTTGAAAAAAAATTTTTTTTTTTTTTCAAACTTTGGAATTTTGCAAGGAATTTTTTGAAACTTTTTTACGAGAAACTTTCATACAAAAATGTTAAATCAAAAATGCCATAAATTTTTTCCTTTTTCTAGTAATTTGCAGATATCTTGGATAGTTCACCAGAAAATTTTTTGAGAATTTTGTTTGTTTCGGGATCATTGGGAAATCTTTAGTAAATGTTCCCTTGAAACTTCCTTTTTTTTCACAATTTTTCACAAACTTTTGTAATCCTTGGAAAAACAGAAAAAATTTTATGGAGTATTTTTTAATTTTTATTTTTTCTTTAAAATTCAGTATTATGGGAAATTTTAGGAGTTTACTGTTTGTTCATTTTTTATAGACATCCCCTCTTGGTGTCTTCTAAGAGATTTCCAAATTTCAGAAACTTTCTGACGCTTGTAGAATTTTTTTGATTTTAAGATTTTCTATAGTTTCACTTTGACGCCATGACATCTGTTTTTTTTCTTTTTTTAATCATAGTTGGGCGGTTCAGACTTAACTGCTGCCAACGTCTTTTTTTTGTTTTGTTTGTTTCTTAGTTGGCGTTAAGCTGTAGAGTTTAATAAGCTCTATTTTTGTCCAGGCAACCTCCTCCCACCAACTGTCATCATGGTAACTGAGGCAGGAGAATTAAATGATCTATAAAATGAAATCAAAATATAAAAATTAAACAGTTTTAAACCCAAGCATAACTTGAAGCACAAGCTTAGTGCTGTAAACATCTTTATTATCTATCAGACATGAGTTTCCTTGCTGTGTTTTGACCTTTTGACATGTGTGGCGTTTCTTGATTTCATGTGGGAAGGGCAAAATGTTTGGCATGGTGCATAAATAAATGCTTGCGCAAACCTTCAGGGTTAAAAGTTTTTAAAAAGACAGGACTGTGGTGTTGAAGGGCGAGTCCCACAGCCACATTTAAGCTCCGAAGAACCGTTAGATTAAATAAATCGTTTGTTGAAACACTGGATCTTAATTAAGTTAATTCTCCCTTCTTTGTATTTGACTTTTAATGTTGTGACTCCGCTCTCGGCTCGTCGCGCTCGTCTCTCCCTCAAAGAAAATAAACAGCTCTTACTCCTCCGAGGCCACTCCCTCTGCCGTGCCCTTTTGAATGGCCAATGAGCATGCAAATGTCACTGTGTTTACTGCCACTTTGTCAAGTTGGCACTCAGGTTTGGATTGGTTTGCCCTTTTGATGGCGCCATATAAATGCAAAATTGTCACCGTGGCTATCAGTCCTATTTAAAAAGTTTGCTGACATGGCTGACCGGACAATAGTTCCTGTACCCTGGATTAGCAGAGAGGAAAAGGCCTGAACGTTCTGCGCAGCCCCCCCTTCTCCCGATGTTTGTGCATTAGATTTATCAGCCGGTGAAACCTATGTGCAGCTTTAACTTGCATTCAGACTGCGAAATAGATGTCTTGCACTTAGATACAAAGGCTCTGGCCCCCCGCCATATTTGTGTGTGTGTGCTGCGGCTGTTATTGAGCTTCAGCTCCCTGTGCAGATCAATGGAGGCTCGCGGCAGGCGGACAGGCAGCCAGGCAGCCATTCACCTCTCTTATGTGCCATTGTGGGGAAAAAAAAAAAAAGAGGGTGAAAGGAAGGGAGCACACGTGTCAAGACAAATCCTTCAGGTGCTGTTTTTCATCTTCCTCTAAATGGGCTTCAAAGGGAGGCTCCTGGTGGGTCCGCTTGGCCTTGTGAAAGACTCTGAAGGCTAGAGAGCGATACAATCCCTAAAGGTTATTACGTATAATTAACATTCATTTATTTATGCATTCACATAACAAACACCGTGCTTTAGTTTCTGGAGACAGTTTGCTTTCTACATCAATTTGAAGCTCGATTATTGTCTTTTTTTGACTGTTCTGCTCTAATAATAGATCTGTAGGCATTTCAAAACCTTCAGTCAGAGGAAAAGTGAAACACAGCACACTTGTCCTATATTTGGTTCTCATTTGTCCCTCCACTACAGTCGGCACCGATTTTTTATTTTTCTTGGTAGTTTAAATTAAGTCACGACTTTTCATTCTCACTAACTTCTGATTCAAGCGCCGAATGTCGACTTTGACTGATGTGAAAAGTAGGAGGTGAAACTGAATTTTAAACCCGTTTCTGTGAGTCACACAGTCGGGAGCTAGTCATCGTGGTAATTAGCCTGATTTGGAGTTAAGCAATGAAAGTTTGTGTGTGTGTGTGTGTGTGTGGTCGTATTTAATGCGCACGTATAAGATATGATAATAAGCTGAAGGAGAGTAATTAGACGAAGAGGCTGGAGTCTCCTTAGGACAAGTGCTGTCGGCCTGAATGAGAGGTGTGTGTGTATGTGTGTTTATATCTGTGTGTGTGTGTGTGTGGGGCAGCTGCTTGTGACAGAGCGTAATAAGTTGTCAAACACTGTTGTGGTGCACATGTGCGCTTTGTGTGGTGTGTGTGTGTAGCATATCTAGTTTTCATCTGCTGTCAGCAACAAGGACAAAGGTTCAACATTGTTATCTTTGAGGTAATGGAGTCATTATATAATCAGATATGATGAAAGTGATTCAATACAGATTAATGAATGAGACTGCAATTATGTGACGACGACTGACCGTTTGGCCTGAGCGTGTAATGACCTTTCCAGCTTTTATAGCCAATCAGAGACGAAGGAGGCGGGACTTTCCCCGGGAAAAGTCTTCCCCGGAATGTGTCCTTTTCCCCCCAGAAAGTCGCAAAATTGCATCAGGCTTGATGTGTATAGTCAGGCGTGTCAAAATTCGCCTCTGAGTATTTTGTACTTTAGCGTTCTATGTTCATGTCGGCCCCGGTGTGTATGACCTTGAAACTGGTGGATTAGGTGACAGCTGAGCAGGTGAAAAAAACGGTGCAAGATATTCACAATAAATGACACATTTGACTGTCGGAAATCAGCAGGATGAGATTTTTTTTTTTTTTTTTAAAGTACCTGGTGGACAAGATAAGTAAAGACTGTTTTGTCCACAGGGGGCGTCAAAGTTGAGACAAACTGAAAGTTCCTCTTTTGGAGCTTTAAGAAAACTCCATTCATTGTTTTTCATATTTGAATGGTTTTTTTAATGGTATTATTTTGAGAGGTTAGGACAATGGAGAGAGAGATAAAGAAAGGAAAGGAGCACCAGACTGGAACCAAACCAGGTCCACCCACTTTAGGCATGACCTCTGCATTCAGGACTTGGTCCAGTGAGATGATGTCAATCAGTCTGCAGCTCGTCTGCAATGTTGCTCTAGTGTCTCATCTTTCTCTTGATGACACACCAGAGATCCTCTTTGGGAATCAGGTTATGCTGGTTATTATACCATGGTCAGCATGCCAGTGTCTGGTAGTTTTGGCGCTGTGGGCAGGTGCCAAGTCCTGCTGGAAAAGGAAATCTGTTGCATGAAGGTCTCTGAAATCTCCACTTCAGGCTGCGTTGAATCTAGACTTCATAAAACAAAGACGACCAGCGGAAGGAAACTTCTAGAAACATTGTCCGTTACTTTCTCAAATTGTTGTCTGTACGATACGGCAGATAGATTAGTTAGAAATGAAAGCCAGGTCGTTTCAGTTGTTTTCAGGTTAAATATGATCACTTCCAGGATCGTTATGATGAAAACAAAGTCTCTGATCAAATCTTATCAGTGTATTTCAGGCGTGAGGTTTTAAAGTTGTGAAAAAGATCCTGATGTCGAGACTCTCCGTCAGGACGTGTTGAGATGTGACCAGACGGTTCTTTGAAAATTCACGTTCTTGTTTCTTCAACCTTGGAAAAAAAAGGCAACAAAAGAGTTAAAAAAAATAAACCGCAATCCATCACCAGCTGTCAACGGTGTGCTTGTGATCAGTTTCAAATGTTCTGGATTAGGCTGCTTTTGTGTGTGTATTTGTGTGCGTGTAATTGTGCAGCTATTGGATGGCGGTGTTGGTATGGACGAGCCAGTGCAGACTTGAACACCGGCGGCTCAGTGTAGCACTTTTTCCTCATCATTCCTGTCCTTCCTCACTCCAGTCAGGGCCTGCTCCGCCGCCTCTCTCTGCACAAACTTTTTCACTTTGTGTGTGTTCTGCACAGACCCACAAACACAGAAAACACTCAGCCTGTCGTCACTTGAACCGCTGTGTTTATTGCTGAAAATATTCCTACTTAACTCGGGATTAAAATAGAGAAGTGTTGGGCAAGAGTTGCTCAATTATCTGTTTTTGGACCCCCCTTGTTTCCATGCCCAGTGTTGTTATGAATTTATCTTCGGAGACTGTGTGTGTTTACATCGATACACAATGAGTGTTTCCTCCTGGTCACATGTTGTCATGGTTGTCTTTGGCTGGCTATAGAGGAAGGACGCTGCTCTGCAAACACTGTCTGAGAGGGTGAAATGTTTGGTGTGCTGCATCAAATTTCTGTACATTTTTTCTAAGCTTTTCTTTTAGAAACATTGAAATAATCTCAGAGAATTTGGGGTATAAACTGTGAGAATTCTAAAAATATTTATCACAAACTTTCAGAAATATTTTACTTAAACTTTCAACAACAAAAAAAACTCAAAAATTGTAAATATTTTTGTACAGAAGTTATTCTCCTAAAAAATGGAAATATTTTTTCATAAGGTTGAAAATTTTTCTTAATTTTTTTGGGAATAAATTCTTTGTTTTTATTCATTTATTTTAAATATTGTTGCAAATTTTCTTGTTAAAACTTTCATAAATATTTTCTTGAAATTTTCTTCTATCTTTTCAATCTCAAAAATGTTGAGAACTTTTGTCAAAATTTTCAGAATTGTTTTTTCAAGTATTTAATGAAACCACTTCAAAAAATTATTAAATGATACATTATGACCCTTTATGCACACAATAAATTTATTTAGGCATATTTTTTTATATGTCCACAATTTTCTTGTTGAATTTACAAAAATATTTTTCCGGAATTTTTTGGGAATTTTTCGGGTTGGAATTTATTAGAATTTTTCGTCATTGACTTTTTTGAATTTTCTGAAACATTTCTTTTGAAACTTTTTTGAAAACATTTTTCTAAACATTTTTGGAAGATTTCTTCTCGTCTCCCTGAATTCACTTTTTTTTCACAATTTGTTCACATACTAGCGGGAAATAGACCATATATTGGAAAGTGTCACGACATTCAGTTCTCAGAAATGGTGATCTTTTTGAATCTTGAAGTACTTTTTTAGGAGGTAGTTATAAACTGTCACTAATGTGTTTTGGGGTCAGAGACACATTTCCTGTCAGCACTGTTTTTAAGTACTAAAAGTATTTAGTGTACAGGAACTGTGACTTTTGACTTTAACGGTCAAAGACTTAAAAATAGAAGATAAGCCCAGCAGTTTTCCTGCCCTGGTATGAACTATGGAGTCCCCCATAAATCAGCTCAATGTAATCTTCCATTTGACCCTGTCGAGGTTGTCAACACTCACTTATTCAGCTCATCATTAGAGTTTCATGATAGAAGTATGAGGCACAAAACTTCACCACAAAACTAATGAGAGATTTAAAAACAGTGGTGGGGTGTCACAATCTTTCCAAAAACCATTACTACGAGAACACTTCATAGAAAAGGGGGAATGTCCCTTTAACTTTGGGTCCTTCATTTGGTATTTCCTCTTTTAAAACATCATCACTCACTTTGTCGTTCATATAAAGAAGATAGACGGATGATAACGCTGCAGGTTACCGACTCTGAACTTGTGTTTCTATGTGTCTAAACTTAAGTGACCCCTCGTGTTTCGGCCTGTGCAGGTCTCAGCGAAGGAGGGGGGGGTTATCAGCTCAGTGTTATCTGCTCTGTGTTGCTGTTGTGTAACAGACCAGCCAGGCTGCTGTTTCTCAGCTTGTCTGCTACCTGGACGGTTCGCCTCCTGCAGCAGGTTGGGTTTCAAAACAGGGGGGACCTCCCTGCTCGCTCCCTGATGGACCGGGCCTGGCTGAGGCTGCACACACACACATTCTCACATCATCACACTTGTTTCGGGCCCCCTCTCACTTTAACAGAGAGCGGCGCCTGAGGCGGCGGTGGCGGATTTAGCCTGAGCCGCTCTGTAGGAGAAGCTAATTTTCCCCTCTCACATGTAGTGATCAGAGTTCAGCCCCTCGGGGACTTTTTACTCGGACTCTATTCACACTTCAGCTCATCAAATCAGTCAGGGCTGCTGATTCAGAACAAAAATGTGCCTCAGTCTGGTAAAAAGGCTGCATATTTCAGGATGATGATGCTTTTATTCTGACTATTTTCATACAAATGCAAAAAGGTCCTACACTTAAAGCCACAAGAATTTCTCACCGTGTCGCTTTTTCTGTTCGGAAAATGTAAAAATATTTGAACTTTTGCTCACAGCCACAATTTCGCCAACGTGACTGAGACCTTAAAAAACATTTCTGCACATTCTTTTAGCAGCTGAGTGAGGACACCGAGCAAACACAGGGGCTGGATCTGCTGTTCAGACAGAAAGGTCATGCCCTCATAGTTTTTAGGTATGCTGGGCGTTTTCGACAGTTTGAGGAGTAGTTCAGCGACTTTACATGGTGACGGTTTTTCTTTGGCCCACACATGCACAAAACTGGAAGATATGAAATTATCCCCCAGTGAAGTTTATATGACATTATTTTAGAATATTTATGGCACCTTCCTTTGGTTGCAAATTTTCATGTTGAAACTTTAATAAATATTTTCTGGAAATTTTCTTCTATCTTTTCAATCTCAAAAATTTTGACAACTTTTGTCAAAATTTTCAGAATTTTTTTTTTTCAAATATTTGATGAAACCACTTCAAATAATGACTCAATGATACATTATTTGATCCAGCAACAGATGACCCTTTATGCACACAATTAATTTATTTAGGCATATTTTTTTTTATATGTCCACAATTTTCTTGTTGAATTTACAAAAATATTTTGCGGAATTTTTGGGGAATTTTTCAGGTTGGATTTTTTTTTAGAATTTTTCATCATTTACTTTTTTGAATTTGCTGAAAAATTTCTTTGAAACTTTTGAAAACATTTTTCTAAACATTTTGGAAGATTTCTTCTTTTCTCCCTGAATTCATTTTTTTTTCACAATTTGTTCACATACTAGCGGGAAATAGACCATATATTGGAATGTGTCACGACATTCAGTTCTCAGAAATGGTGATCTTTTTGAATCTTGAGGTACTTTTTTAGGAGGCACCTTCCTTTTGGTTGAAATAAGAGCGTAAAACTTTTAACTTGTTGGCATAAGTGCATAAATGCAATTCATTCAAGATCCCCCCAAATGTCCCTTTTAGCACACCATAGTCATAGCAATGTCTTCCCTCTGCTGCTGTAGTAGAAACATTTCACTCTGCAGACACTGTAGGCAGCCTCATCAGAAACTTGGTCATGACTTTGTGAAGCTAAAACAAACTTTTCTGCGACTTTCACACGACACGCATATCTCAGATTATCTAGTCTGGAAGCCTCCATTCCTCCAAACACGTCTTTTTCACATCCCCCCCTTGAATGCATCCTCCATCTGCAGTCCCTGGCACATCCTCCTCTCCCTCTCTCGGTGCATCAGTCGGTGCTGTCGTCCCCGTCGGGCCTCGGGTAATGACAGACATCGCTGCACATGTTGGCTGCACGGAGCGAGCAGCAAAAGATGCCGGTGACCTTTCCTCTGCTGACAGCAGCACTTTACAAGGCCGAGTGTGTTTGAAGGAGAGATTTAGGGTGTGTCTGCGAGTGTGCATGCAAGTCTGGTGTGTGTGTGTAATTGCACCATATCATGGGGTTTGCTTCATGTAGGCGAGGACGTCAACATTCCAGTGGCGAGTCCGTGGAGATGACCAGTCGAGTGGTTGGCATGTAGCATTTGGACAAAAACACACACATACACACATACCTTGGTTGTGCTGGCAAAACACAGACACACACAGACACACCTGAGAAAATGCTGCCCTGTGAGTCAGACACACTCTCATCCTGTAATGACGATGAGTGAGAGGTTGTTTATTTGCGAGGCCGTCGGGACAAAGACACTCAGGTCAAGCCAACCACTGCTGCCTCAGCAGTTAGCTCACATTTGCACCGTAACCTGCCTGTATGAATCAAATGCGTGCTAATGTGTGTGTTTATGAGTGTGTGTGTGTGTGTGTGAGTGTGCAGCTGTTAGGATGATGCCAGACAAGCATGTAAGAGTTCCCACAGTGAGTGAAAAAACAGATGTTTGCAGAAGAGAAAAGCAGACGAGTGTTGTTTACCGTCCTGAAATTTGACATGACTACATGATACTGAAGATCAGGAGTGTTTGTTATAAAGTGGCTGAATGCTAGTATTACTATTTGGTAACTTAAAATAAGAATTAAAGTAGAGATGAGGGTAGAAGTGGGACAGATTACTAGCTAGCACTCAGCAGCTTCGGTAAAATGGGGATGCCTGTTTTTATTGTTTTATTGTTGCCTGTTTGCCTCTTTTTCTTTATTGCCATTCTTTTAGTTATGTGTAGGCTTTTTAGTCTCTATGGAGCTACCGAGCAGGAAGTATTTCACATGTATGTACTGCATCTAAGTGACAATAAAAGTGAAAGAGAAGTGGACATGGCAGGGTGATGTGTCTGTAGAATTCGCTGTTGTTTGACATTAGTTAACATTTCATATCACAGATATGTTACTTGTGCATAACATTGTTTGTTAGAAAGTGATTGAATGCTCTTATTACTATTTGGTAACTTTAAAATTAGAGAAGAAGTGGAATAGATTACTTAGCTCGCAGACAGCAGCTTCGTACAAATGGTGACGGGACACGGCGCGGTGGAGTATTAGCCGTTGTTTGACATTAGCTAACATTGTATATCACAGATATGTTATTTGTGGATAATATTGTTTGTTAGAAAGTGGTTGAATGTCAGTATTACCTTTTGGTAACTTAGAGTCAAAGTGGGATTAATTATGAGTTAGTGAACAGCAGTTTCGTAGAAATGACGACCGGACACGGCAGGGCGATGTGTCTGTAGTATTAGCTGTTGTTTGACATTAGCTAACATTTTATATGACAGATATGTTAAAATGCGAGTAATATTGTTTGTTAGAAAGTGACTGAATGCTGGTATTACTTTTTGGTAACTTTGAAATTAGAGTAGAAGTGCGATAGATTACTAGCTATCAGACAGCAGCTTCGGTCAAATGTTGACCGGACACGGTGGGGTGAAGTGTCCGTAAAGAATCCCCTAAAACAACCAGAGGTCTCAGTCTGCTCGTCCTCCATTAATCTCTCTCTCCGCACATGCTCAAACTTCTTCTCTGCGAGAGGAAACCGTCACTGTACAGGACTTTACATGTGTGATTTACATGCTGGCACCCATGCGTGCGTGTCGTCCTTTGCTGCAGGCTCAAGTGGCTGTGAGGAGAGAGGATTTAGCGCAGCAGAGATTGACTCTCATTGACTGGTAGTTAAGATGAAGAGGGCAGCCTTGTCTATTGTTAGCGTTACTCGCTGCCTGTCTGCAGCGCCCTGTAATAGGCTTTGTGGTTTTTCTACCACCACCACTCTGATCCGGAGCCCAACAAGCAAGAGAACCAGGCTAACGTGTCAGCCTGACTCCTTCAGCTCAGGCTTTGACCGCTCACACACACTGTCCTCCTCCCACACCATGGCGTTTTCTCTCTCTCTCTCTCTCTCTCTCTGCACTCTCATGTCAGCAGTGCAGTCTCAACATGAAATCCTCCTGCGGTGGTTCAGCGTTCTTCTTACCTCTGAGGACATTTGGTTTGCAGTCAGGCATCAGAAGCCTGATCACTGCTGCTAAGATGCAAACAAGTGCGGCTCCTTGACAGAGAAGTCAGACAGAAGCTTTCAAGCTGCTGTTATTCAGAACTGATTATTTTTATGGATTTATTAGTTAAAGAGTAAATGCTAAAGTTTTCTTGAGTTTTTTGTGAAATTGGTTTCTAGTTTTAAGAAAATAGATGTACTTTTTGTTATATACATACTCCTCAACAACTGTAGCTACAAAAAACTAATCAGCTAATGTCCGATCTAGAGAAGTAAAAACATAATTCAGCTCCAAGTAACATTGTGCTAATGTAGAGTGTCTTCATTCCCATGATTCAGTGAGCTCCAGCTTTAAATATCCTCAGTGTGCTGAAATATTAAAGCTCCTGTGAGGAGTTTTCAGCCAGTTATGAAACAGACTGATGTCAAAACCTTTTTTTAAAGACTCAGACGAAGCAGATGAAACTGATTATTTCTATTTAGGGATTTTTCTTTTTTTTAAAGATCGAAACTGCAGCTGCAGGGTAGGTGACAAAAAGTGAGGCACAGCAAGCTGCAGAACCGGCTGTGATTTGCATTTTTGACTGTTAAAAGAAGGAAGGATGAGATTTTTCATGTGGGATGAAATCAGCAAAGAATTACTGCCTTTCCTTAAGGGGGCGCCAAAATCAACACAAACAGAAAGTTCCCCAGTGAAGCTTTAAGGAGGCTTTTAAAAAGTTTTTTTCTGCTTCAAATTTGTGGACCTGACAGGAAGTACGTAGCTTGTGCAAATCTCTATGTGGATGTAATGTTAGAGTTGAGAGAGCTAAAATCGTTAGCCAGTTATGCTAATAGAGGTATCACCATATCAAATATATAAGGTGTGACGTATAGTGAACAGGTGGTTATGCAAACTTCAGACGTGTTTAAATCTTATAACTTTTCTCATGTTAGATCCCAAAAACGCACCAACAATGAGATAATCTTGATTTCAGAATCTTGACTGCTGGTAATGACCCACATTCAGAACTGGGTTTTTCTCACATACATTGTTAACACACACACACACACACACACACACTCCAACAGACTCACAATCACCTCTCACTTCCTCTCTCCTCACATTCTGCCACAGTAGCTCGCGCTCAGCTGCTGCCTGTGTGAAGTCGAACTACTTGCCAAGCAAATATGTACGAACATACAGCCTGTCACCGTGGTTACCATACCAGGCCGAGACATCGCCATGGCATCCCGTTGGGGCGCAGACGCAGCCAAAACAATCAAAAGAAACTTGACTGACCTGCTTCTGAGTCTGGGACGATTTCCAAAAACATGAAAGTGTTTATACAAGATCGAGAACTTGTCACAGTTTCATGTTATTACATTACAGGGTGTCAACTGACGGGATAAGTCTTTTTTAACGATTTATTTCTGACAAGCTGCTGCAGCCCTTTTCTGATCCATGAGCTGATGTTTATATTTATATATGTTTTTTAAAAAGTAGGATCCATTACCAGAACTTTTACTTCAGGGAAGTGAAATCAAGTCTTGAATTAAACTGTATTTAATGTGTCAAACTGCACAGTTTATTTTATCGTCCCTCTGATTTTGGATAAAAAAATTAACGTTTGTGTCTTTTTGTTTTGTTTTTTTAATCCAGGTGCAGCATCGTATGACAGGACAGGTGATGGCTTTAAAGATGAACATCCTGGCCAGTAACAGAGCCAACATGCTCAAAGAGGTCCAGCTCATGAACCGACTGTCTCACCCAAACATACTCAGGTAACCCAAACCCTCAGAGCACCTACAGTCCTAAACTTCACTATAACTATAGATGATGACTCTTGTGGTTTTCATGAAGATCCTAAACTTTACCTAAACTACATTTGAGTGTTTTTAAACTGCTGTTGGACAAGTGTTAAATGTTGATGTGCTCTACCGCAGGTTTATAGGAGTGTGTGTTCATGAGGGGCAGCTTCACGCTCTCACTGAGGTAAGAAGCTAATTAACCTGCTGCTGAGATAACGAGTGTAAAAAAATGTTTAATATCTAGAACCACTTTGGTCTCTGGTGGTGCTCTGACGGCTGTATGCCATAATTAAAATAATCTGGATACCTTTAATACATTTGTTGTTCATATTTTTATATGATGTCTGACTTTTGTGGTTTTGTTTTTTAATCTGAAAGTGGAAAAAACAACTTGTAAAATTAATGAATTACGCTGAAATATATTTCATTTGTGACTCCATAGTTTTTTTACCTCATAGTACATTAAAAATCAGTTTGAAATTGTACTTTAAAACTTTATTTTCTATTTTTTATTAACTCTTGATAAGTGACCAATAGAAGACCTCGTTAAAACAAGTCAAAAACGACTTGTTAGCTAAAGCAGGTTCCATGAAACAATACGATACATTAACAATATAATTACGATACAAATTTAATACAAGATGACCCAATAGAACACAAAAATGATATTATTATGATATGATACAGGAAAAGATGGCACAGTACAATAACAATTTAAGTACATTATAACAATACCTGATACAATCCGATAATGATACACAATAGGGTGAAATAAAGGATAAGCCAATACAAACAATGTAACTATGATACTGTTATTTTGAAAGGTAAATTGCTACAATAAGAATATAATATAATTAAAATACAATATGATAAGATGACTGTGTGTGTATATGTATATAAATATATATATAACAATATTATGATACGATTTGATAGAAGACGATACGATAACATACGATGTAAAAAGATGACACAATTCAATACAGTAGTTCTATAATTTTGATAGGATGCGATACAATATGATAACGATGTGTTACGATTTCATAAAAGACGACGTAAAACAACAGATAATCATAAAGTAATGATACAATATAGTAAGACGACATAATGATACTGATATAATTATGGAACAATACAAAAATATTGTAGATATTACCCCCTCAAAAAAAATGACTCTTTGATTCAAGTACTGCACACATTTCACCGTCTCCACGGAAACATCAAATAGCAATACAATCAAACAAACCACTAACATGTAAAGAGCAGATTACACATCACCATTATCACACAGGAAACACAACTTGAGCGAAAAGAAAAGAACGCCACGTTCCTGTTGCACAACTCAATCTCGAGAGTATCATCTGTCACCTGTGTTTGATGTATTTCACTGACGTTGCCGTGGTAACCGACCTAACGCTGAATAGAAATGCAGATAAGGGGGATAAGTTGCTCTGCTGCCTGAAATGGGGGGGGGGGGGGGTTTATTAGCGGGATAGGTCATCAGATTGGAATAACTGAAAAGGTCAGCCGGCTTTAAACCTGACAGGACTGATTTGATAAAATCAAATGGTGGACAGTGAAATCTCTTTAATAGTCTGAAACTGACTCGAGTCGAGGGTCATCAATTGATTAACCTGCCGATCTGTAGAAATTCATAAAAGGGAAAATCTTGATGCCTTTTGATTTTAGATGAACAACTTAAATATTTACTGATATTTACTCTCGACGAGCAAAAAGACCCAATAAGCCATAAAATAATGATGGAGTCAGTTTCGTTGGAAATTGATGGATGATTTCAGCACAGTTTGGCCATCTCAGTATTGATTTATTAGTCATTTGTTAAAAAGTAAGAAAGTCCAGTCAATAACAAGATAAGCTCAAGCGTCTACATGCCTTTTATTTTGATAGTAAGACACTTAAGTCCCAGAGTCCCAGAGCAATAAGTGAAGCATCTTTCATATCAACACCTCAGCATTTTCTGAATGTGTTGTACCCACTGTGTTTTAGTTTGTGTGTGATTAACCCTCATGTTCTCGTCCGTCACCCTGATGTTTCAGTACATAAACGGGGGTAACCTGGAGCAGCTGTTGGGCAGTGACGTGTATCTGTCGTGGGGCATGCGGCTCGGTCTGGCTCTGGACATCGCCCGGGGTCTGCAGTACCTGCACAGCAAGGGCATCTTCCACCGGGACCTCACCTCCAAGGTAACGACACACTCAGCGCCCACACTGACACTCTCCAGAGATTCACCTGTGTGACGGAACAAATCCTGCTGAATGACAAAGAAGTTAAAACACCAACAAATTAAACTTTTCAGAGCTAAAAACGTCGATATGTTTCCCTGAAATCCTTCCCAGCTCTGCACAATAACCTCTTACATCACTGTTTACACAGAGGGCCATATAGAAAGGAATGTGCACACACACTTAAACGTGATGTGAGTGACCTTTGACCCCCCCCTGTGCGCAGAACTGCCTGGTGCGCTGGGAGGGCTGCGTGTGCTCGGGCGTGGTGGGAGACTTCGGCCTGGCGGAGAAGATCCCAGATTACAGGTCAGTCCGTAACAGTCTATTCATCAAACCTTCTATCAACAGGGTGTGTGATTAGATAAGTCACGCTCAATAAATCACACTCCTCCACTTCTCTTTTCCGTCTGTATTTACCTTCATGTCGTATCTGTGCGAGCGAAACGTTCGCAAACGTCTCCCACAGCTTCTCGTTTCTGTCGAAGACTTGGGGGAAAAAAAAGAAAGGCAGACATTACTCACCAAACCCCAGTAACATTTTCCCAAAGTTTTCTCACACACTCTTTAGGGGACTGTTATTAATATCTTTCAAACAACAGGGAGGGGGAGCGGCGATGTTAGACCACAGACTCACCGCTCTGCTTCGTTTGCAGCCGTGTTTTTTAATACGCCGTGACATTTATGTGGCACTTTTTATTCCTCACCATCAATTCACCACGGCCCTGAACACACCATAAACCAGCAGCAGAGGAGTCACAGTTTTATGTCCTCAGCTGGTTCAACGGTGACTTCATATCTATGGAAACGACTAATGAAGAAATTCTTACTGTAACTCCACGAGAGGGAGAAAGTTCATTTAATTCGACAATTTTACCAAGTTTAACCTGTTTAAATATTCACAAGCACAAAAGATAACGACTATTTATGAATAATACAGTTGTGAAAATGAAAATCCTGAAATGTATGGTATTTTTTAATGCTTTTTTTATCTAACATGGCCCTTTTGAGTGATAAAAATACACAATTGGTCAGATTTTTAACTTAAATGTTGTTATAAATCTGCTGTTGGATGTAAGAATATTATTTATATTCACTAAATGTATCAAAAATTCAACTCAAACCAGTGTTTTCCAAACTGCATCAGACTCTTTTAAAGCTGCTATAAGGAATTTTTGGTTTGTGTTGATAGTGGCGCCCCCTGTGGACAAAGTGATTCTGCCTATTCCTTGTTTCCAGACTAAATCCTTATCAGTTGAAATGATCACTTCCTGTGAGTATTTGCTCTGTAAAAAGTCAAAGTTTTTCAGCCAACTGTCAATCATCTGGTCCAACACCAAGTTTCTGGTAGTTTTGGTGCTGTGGGCAGGGTCCAGGTCCTCCTGGAAAAGAAAATCTGTATCTCCATGAAGCTTCTCAGGAGATAAAGGTCTCTGAAATCTCCTGGTAGACTCCGGACTTGATAAAACACAGTAGACCCAAAGCAGTAGATGACATTTCCTTTTCTTCTCAGTCCAGGTGGGACTCTAGAAACTGACGTCTAGGAAATGACAATCCATTTCCTGGACTCATCTGTGTATCATGAGTCTTGATGCTCTGACTTCAGCCTCAGTCCTCTTCTTGTGAAGCTCCTCTAAGGTCTTGAATCTGCTTTGTGAATTAGCTGATTAGTGAATGAGCTGATCAGAGAGCTGAAATACCTGACAAGAAACTGGACTTTTCCAGAATATTGTACCCACTGAGTATTTTTTGGTCTAAAAGAGGTCTAATAGACGTCTAAATGTAGCCTAGACGACTGGTCTAAACTCAGGCTACCACAGGTCTAAAAATGACAGTTTTTTAGACGTCTAAATTTAGACCAAGTCTAAGTCTGGCCTATTTCTATACTACACCATATATTGCTCAACAGCTATTATAATTATTTTGGTTAAGTACTCGGACATCAGTATGCAACTCTAAATAGTTATTGAATAATGAGTTAAAGTGCAACGTCTAAAATCCGTCTAAAAATATACAGAATCTAGACGATTGGAATTAGGTCTAAAAAAAAAACAGACGTCTAATAGCCGTCTATTGCTCAGTGGGTAATGTCTAAGATGGTGGATTCTCATGAGCTGTAACCATCAAATTTGAGAGAAAAAGACTTGAATTGGGAGTTTCACTTCTTGAATTGAATTATGGGTAAAATTTTGACCTTATTTGAGACATTCTAACTTTATCAAGACTTTAAAAATATACAAGATTACCCAGATACATTTGGACGTGGATGTTCTCGACCTTAACCGCCTTATGAATAGGTAAAGACACTTTCAGACACACACATGCTGTACTGTATATTTCATCAGCTCCCCATCCTCCCTCCTGACACTGTTTGCAGTCGTGTAGTAAACACAGAAGTCTTTTTGAGACGCCGCAGATGTCACTGTAACCTGGATTAACCTTCCTCTGTTTTGTGTGTGTGTGTTATTCCTCTACTTCTGTTTGTGCTCCTCCACTTTGTGACTTTGATTAACTTTGTTCTCCCACATTTTAAGCCTCGAGCCGAAACACAACGGCTGAAAAGTCGATAATAGGGAAACTTGTGTGAGGTTGTGTGCTTTTGTGCAGCTATTAAATATGTATCATGTGTTTGCTCAAGCTTCTGTTTCAATAGGAGCTGCTGAACCGAGTTTCCGTCTCAATCGAGGCCGTGTTTGCTTTTAAATTGTAGTCAAACACCGTCGTATCCTGTGACAGAGAGAGGGTGATGTTGACAACCCTTCCTCGGTGTGTGTGTGTGTGTGTGTTTGTGTTGGAGGGACACCGCCATGATTGTGGCATTAAGGAAAGGAGGGGAGGAAGGAGAGGCAAGGAGAGGGGAGTTCAGGAAAAGAGCTCCAAATAAGGTCAAAGTATTCCACTCGTCCTCCTGCAGGATCACTCTTGTCCTTTTACTTTCCCATCATCCCCTCGGTGTCACTCTTACACTCCTTCTGTGCATTTTTCCCTGCGTTCCTTTCTGCACGCGCTCAGTTTACTCCTTCCTGCTGTTCCGCTTCTCCAAACCGTGTTTACATTCGTAGAGTCGAGCGTCTCTGCTCTCCTGCAGTCACTTCCTCTGCTGTATTTTTGCAGCATCATGGCCCACAGTAGCAGATGGAAATAGCACAGAGAGGAAGTATCTGCCAGCAGGGTGTACAGGAGTGTGTGTGTGTCTGTGTGTGAGTGTGTGTCTTTGCACATTCAAGCGTTCTTTCCTCTTTCGAAAATTGCACAATATCTGCACACAACTGAAAAACACTGCGGTTTCTTGGACACAAAGGAAGTGTGCGCAAACAGAAGACCTCTTGATTAGGTTGTGTGTCGATGAAATGGGGCGTGATGCCAGCGCGCCTCGGTCTTTGTGCGACCGTTTGTTTACCCTTCATCGCAGTCTCATAAATCACCTGAATGGAAAAATGTGTTTTCATCGCCTCTCGTGCATCGCAGTGAACTTTCTGAAGTCTGAGAATAAAAGTTGGTTTTCTTGAAGGGTTCATTTGCTGTAATTGTGAGCTCAACACCTTGAATTCATTTGAACACAACAGCTAACTGCTTCATTTGTCATTAAAGCTCCTGTAGGGATGTTTTAGCAGGTTACACAACAGTCTGAAATTAATACTGGCGCCTCTTTAAAGACCTATATGAGCAAACAAGACATCAGTGCCAATAAATGTGATTTACTTTTTGATCATTTTTAACCACAAAATCACTGCTGCCAGGAAAGCATCAGGTACAGCTTTGTCCACAGGGGGCGCCAAAGTTGACACAAACCAAAAGCTCTCAAACAGGAGCTTCAAATATGTTTATTTTTCTGTTGATTAAATGTACTCCATAATCTCACATCATTAAAGGGATATTCCGGTGAAATCCCCCTCGAGAGATGAATGTTGCCGACCACTTGCTTCTCTAGTTATACCAACTTTAGTAACGACCGCACGATAGCAATACACAGCGGACTGAGTATCCATCAACAAACCTCAACCAAAACGCCACTCTATAGCCACAAATAATTCTCAGAACAGCACCTAACTTCATCATCTACATCTTTTTAACTTTGACTGATTTCATTAGCAAAGAGACTAAACACAACTCACCCACTCTCTTCCAGCAGCCGCTTGTTTGTAGCGAGACTTCAAGCCAGTCTATTATTGACAACAGGGGGGTGCCGCAGCCCAAGGAGGAACATTTCTGATCATTTCTTCATGGAAATGCAATCGGGCCGAGACCCTAAGGCAGAAGAACTACCATGTCTGCAGTGAAAAATGATTAATATAATGATCAGAAATGTTCTTCTTTGAGCTGTGTCACCCCGCTGTAGTCTGTAATGGACTGGCCCCGAGGTCTTGCTACAAACAAACGGTTTATAACCCGGCGATCAACATTCATCTCTTGAGGGGGTGTCTTAATCGCTGTTACGATGTGTTTGGCTCTAACTCAATTTTACACCAGAATATCCCTTTTGATAGACTTTAAAATTAAACAAACAGCCATTCTTGTCTATGATGGTCTTGTTTACTCTTCTATACCATAAAAAGGTATCAATATGAATTTCTGTGTGTTCATTCATGTAAAAAAGTTTTGAACATGTAGAGGACGAAATAAGCAAAAACTACTTTGTCCACAGGGGGCGCCAAAATTGACACAAACAGAAAGTTTCTCACAGGAGCTTTAACATCCAGCAAATAGTCGAAATATCACCGAAGACTCTGAATATATTTGTTTTTGTTATTAAGTGGATTCCTCATCAATTTAACACAACTCTTTTAAACTCAAATGCTTGTTTGCCCCTGTAGCTGACACCTCTCTTCCTCTTCTTTCTTTCCTCTCCCTTCCCTCTGCAGTGAGGAAGAAGAACAGGAGCCCCTGGCTGTGGTCGGCTCCCCCTACTGGATGGCCCCTGAGGTGCTGAGAGGGGAGGTTTATGATGAGAAGGTAATGACAGATAGCCTTCCTCATTAGCCCTCAGCTGCCGGAGTTCAAGGTCCAGCGTGGGTGTGATGAAAGCAAATAAAGCGGCAGTGAAGTGAAGCAATAAATGTTTAATAAATCAGTTATTATGTGAAAGGCGAAGAGGAATGGAGTTATGTAAGAGATAACATTCCTGGCCTTTGTTGCTGCTGCTTTTCTGTACAGCTGAGTGGAAATTATGACGGCCTGTTAGTGTTTCTTTTTAGGGATGGTGATGATGGAATATTTTTAGTTATGCAGACTGTCTGGGACTAAAAGAAACTACTACTTTAGCTGAAACCAGAGCCAGAATGTGGATTAGATTGACATTTCCAAACATAATATAAATTCGCATGGCTTACAAAACAGGAAATAAAGATTTTCTTGTCTTGTATTTAAAGAGAGAGGGGATGCCAGGTGGTTTGGCCGCTTTGTTTACGATCAACTGCTGAAGACGGTAAACTCTGCATATTTGAGACTAGTGTGAAATGAACAGGCTTTCACACTTTTATTAGTGTTTAGGTCAGACTTTATTAAAACCAGCTAAATGAAGTCGACCTTGACATCTAGCGTCTCTTGCTAGTTACTCAACAAAATGTTTGGCATCCCCTGTTGGTAATATACTCGACCATAGACATTATAGACAGTATAACCCCATTTAAAAAAGCTGCACTATCCCTAAAATACATATTCAGAAAGCATTTGCAACTGCAACTTAAAAGCCCTTTCTCCCACTTTCAAAGTTTAACTTTAACTGAAAGACAGAATAAAGTATATAAGAAAGGAATTCAGTTCTTGATCTATAATCCAGACTTTAAAAAAAAAAATCCTTTGTCAGGTAACTTGATGAAAAATATATGGCAACGCTTTCTTTTACGGTACACTTATTAACAGGTAATTAACAGGTAATTACCTAGTAGCAACATTAAATTATCTTGTAATTACATGATAACTACTGAGTCAATACTGTCTAGCTACCAGGTAGGTAACCTTCCATCATCATGCAAATTTGAAGCCAAATTGCTCTGGTATTTCCAGGATTTTCTCCACTTCCTGGAACCGCAACTTGCGCAGAAGCATTGTACACATTCGGTGGGTGAGTCGCCGTGATAATGCTCTGCTCAAACAGCGTATCGCTACGCAATCTTCGCACGCCCACAGGCTGTATCAAGTGTCAATCATAGAAAATAAGAACCCCAAATAGCTTTTGAAAATGGAGCTGCACAGAAAAAAGAAAAACTAGACAGTATTGACTTAGTAGTTATCACGTAATTACCAGGTAATTTCATGTCGTTACAAGGTAATTACCTGTTAATTACCTGGTAATAAGTGTACCATAAAAGAAAGCGTTACCAAATATACTTCAATTCTGTTAAGCTCCTGTGAGGAACTTTTTTCTCTGCATCAATTTTGGCGCCCCCCTGAGGAAAAAGCAGGGGGGGCGCCTTGTTTATCTTGGCCCCCTATATACTGTATTTTTCGCATTTATGAGGCGCACTTAAAATCTGTTTGGCTTGTCGGAACACTGCAGCTACCGTAGAGTTATTGAATGAGTTAAATAAAGTTTGACTTATCTGTTTTGTTTGGCTTAATGCGCTTTATAATCCGGTGTGCCTTATGTATGAAAATAGACGCGTTCATTGACGGTGCGCTTTATAGTGCAAAAAATACGGTACCTAAGAATGACTTCCGACAAAAAAATCTAATTTTGTGGAGTTTTGACAGTCAAATGTATTATCATGAATATGTTAAGTGCAAAAACAAAAAACACTTTAAACCAGATCCAGAGTGTAAACATGGAAGAGAAATAAACACAGTGTGTTGTTGGTCAGTTTTGCTGTTTTATTGGATTTGAACTCTCAGTCTGTATCTCTCTTTCATCGGCTCATCTTCTTTTCCCAGGTGGATGTGTTTGCTTACGGGATCATCCTTTGTGAGATTATAGCGAGGATACAAGCTGACCCAGACATCCTGCCACGCACTGAGGTACCGATGACAACATTTTCATCACATGCTCATCATCCCGCACACGATAGAGCCCTCAATTATACAAGAACCTGCACAAAACGTTTCATAACAAAGTCACCTATGGTAACATTAGAGTCTTTTAGGAGAGTCCCTGAATTATTTTAGTGCTTGAAGTGTGTCAGTGTTTCACAAGAACCTCCAGCACCGGACTGTTGCGCAAGCAGAATGTCAAAATAACTGTGTTGTTGCACCAGAGATGATTTTGAAATCTAAAAAAGACAAGATATCTGATTTTTTTACCAGTGCTGCTGATTGTTATCTTGGAGGAAGAAGGAAGAGAGCAACATGTTTCAGATAAAGATTAAAAATTGCGAAATATTTATGCAAACAGGGTTAAAAAAGTCATTGTTTCCATACAGAGACTTAAGATTGGTTTATTTAACAGCAGATTTAGTGTAAGTCGTTTGCTTTCCACCACAGAAGCCAAACTATAATACACAACAAGGCATATTTATTCTTTTTCTAGACAGGCTTTAATAAAATATTATTAAAAGTTTTGTTTGCATGTAAGGAATCCACAGTAAAATTGTAGTAAATAGTAAACAACTTAATAATTGATTTAACTTTTTGTATTTTTTAAAAAGTATTCAAAAGATCTTAAGATTAGACTGAAAGAAGGGTCTGTTTCGTAGTGAATTGCTGATTTTCTTCTTTCAGTTCATGCAATTTAAAACTGTAGGGACCCCAGAATGATAAAACAAACAAAAGAGGAAAAAACTATTGTGCTTTTTTGTTATTTATTAGGCTTTCAAACTGCATTTTAAGAGAATAATGTGGGTACATGATTTTGGCAGTTCCTCATTAGAAAACAGACCAATAATGTAAATACTGTACACACTAAACAGTATGGATTTAGGTTACAGTATCGCTGTTCAGTTCATGTTTAAAGCACACACAGGAGCATTTCTCCCCCTTGTGGTTGTTTGACAGTACTGCAGTTACAGCCACAGACAGGCAGTACTAGTTCAATAAATCATAGAAGACATTATGGTGCAGGGGAGAGTCATCCACAAGCACCGTAAGCACGTGGTTTCTTTAAAAAAGGAAAGAGAAATGAAGGCAAACTCTTGTATTTGTGCACAGGACTTTGGTCTAGATGTGGAGGCTTTTCAGCAGATGGTTGGAGACTGTCCTCCTGACTTCCTGGAACTGGCCATCTCCTGCTGTAATGTAAGAAACATTCGTCTCACACACAGTCCTTTCCCTCTCTCTGCTTTCTCAGTTTGGTGATCTTGACTTTGCAGCAGGGTTGCTTGTGCACACTGGCCTGATTTTAGCTGATTTCACCTTGAGAGTTTTTAAGGTTACAGCTCATGCAAGCTTTAGCAAAGGTGCATGAAAGCAATATCTTCTGCAAAAGAAACAATCAGATCTTGTCTCTTCCTTCTACCAGATGAATGCAAAGCTCCGTCCATCCTTCTCCCAAATCGTGTTGGAGCTTGAGAGGAGACAGGCTGAAAGGAAACAGAAGGAGGAACCACCTTTCAAAAGTGAGGGAGTTCAACTCTTCATGACTGCAAACGTGTTTTATCCCTCTAATAAATGCTAACAATCATGTATCGTCTTTACAGCTATTTGCCCAGCGATTGGACCTCTACGAAGGCGATCCCTCGGCCTCCCCTCTGATCCCCGCCTCTCCCGCAGCAAGTCAGACATGCTCCACCCCCCAGACATGCCCACTTCTGCCACAACGACGACTCCAGCAGCTCGGGTCAACCCCTTCTCTCAGAGGGAGGACCTCAAAGGTGGCAAGATCAAGCTGTTCGACACTCCCAGCAAGTCTGTCATCTCCCTCACATTCACCCTGCCACCTCCTCCTGACTGCGACGACCCGGCCGCGACAGATTCAGACATTGACGAGCAGCCCCGGAGGCACAGGCGTTGCCACTCGCTCCCCTGCACGCCTCCTCCGTACCTCACATCAGCACCGAATACTGTCCTGACAGAGGAGGAGTCCCAGTCAGAGATGGACACTGTAGATGGTGAGACAAATGGACTGGATGAAGAAGAGAGACTGTTGGAAGGGGAGAAGGATGTTTTGGAGGAGAGTGAGACGAATCTCGGAGGTGATTCAGGTCTTCCCCTCTCGCTTGAACCTCTCTCAATAGAGGAGGCAGAGAAGGAGTCGGTGGAGGAGCCAATGGACTGCAGCAGCTCCCCAGATGCACAAGACAGTACCTCCTCTCCTTACTCTAAGTTATCCGCCACTCCACCCCATTCCTCAACTCCCATCCAACCCTCTACCCCACCCTTCTCAAACGGCTGGGGGTCTGCTATATCTAACGGCCCTCCATGCCTGCCTCCTTTATCCAACTTGGACAACAACAACGTGGTCGTGAATCGACCCTTGGGGTGGAACGCAGCAAATGCAACAAGCTCTCCAACCAGAGCTAACAACAACGGCTACCACTCCCCTCCCAGCGACCCTGCTGGTTCGTCCCCATTTGGCTCAGGCAGTGGACACTCTCTGGACCAGGAGGAGGTGATCTCCTGTCCAGGTTGCTGCCTTGCTGGTCTCCGCTTCCCTTCACTGTGTCTCAGAGCCCCGCCTCGCAGAAACCCCTACAAGAACTTGAACGGGGACCATGCAGCTTCACGTGGGCTGCTTTGCCCAGGACCCAAAGGACTTCCCCCCTCTCCAACACCCACAACCACCACTGCCAGCCTGGAGCCGGGACTTGCTTTGCCAGGTGCTCAAACCTAAACTCCTCAATAAAAGAAACTGCACCCAAAGCCCCTCCCTGGAAATTAAATGGGTTTTCTTAGAATTTGCACAGATTTTAACGCAGCAATACCCCGCTTATTTTCCGACACGCTCTTTGGTGCAGATCAGACTTTCCAGATCTATCAACTTAAACACACACCAGGTCTACTCTCTTAATGAAAACTGTGGGACAAGAAACCGGTATCTTGTTCAATTTCACCCTCTGCTGGGCTGAGGGTGCAACGACTCCAGAGGCGAGCCGTGCCTGCATTGAATTGACCAATTGGCAGCATCCAGAGATGTTCAGCATGTAAACACTCCAGTTTGGGGCCCAGTTGGTTCTTGTGTATATTTGCAGATGTAAAGATTTCTATGACTGATGAAATTGCTGAAATGATGCTGAGAAGAGGAATGTTAAGCTTAGTATTATGACTGCTGCAATGACTTTCATGTTTGGTGCTGTTTCTGAATGAACAGGCAGTTTTGCTTTAATGTCTTTAATTATAAGGAGGTGTATGGTGCACTGCTGGGTTGTGTGCATGTATGTGAGTGTGGAGTGGACTCATTGTGTGAGTGGCTGGATGTGTGTATGTTACTGTGTGTGTGTGAGAGAGGGTCAGAGAGGGTGAAAGTGTGTGTACTGTACACCGTTCTTCAGCTATATGATCTCTGTTGGCCTGGTTAAGCACTTCAGCTGTATTACTGTTGTTAATAAGGAAAATATTGATGTCATTATTACTTTTGGGAATGAAAGGTCAAAGACCTGCTTAATAGATGTACAGATTCTTATTATTTAAAGATGACATTGAATAAAAAGATTGAATGCAGTGATGCAGTCTTGATATTGATCTGCCATTTTCTGTCATGCTAGCAATTTAGTAATATACATCCAAGACTTTGATCGAAAATGTAATATCTAATGCAGTGGTTGAGAACCACTGATCTGATGGATTCTTATAAATTGTTTGAGTGCTATTTAAACACAGTTTGGAAATTCATAATTTCTATACTTTTTGCCCAAATATCTACAAAAATGTATCAAGTTATGCTTAAAAACTAAAGGAAGATGTTGGTTAAAGTAAAAGTTCCCACATTAAAGTCAAATACAGAGTTTGATACAACACCTACCGTGCTGATTTATATGCTAACTAAAACTTTTAGCCAACTTGTTAGCTACCCAACATCTAGCTAGAATTGCTTCATCGTAGCAATACTAGCTAGCATTCGGAATTATTACAGCTTATTAGCAATAACAGACACACAACATGCTAACAAATAATCGTTTCTGTGTTTGCTTTGGAAGCAAATAAGTTTAGGATAAAGAAGCGGTTTGAAACTGGCGACTAGCATCTAAGAGTGTTTGTATTATGGTATTAAACAAAAATATCAGTCTACAAGATGACACAAAAAATGATTATTTTATTAACAAACTCAATTTAGCTAAAGTTTTGAGTATGAAATGTTGGCTATGTATTAAGGGGAACTAAAATTTACAATTTTAACTCGTTTTTACTCAAAGCAGGTGATTTTTTCCTCATATTTTTTGACCAATGGGTTAAGCAATTAAGGTAAAAACGATAGCAGCACGAGACTTATTATTAAGATGAAGAGGCGGGAAAACTGTCTGGTTACACATCTTTGCGTTTGGGATAGTCTTGGTCGAGGCAGACCCTAATAAAGAAGAATAATGAAACATCAGCTCGATGTCTTTTTGAATCAAGATATACATGCTTTCATCTGTCTCGTCCTCTAAGGAGATTACAGCCGTTCCTCTCCTTTACAAAAACACTGGCCTTTAATTAAATCCTTATCTCTCCACCCCGTCCTCGCTCCTGTCTCGTTCTCCCCTGCAGCTTACACCATCATCCCGTCCTCCTCGGTACCTCAGCACAGGTGAATTAGCTGCTTTAAACGGAACTTGTGTCTCTACTGTTGTTAAGACTACCACTTGCTCCAGAAGTTACCAAAGTGCCATGAAGACTCCGGGGACACTCACGGCTCTGTCGAGGGCATCCGTGAGGTTTTATATCATAGTCGTCCTGCTCGTGAGAAGTGAGTACTGTACTTCTAACACTGTCAAAGTGTTGCTTTCTTGTCTTATTCCGTCCTCTTTTGGCTGTCAAACCTCCACGGGTTAACAATGTTGTGACAATCGGACTTAGCGTCAATGGGCATCTATGAGATTGTGCTATTTCGGTGTTCCGGCTTCGTGCCATCTTTTCAGGGTCGTCGGGGTTAGTCTGTTATACTACGGTGGAATCACTGGATTTAGGCTGCCTCCTGCGGTGGGATTGTCCTCATGCCAGTCCTAATACCACCTACACCGTGCAGACAAAGACTCAGGGGTAAGTAGTACAGTCTGTATGTTTCTGCACCTAGTCCCTGCAGACACATGACAATTGACCTTTTGCTCATTATTTAATACATGCAATAAACTTATTATAGCTAACAACCTATTCGTACATTAATACATATCTTACATAATGCATTACCGTCATTGCTTGCTTTGTTCACCTGCATGCACTCAGGAAAGTTTTTTTTTGTCCACTTTAGTTATGTAATAACTTAAGTATTTCAAAGTCCAAGCAGAAGGTACTTTGAGGATACTGAGGATATGTAATTGGGGATATTAACAGTATAGCAGTTTATGAATAGGTCAGCACTTTTACCAGCTGCAATGTACAATGATAAGTATTACATGTATGGAAGTAAATATGTGCCATCTGAGTTTGAATTTGAATTTCTAAAGCTGAATTTTTTTGCATTAAAATCAGACTAAGAATTTCGAAACTTGAATTTGAAGCATGCATTTTTATTGACACTTATTTATCGCAATGATTACATAAATTAAGTGTAAAAAAAATTAGTCTATCAAAAGATTTGTTTAGTAAAAATTCAACTTAGAAAAAAATGTGTAAAAAAATTCAACATAAGAAAAAAAATAAAAGTCAAAAAATTCAGTGAGAAACTGACTGACTCAACATCCAGGTAACCAGGTAGAGCAATCAACTCCTGGCCTAATCATACATTGTCCAACCAATCAAATAATGCTAGATTGGTCATGTGGCACAGACCCCAGTAGAAGATTCAGGAATCCATTGCTTCTCCCTGATTACCCGGATGTTGAGTCAGCCTGTTTTACACAAAATTTTTTGACACTGAATTATTTCACAGTGAAATTTATTTTATGTTGTGTTTTTTTTTATTATTTTATTTTACACAGTTTTTTTTTTTTTTAACTACACAAATATTTTGAGAGACGGATTTTTTTACACTGAATATATTTCATCATTGTGAAAAAAATAAGTGTAAATAATAAAAATGCTTCTTTGAAATTCGATGGTTTTGGAATTCAAAGTCTGATTTTGATGCAAAAAAAAAAAAATCAGCTTTAGAAATTCAAATTCAAAATCAGATGGCACAGATTTACTTCCATATACATGCATCAATAATAATGAAATAATACATCCTAATAACATAATACATAACGCTTGCACAAGGCTTTTAATTTTGATAAAGTTGCAATGTGAAAAATTGTCATGCCTAGGCGAAAAATATATTTTTGCCCTAGAAAGTTTGATGCCCTGTGCAGAACTCCATTATTGCGTCTTTCTGCATGTATCACCTTGATGTGGGTTTCCTCTCCTGCTCAGCTGAGTAGTACAGCTATATACAGTCTGCAGAAGTGCGGCAGGGGGAGACATTTGTACATGCTGGTTTTCATTAGCAGCACTTTGTATATCCTTCCACTCTTTTCTGACCTTGGTGTCCTTTGAAAAGAAGCATTACTTCAAGGGTTAGGATAGTTTGAAATAAAAGTAAAGTTGAATTCAAGTAAATTTTGTATAATTCTTCTCACTTCCCTCCATAGTTTATAATTCTTCATGATGGTTCCTTTGCTTGTTTTCTCATGTTGTGTCTAACACTGACACCGTGTCAACTCTGTCTGCAGGGACCCCTGGCAGGATGTATCATGGTGCGTTTGGGTCTCGTCCCACAGCTGCGATATCTCTCAGACCTTCTCAAACTTCGAGCTGTACAACATGATCCGTCTCGGCGTCCACCTGGACCCCTCTTCCACTGTCTGGATTGAGCCGCGCAAGTTTGACTACAGTGATTTCAGTCAGTGGCAGTTCACAGCTTGTGTAAAACACAAATCACATAAATGAAACAAAGTCTGCAGATTTGGATGAGAAAGGGTCAGAGGAGATTGAAAACCTGCTGGCTCTTGGCTCTTATTTTGAAGCGTTGAAAGTCCAATTATCTGTTTTAATGTGCCAGCCTGTAATTAAATCTAAGCTTTCAGATAATTAACAGTTCTTCCTTCTCCTTTCCCCCCTGAGACTACAGCCCTCCTTCTGTCACAGTCTCCTTGAAAGAGGAGCAGCTGTTGGTGAAGGTGCAGTTCCCTTGTGCAGCCAATCGGAGGTGCTCTATGGCGAGGTGCTGTCCCATCACTCAGCTGATTGATCCTTGGACCACAGTGACTGTGTACAACAGCCTCAACCAGTCTCAGTACCAGGTCTGACATGCAAATGGACTTTTTTTGTTGGTAATAAAATAAAGAAAACTACAGCCTTCAATCTCATACAAAGTGAACGAGTACTCAGTTGGATTGATGTGTTTTAGTAGATGTGAATTTAATACATTTTATACTTCCACCAGAATCAAACAGCTGACATTCAATCTTTTTTTTGAATAACTGATATCTCCAAAGACATAAGATTTCATGTAACAAAATTCAGTCGGTTTCTTTTGAATCTGTGCTTTTATTTTGAAAGGCAGTGCTTTCTGTTCTTGCAGAGCCGCACAGTTTGGACCCAGGAAGCGGTCTCTTATGTGGAGTTCTCAGGCTTGGCTCCAGGTCAAAATTACTGCGCTGTCGCCAACTTCTCCTTCCCGACCTTTTCATTGGCCGCTTCCCCAAAGTCTGCTCCTCAGTGTGTCGTGACGCTTTCCAAATCAGGTGAGAGAAAGACTTCACTTTTAAAGCCTGACATGCCTTTAGTAGGGCATGGTGGAGGCCGTGACAGTGGAGGTATTTTTATTCAGTCATCATTTATAAAAGTACAGATATTGGAAAGAAAGCCATGTAATATCCCCTTCAGTTTCTTTTTGATTCCCACAAACTATAAATCTTCATGTCTTCATAAGAGACAATCTTTTAACAATGAAGCAAGTTTTGAGAATTTCTAACTCCTAATGCCACAAAAAAGACAAAAAAATCTGAAAAAATTACACATAAAAAAATTTGTAACACTATAACAAAGTATAAATGGAAATGGAACAATCATAGATCCTCAAGGTACTCCGACAACCTCACTTTGGCTTGTCTTGTAAATAATGGGAATTGTAAATAATAGGGTTAGGGTATGGGTTTAGGGTTAGGGAAAGGGGGTTTGGATTTAGGGTTAGGGGTTGGGCTTCGGGTTAGGGTATGGGTTTAGGTTTAGGGGTTAGGGTTTCGGGTTAGGGGTTAGGGTATGGATTAAGGTTTAGAGTTGGGGGTTGGGCTTAGGGTTTGGGTTAGGGGTTCAGGCTAGGGTTTTGGATTGGGGTTAGGGTTAGGTTTTAGGATTAGGGGGTAAGGATTAAGGTTCGGGGTTAGGGTTTGGGTTAGGTTAGGATTTAGGGTTAGGGGGTTGGGTTTAGGGTTTGGGTATAGGGTTTAGGGTTAGGTTTAAGGGGCTAAGGTTAGGGTTTGGGGTTAGGGTTTGGGTTTAGGGTTAGGGGTTGGGCTTGGGGGTAGGGTGAGTGCTAGGGTTAGGGTTTGTGTTAGGGATTGGGGTTTGGGTTAGGGTTTAGGGTTAGGTTTAGGGGGCTAGGGTTCAGGGTTAAGGTTTGTGTCAGGGTTTAGGGGTTGGGCTTAGAGTTTGGGTTAGGTGTTGGAGTCAGGATTTAGGTTTAGGGTCAGGGTTAGGGGTTTAGGTTATGCGTTTAGTGATTAGGTTTAGGGTTAGGGGGTTGGGCTTAGGGTTTGGGTTAGGTGTTAGAGTTAGGGTCAGGGTTAGGGGGTTCGGGTATGGATGTAGGGTTTGAGTTAGATTTAGGGTTAGGGTGCGTATGTTTTGCAGTGCATATGTTGTTTTATCAGGAGAAATTATTTGTTGAACTTGTGTTCTCTCTCAGGGTTGGTACCTCTGCTGTGTCTGGCATTCGGACTAACTTCTCTGCTCCTTGTTCCATTACTCACCATGTTTCTACGCAAACCCAAACAAGATGAACCAGCTATTGAAATTCAAGCCAAGACCCAGGTATTTTTCAGAGTCAAATATCAGAATTTCCTTAAAAAATGTTTACTTTGCAGACAACTAACCCTGGTTTCTCTTATTAAGGCATCTGTTCATGATTCAGTAACTTTGGTCCCTTTCGCTCTGGAACCAGTTGACCATTGTGACATCCATGTTGAATTCACTGAAGACCAAATCTCCACTGACTCTTCCTCAAGCCTTCAGTCTGACCAGGACCAGATCTTGACCGTACAAAACGGCAATGAACCCATGCTGGGTGGTTTCAGCCCAGGTGCATCGTACTGTGATAGTGGAGGGATGGAGCTGGAGCAAGGTCTAGACTCTGGTATTGGCGTATCTCACCCCTCTGATGAGACATGTGGGGTAAATGGATACTGATACTCAACAACTCAGAGAGATTTACATCCTTATAGAGGTTTATGTTTACAGAGCCAGAATTCACCTGCCCTACTTTGACCCCTGGAAAAGTCTGGAGGAAATTTGACCTTGTTCAAGAGGTGGGAAACCATGTGAAAGAACAAGTTTAGTTCATCTCTGTTTTACCAATATCATCTCTTAAAGACAAGTAAAAAAGAAAGGTAGATGCCAAAGATATTGGCATTTGTGGTACTTAAATCTCATGTCAACCTTTTCAATGGAGCAGATCTGTAATGTTTATTCGTAATAATATTTATCAAGGCTAACAAAAGTCCACTACCAAGCGAGAACTTTGCAAGAAATAACATCCTTTAATCAGGCGGAAACCTCAAGCAGAACCAGACTTATCACTGGAAGGTGCCATTAAAGCTGTAAATGAAGTGCTTGCACAGATACACTTGTATCTGTGAAACTAAGGTCATACTTTGAAATTTAATTCCCCGGGGTCTTGAAAGGATAGAAATGTTGGGACCAATTTTAAAAGGTATCAGCACATTCCTCTGGCTTTGACCGCTTGTCCAATGTGAGTCAGAGGATTGATGGTGAACGAGCATCACCAATGAAGCGTAAATAGTTTATCTGACAAATCCAAGAGGAGCTGTTTGTATGTACCAATGATTCAGAGAAAAACCTAAATGCGGTAGTGGTTCTTCCCCCTCTGCCTCTTTTCTCTGAGGTTCATTGACTCCCAAACTGGGACGGCCAAAAACCATAAGCCTCATAAACAAGAATTAAGAACACGTTTGTGTTGCACACAGCCCCCTCATGCTGCTTTTTACCCCCAAAACGTGATAACAGAGAGTACTCTATTCCACCATTCATTGCTCTGAAATGTGTCTGACTCACTGTTGCCCCATCACTGCCTCTTAGCCGTGACTGACGCCACACTCTGCCTCCTGCATTAAAACAAGGAAAATCATACATCTCCCTTTCCTGCCCTCTGTTTTGCTGGTGTTGCATTCTTTCTGCAACATTGGGTGCGCCTTGGGGATTTGGCTGTCCAGCATTGTTTGTTTCTTGCTCTACCTTTTCCAGAGTCCACAGAGACCTGGGGGGAATATCCAAACCCTTTACTTTTTAAATTGTGTTGAATGTTTTGCCTGCTTGTTTCATGTAAAGCACCTTGAATTGCCCTGCTGCTGAAATGTGCTATACAAATAAACTTGACTTGACTTGACTTGACTTATACACAAGGCTTTTATCAATAAGTACAAAGTGTATTTTGCTGTGGAGAAATGATTAATGTATTAAGAAAGAATCTGGCTTATGGAAATTTGCACCTGTCTACACAACAGACAGAAGTGCTGCATTTTTGACTGTTTTGATTTTATTTTATGCTATCTGCAGGAATTTTTTTTAAAGAAATACACATACTGAGAGTTGGTTTAGACAAGTGAACTGCAGTGTTACTTCAGGCTGATTGCAGCAAGTTATTTTTTTCAATATGAACTGAACATTTTAATATGAACTGATAATTTTGTCGTGTGACTACAAAATTAAATGTTGTTTATTAATATTTCACTTAATAAAAACTTGTAATCTCTATAAAGAGTTGAAAACTGATTTCAAGATGATAGCAACATCACCCTACAAAGGCATAAAGCATTAGGTTTACTACTGGTTGAAGAAGTGATATTACCTACAGTATTATAGCTACTAGGCTATAATTTTGTAATGAAGATGTAATTGTTGAACATCGCCATAGACGTGTCAAGAGAAAAACATCCTTGACAAAAGTGAGCCAGAAAAGAAGCTCCTTAAACTTGTACAACACAACATATCTATGTAAAAACTTAGAAGCTACAGCTACTTTCAGTTAAGCTAGCTTGCAAGCTAACCATGTACCCTAACTTAAACTAATCAAACAAAAATATTAGGTTGGTTCCTGTTTTTCTTCTCAAGTCCAAATATCTACTTTTAAAAAATGTATAATTTAGTAATTTACTCTATTTGACACTTCTGCTCAGTCAACTAAATTTGGAAGAGAATAACAGCCAACCTTGTGCTAAAGTTAGCTAGTTTAGTAGCTGCCATACTTGGTCGGTACATTGTCTAAGTTGAGTTAACTTAAGAAAATCTGTGAAAACCATATTAAGATGTACGAAAGAAGTAACTGATGTAGTGAATTTATAGTTTTAAGACACCTAAACTTGATCCTTGAGAGCTTAAAAATCAGGTTAAAATGGTTATAAAAGATGAAATCACAGTTCTAGCTTCTCACACAATTAAGGGGTAAGTTAATCAGCCTAAAACATCATACAAAGGTAAACAACTCTACTGATTTCCACTATTTTCTTGTTCTTAAATCACATGGATTGACTTCTTTTTCTTGTCTTTCTGTGTTGGGCAGGAAATGCTTAGTCATTCCTTCAGTGACTCACCTTCCCTCTGGGTGTTGGACTCTTTTCCACCCCCAGCATCGATGGTTTCACTGTCCGCAGATGGTCAGCAATGCCCAATTAAGAAACAAGTTGCACACACCATAAACACTGCACAGCTGCACTTTTTGGGCTAAATAATAAAAAAATATACACAACCAATTTTAGACCACAAATGACCAGCACACATTCATATCAACAGTCTTTTATTTGGCAATACATCTCATTCATTCATTCATCCAATAATTAATATACAGATATATACAAAAGCAAAAAAGACATCAGTGTCTTTGATAAGCCATCTTGCAGTAAAAGTTGGCAGTGCATTCTTGGCCTCTTTAACAGTGTCATTAGGTTTCTATCCTCCTCTCTTACAAATGCTCCTGACATCAGTTGTTGTGCCGTACCATCGTGTGTTCCTGCTGCAGAACATCCATCCAGTTCAGCTTGCAGTCTCTGTTCTGCACCAGTACTGAAAAGAAGAGAGAGATTTTAATCATGATATACTGCAACATTTTTGTCATACTACACTTAGACATTCTGACATACTGAACTACAACTATTTTTTTTATCATACTATACTATGAACTTTTTATCATACCATACTATGACCTTTTTTAATCAGACTATACTAAGACATTTTATTTCATAGAAAAATATGATTTTTTTACATTAAAATATGACATTTTTTATAACTTTATTATATTCATTTATTATAACTTTTTTCATACCAAAATATGAAGTTTTTTAAATCCTATACTATGACATTTTTATCATACTACATTTTTTTCATCCTAAAATATGATTTTTTTTTCACTCCAAAATCTGAAAATTTTCATAATACTATACATGACATTTTTATCATACTATACTATGACATTTTTTTATCCTAAAATATGATTTTTTTTTCACTCCAAAATTTGAATTTTTAAACATACCATACCATGACATTTTTTACCCTAAAATATGAAAAAAAAAATTATTCTGAAATTTGAAAATTTTAAACATACTTTACTATGAAACTTTGTTCATCCTAAAATATGATTTTTTTTCCCTCCAAAATTTGAATTTTTTTCAACATTCTATACTATGACATTTTCATCATCCGATTCTATGACATTTTTTTCCATCCTAATATATGAAAAAACATTTTCACTCCCAAATTTGAAATTTTTAACATACTGACATTTTTTATCCTAAATATCACTTCAAAATTCGATATTATTTACATACTATACTATGACATCTTTTTTTCATCCAAAAATATGATTTTTTTTTTCAATCCAAAATATGAAAATTTTAACATACAATACTATGACATTTTTTTTCATCCAAAAATATGAATTTTTTTTCACACCCAAGATTTGACATTTTGAACATACTATATATACTATGACATCTTTTTTTCATCCAAAAATATGATTTTTTTTTCAGTCCAAAATTTGAAATTTATAGCATTCTATACTATGACATTTTTTTCATACTATACTATGACATTTTTTTCAATCCTAAAATTTGATTTTTTTTCCACTTCAAAATTCGATATTATTTACATACTAAACCATGACATTTTTTTCATAGTAAAATATGATTTTTTTTTACTCCAAAACTTGAAAATTTTAACATACTATACTATGAGATTTTTTTTCATCCTAAAATATGATTTTTTTTTTCAGTCCAAAATTTGACATTTTTAACATACTATACTATGACATCTTTTTTTCATCTAAAAATATGATTTTTTTTTTCAGTCCAAAATTTGAAATTTATAGCACTTCAAAATTCGACATTTTTTTCATACTATACTATGACATTTTTTTCAATCCTAAAATTTGATTTTTTTTCCACTTCAAAATTCGATATTATTTACATACTATACTTTGACATTTTTTTCATAGTAAAATATGAATTTTTTTTCACCCCAGCATATGAAAATTTTAACATACTATACTATGACATTTTTTTACATCCAAAAACATGATTTTTTTTTCAGTCCAAAATTTGACATTTTTAACATACTATACTATGACATCTTTTTTTCATCTAAAAATATGATTTTTTTTTTCAGTCCAAAATTTGAAATTTATAGCATACTATACTATGACATTTTTTTCATACTAAACTATGGCATTTTTTCAATCCTAAAATAAGATTTTTTTTATCACTTCAAAATTCGATATTATTAACATACTATACTTTGACATTTTTTTCATAGTAAAATATGAATTTTTTTCACCCCAGCATATGAAAATTTAAACATACTATACTATGACATTTTTTTTCATCCTAAAATATCAAACTTTTTTCACACCCAAGATTTGACATTTTGAACATACTATACTATGACATCTTTTTTCATCCAAAAACATGATTTTTTTTTCAGTCCAAAATTTGAAATTTTTAACATACTATACTATGACATTTTTTTTTATACTTCACTATGGCATTTTTTCAATCCTAAAATATGATTTTTTTTTTTCACTTCAAAATTCGATATTATTTACATATTATACTTTGACATTTTTTTCATATTTAAAAATGAAAAATTTTTCACTCCAAAATATAAAAAATTTAACATACTATACTATGATATTTTTTTCATCCTAAAATATGCAACTTTTTTCACACTCAAGATTTGACATTTTGAACATATTATACTGACATCTTTATTTTCATCCAAAAATATGATTTTTTTTTCAGTCCAAAATTTGAAATTTTTAACATTCTACTATGACATTTTCATCATACTATACTATGACATTTTTTTTCAATTCTAAAATATGATTTTTTTTTTTCACTTCAAAAATTCGATATTATTTACATACTATACTTTGACATTTTTTTCATAGTATAATATGAATTTTTTTTTCATTCCAAAATATGAAAATTTTTTCATACTATACTATGGCATTTTTTCAATCCTAAAATATGATTTTTTTTTTCACTTCAAAATTCGATATTATTTACATATTATACTTTGACATTTTTTTCATAGTTAAATATGAAATTTTTTTCACTCCAAAATATGAAAATTTTAACATACTATACTATGACATTTTTTTCATCCTAAAATATCAAACTTTTTTCACACCCAAGATTTGACATTTTGAACATACTATACTATGACATCTTTCTTTCATCCAAAAATATGATTTTTTTTTTCAGTCCAAAATTTGAAATTTTTAACATACTATACTATGACATTTTTTTTTATACTTCACGATGGCATTTTTTCAATCCTAAAATATGATTTTTTTTTCGCTACAAAATTCGATATTATTTACATATTATACCTTGACATTTTTTTCATAGTTAAATATGAAAAATTTTTCACTCCAAAATATTAAAAATTTAACATACTATGCTATGATATTTTTTTCATCCTAAAATATGCAACTTTTTTCACACCCAAGATTTGACATTTTGAACATATAATACTATGACATCTTTATTTTCATCCAAAAATATGTTTTTTTTTTCAGTCCAAAATTTGAAATTTTTAACATTCTATACTATGACATTTTTTTTTATACTTCACTATGGCATTTTTTCAATCCTAAAATATGATTTTTTTTTCACTACAAAATTCGATATTATTTACATACTATACTTTGACATTTTTTTCATAGTATAATATGAATTTTTTTTTCATTCCAAAATATGAAAATTTTAACATACTATACTATGACATTTTTTTCATCCTTAAATATGAAACTTTTTTCACACCCAAGATTTGACATTTTGAACATACTATACTATGACATCTTTTTTTCATCCAAAAATATGTTTTTTTTTCAGTCCAAAATTTGAAATTTTTAACATTCTACTATGACATTTTCATCATACTATACTATGACATTTTTTTTCAATTCTAAAATATGATTTTTTTTTTCACTTCAAAAATTCGATATTATTTACATACTATACTTTGACATTTTTTTCATAGTATAATATGAAATTTTTTTTCATTCCAAAATATGAAAATTTTTTCATACTATACTATGGCATTTTTTCATCCTTAAATATGAAACTCTTTTCACACCCAAGATTTGACATTTTGAACATACTATACTATGACATCTTTTTTTCATCCAAAAATATGATTTTTTTTCAGTCCAAAATTTGAAATTTTTAACATACTATACTATGACATCTTTTTTTCATCCAAAAATATGATTTTTTTTTCAGTCCAAAATTTGAAATTTTTAACATACTATACTATGACATTTTTTTTTCATCCAAAAATAAGATTTTTTTTTTCAGTCCAAAATTTGAAATTTTAAACATACTATACTATGACATATTTTTCATACTATACTATGGCATTTTTTCAATTCTAAAATATGATTTTTTTTTTCACTTCAAAATTCGATATTATTTACATACTATACTTTTTTTTCATTCTAAAATATAAATTTTTTCACTCCAAAATTTAAAATTTTTAACATACTGTACTATGACATTTTCATCATACTATACTATGACGCGTTTTTTCTACTAAAATATGCAATTTTTTTTCACTCTAAATTAGATTTTTTTATCATAAAATACTGACTTTTTCATCATACTGTACTATGTTCACAACAAAATATACAAAAACAAAATGTACACAAAAACTTTAAATTTGAATACCCTTTACTATGAAATTCTTTTGAAACTCTGCAATGACATTTTTTTCAAAATAAAATGTAGTGTTTTTGCACTTACTATTTGTTTGTCATACTTCACTATGACAATTTTTATCATGCTATATTATGATATTTATATCATTCTATTTCATATTTTGATCATCCTATACCATGACTTTTTTTATCATACTACACTATGACTTTTTTATCATACTTCACTATTATTTTCTATCATACTATCCATTGATATTTTTAGGGCTAAATATTACAAAAAATACACACAATTAAACTTGGACCAAAAACGACAAGCACACAGTCATATCAACAGTCTTTTATTTGGCCATACATTTCATTCATTCATCCAATAATTAATATACAGGATATATACAAAAGCAAAAAAGACATCAGTGTCTTTGATAAGCCATCTTGCAGTAAAAGTTGGCAGTGCATTCTTGGCCTCTTTAACAGTGTCATTAGGTTTCTATCCTCCTCTCTTACAAATGCTCCTGACATCAGTTGTTGTGCCGTACCATCGTGTGTTTCTGCTGCAGAACATCCATCCAGTTCAGCTTGCAGTCTCTGTTCATCTGCGCCAGTACTGAAAAGAAGAGAGAGATTTTAATCATGATAAACTGCTGCATTTTTATCATACTACACTGACATTCTGATCATACTGAACTACAACTATTTTTGTATCATACTATACTATGAACTTTTTATCATTCCATACTATGACTTTTTTTTTATCAGACTTTACTAAGACATTTTATTTCATAGAAAAATATGAAATTTTTTTCACACTTAAATATGACATTTTCAACATATTTAACTTGTACTTTTTTCATACCAAAATATACCAAAATACCAAAAGTCAAAAAAAATTTTGACTCCAAAATTTTACATTTTCAACATACTATACTATGACACTTTTTATCCTAAAATATGACATTTTTTTCAAACTAAAATATTAAAAATTTGTCACTGTAGATTTTAAATTTTTAACATATTATACTATGACATTTTCATCATACTATACAATGACTTTTTTTTTTCAAACTAAAATATGAAATTTTTTTTCACTTGTAAATTTGAGATTTTTAACATACAATACTATGACATTTTCATCATAATATACTACGACATGGTTTTTTTTCATCCTAGAAAATAATTTTTTTTTCACTCCAAATTTGAATTTTTTAACATACTATACTATGATATTTTCATCATGCTATACTATGACTTTTTTTTCAAACTAAAATATGAATTTTTTTTTCACTTGTAAATTTGAGATTTTTAACATACTATACTATGACATTTTTATCATACTACACTACGACATGTTTTTTTTCATACTTAAATATCACATTTTTTTCACTCCTAAATTTGACATTTTTAACATACTAAACTTTGAATTGTTTTGTCATACTAAATTATGACCTTTTGTTTTCACTCTAAAATTTGAAATTTTTAACATACTTTACCATGACATTTTTATCATACTATACTATGGCATTTTTTCAATCCTAAAATATGATTTTTTTTTTCACTTCAAAATTCGATATCATTTACATACTATCACATTTTTTTTCATCCTCAAATATATATATTTTTTTCTCTCCAACATTTTAATTTCATCAACATACGATACTATTACATTTTTATTCATCTTAAACTATGAATTTTTTTTATTGTAAATTTGAAATTTTTAACATACTACACTATGACATTTTTTCATCATAAAATATGAAAAAAAAATTTCACTCCAAAATTGAAATTTTAAACATACCATACTATGACATTTTTTTTAATCTTAAACTATGAAATGTTTGTTTTAAGTAAAAATTTGAAATTTTTAAGATACTATACTATGACATTTTTTTTATCCTAGAATATGAAATTTTTTTTCACTCCAAAATTTTAAATTATACTACACCATGACGTTTTGATCATACAACACTATGACATGTTTTTTTTCATCCTGAAATATGATTTTAACATACTCTTCTATGATATTCATAGGGCGCGGCGCAACATGGCTCCGGCTTGTTGGTGCCCCCTGGGTTGCTAGTTTATTTTTTGCAATTTGAGGGATTGTTTTAAAATCAGGAACATAAAGGTAAAAATATTCCATATAAAAGCATTAACTAAGGGGGACAGCTATACATTTTTCTTCCATTTTAGACATATACGTTAAATGCATAGGAAGAAAATAAGCGTTAAAAAACATTCAGCAACAACAGTACAAAAACTGTATAATCTTTGAGGACCCAGAATTTTTTTTTGTTGGAGTTTGTGGTGCAGTTGAGTGCACATACTTGAGCAAACTTGTGTATCTGCTCGACCACAGCAGCAAACAGAGCGCCCACGCTCTCATCAATCAGACTCTGCATGTAGTGGACTGCCTCCTCATCTGACAGGTCCAATCTAAACTTATCCTGCACCTAGATACAAAATGAGCACAAACACTCAGACATCCTACAAAATACATAAAAAGTCTTGGATGCATCAGTAAAACTCCTGACAAACATACCTTCTTCACTGTCTTATCAGGCTCTAGAGCGATGTCAGGAATATTGGCATCCACCATGAGAGAGAACAGATTCAGGATGAGGTTGGAGTATCTGAAAAGATGAGGGCAGAGGGACGTTTTAACACAACTGTTCAATATGTGTAATAGTCCTCCTGACTAGGGACTGAGGGAAATGTTCCACCTTTTTCAGGTATATCCAGGCAGTTTTTCAAAAGCCACTTTGATGGAACCATCTTTTCCAGTCTGCATTTTTCAGACTGAAAGTGTACTCAGTCTGGTCTCTTACCTCCTGAGGTGGAGGAAAGCGGTATAGCACTGCTTCCTAAACTCCTGGTACTGCTCACTCTGCATGCCCCCCATCCCCTCCACCATCTCTTTGCTCAGCTTCATGGGCGGAGGCAGCGGTTTGGGGTCTCGGCCGAGGATGTAGCCGAAGTCAATGTGGAAGAGCTTACCTGGAAGAGGAGGGGGTGTTTCATTTTGACTCCCAAACTAGGATTTTAATACTCAAGTATCTGAAAAGTGTATTTTTCTCACCGGTCTTTGTCAGTAACAGGTTATCCAGGTGACGGTCTCCGACTCCCAGGATGTAAGTGATGACACAGTAACCGGCTGCAGGGACAGAAAAACACAGTTTAGATATCTGGGGTCTATGAAAAAACTAACTCACTCTTTTTAAAACGTACTCACCGCAGCTTTTTACATAAGTATCCATCACTTCTGAGCTAATACCGTACGGTCCTTTTTCACTCGGTGCATGCTTCCTAAAGAAGCTCTGTTGGAACAAACATAGTGATTAAAAGAGCAGTTTTTATTTTTTAAGAGTAAACAGCAGTAGATTTCTTTTAAGTCCGCTCACCTGGATGTTGCCCTCAGTTGCCAGAACTTCAGCAACAGGAACAGACTGAACAAACTGCATAAAACCTGAAAAAAAAGTATCCTTATTTTAAAGTCTGAAGGCTGCAAATCAAGCAGTGAAAAACACTTTAATCCTGTTTTGGTGCATGTATGTGATTATAGGAGACGGTTTTCCACTGGAGAAATGTGTCGTCTTCTTACCGTGCTTGGTGCTGGTGGCTAATACTTTATAAGGCGTCAACTTCAGGTCCAAATTCTCTTTTCTTAGCAGCTATAAATACAAAAACCAGACAAAGAGGTTTTAATTTAGATGACATAAGTTTTATAAAGCCATGAAAAGAGCTAAAGAAAGCTTTCGCTGACAGAAACGGTGACAGATTTGATTCTTTTTTGAGTCTTTTTACGGATCATGAGGTTTTCATACTTTGTCCATGAGTGAGATGATCTGCAGGATGAGCTGGTCCTGCCTCAGATCATCTCCATGTTTGAAGATAACCGGGTACATGGCTCCATCCTCGGCTTTGAAGATGAGTTTGGCTGGCATCAGAGCGCTCTATCACACAGATGAAAAAAGCTCATAAACACACTGTACAACAATTAAGAGAAGGTGATTCCTAAGGCTTATGTGTACCTTAAAAAGTGTGGCCGTCTCTGGGACGATGCCTCTGATTCGAATCTGTGGCTCCAGAGGAAGAGGGATCGGCTCGATTTCCGAGAGATTGACTTTCTCGTTGTCAGCGAGCAGAGACTGCAGTCGCTCCGTCTGCAGATAAAGTACAAAACACATGATTGTAAAATAATCATCATCTCTGGGGAAAAACTGAGACTTGAAGCAGGTTTTTGCACATGTTGCTAGTTTGCCGTTTACCTTCTTTTTGCGATTCCCACTCTCCCTCTGAACGGCTTTCATCAGCTGCACCAGTCTGTCCACAAACGTCTGCTGGGCAGCCAGCAGCGACCTCATCACCCTCACGCTCTTATCACCCTGCAGGGAAGGAAGAGGATGTGTGTGCGTTAAAATGTTGACAGTCAGGAGTGCAGAAGGCCCGCAGGAGGAAAGAAGATAAAGGCTTTGGACATTTCAGGAACTGTGATTGTTTACGATCCGGTGAAGACTGAGACGAGAGGATACAACCCCTGAGAGAAAATATAGAAGCCCCTAAGTATCTCTACATAATATTTGTTGTAAATTGGCGATCCATAAATTAAGACTGATTGTTTTCCTGATTCTTTTTCATCATGCTTGTGCAGCAAAACGTTCTTTCTTCGAGTCCTGACCTTGAGTAAAGCCTGGCTGAACCTCCTCATGACGTTCAGGTACATCTCATGAGTCTTCGGATCTCTCTGCTGGGTGTCCTGATCCTCACACTCCACAATCACGTACCTTCAGAGAGCACACACACACACACACACACACACACACACACACACACACACACACACACACACACACACACACACACACACACACACACACACACACACACACACAGGTTTAACATCAGCTATACAGAATAAACACAGAGATTAATACAAATAAATCACCACGATATGGACCTACCAGTACAGATAGTTGGCGAGTGTGGAGTTCTTACAAGCCCGGGAGATGAGGAAAGTGCACAGGTCCTGCTATAAAAGAGATAAAATGACACTTTAACGCCAGAGTCAAACATATAAGATGAATATTTTTCATCATGTGGAGATAATACCAGAGGTGGGGGCTTGACGACTCGACTCGAGACTCGACTTGGACTTGAGTCCCGTTTTTGACTTCTTTGATGAAATCAAGAAATGACTTGGACTCGCTTGGGACTTGATTGCTAAAGACTTGAGACTTGACTTGACTTGAGCCCAGTGACTTGAAAAGTCAAGTCAAGTCTTTTCAAGTCACTTAATACCTTACAGCAAGCCCAAACCGAGGACTTGGGTGGGACTCGAAGCAAAATTCCTAGGACTTGGTTGGGACTCGAAACAAAAAGTTCAGGACTTGGACTTGACTTGGGACTTGTCTGTGTTGACTTGGACTTGACTCGAGATTGAAAGCAAAGGACTTGGACTTGCCTCGGACTTGAGAGCAAAGACTTGAAACTCGACTTGGACTTGAAACATAACGACTTTCCCCCACCTCTGATAAATACTGATTTTTTATTCAATTCTGCTCTTTCTTCAGATTTTCTGCCTTTCTTACCTCGAGGTTCTCGCTGTCGGCTCCTTCTTTGCCTTTCTGTGAGGCGTTTGAAGGTCCAGATGTGCCAGACAAAATCTGAGAACTAGTAAAAAAAAAAGAGAGAATAATTGAAGAATTTGCTGATTATAGAGTTTAACTTTTACTTTAACTCCAGCCACCCTGTATTCGGAAGATCGGTTTGAGCTCTGCGTCCAGATTTTGGCTGCAGCTGCACAAACTGAAGCCAATAAAATCACAACACCCTAAGAGTTCGTAACGGCCGGCAAGTAAGACAAATAATCAAACCCTCCAAGCAGCAAGAATTTCAGATAAATTTAGATCCGAGCGGTAAAAAACAACAAGAGCTTCAGTCAAAGCTGCCGGTAGTGTTGACTTATTTATGATCCACAGCCGGAGTAGCTGTTGGAGCCGCTCGTCTAAACACTGACCCGTCCAGTGCAGAGTCATCTGAAAGTCCCTGGCCATCTCTTTTGCTGCCGGGCTCCAGGCCTCCTTGGATGTCACTGAAGTTCTCGTACTTGAGCGCCTGGACCAGCTGGAGGAGATACATCAGCAGGTCCTGGAGAGAGGAGATGGAAGAATTATAATCGTACCAAAATGAAAACGTTTCTCTGAATTCTGTTGACTCATCAGAAACATCCCAACTGCTTATACTAAAACTATCATCCATCTTCAACCATTCACCACTCTTCCCAGCCTACCTCGTCGTCCGCCTGCTGCAGGCGTGCGACGGCGTAGCGTCTGACGGTTGGGTTGGTGAACTGGGAGGACAGCAGCTCCAAAGAGTCCTCCACGTCCATCGGCCTCCACTTCCCCAGCAGCTCCAGTGCCTGCTTGGCCTCTTGCGGCAAATCCCAGTTCACACACTTGAGGAACTTTGTCAGAGCCTGTGAGCAAGAAGGGTGGAAGATGAGGCACTCAACACAAGAGCGAGACGGATTGTAGCTCTGATGGTTGAGAGTAACAAACGCTTACCTTTTCCTGTGTGGTGAGGTAGTACCTGAACTTCCACACCAGGTCCTGCTCCTCAGAGCTCAGCTGCTTGGTTGGAGGGTAGCTCACGATGATCTGTTAAACAAAGACAACAAGGTTTGAAGTCAGCTCCATACTTCACAGGTTTGATGACAGTCAAAGCCTTAGCTCATCAGCATCACAGTAACTGTGCCGACTATTATAAACAAGTGCTACTAAGTCCCATCTACATTTAGCTTTTTGTAAAGATGTTTGAAAACATTATTTCATCAAAGTCACAGTCAGTGCTTAAAGGGATATTCCGGCGTAAAATTAAGTTATACCTCTAGTTTTACCAACTTTAGTAACGACCGCACGATAGCAATACACAATGGTCCCAGGAGTCACGCGCAAACCTCAACCAAAACGCCACTATAGACACAAATAATGCTCAGAACAGCACCTAACTTCATCAACAGGACATATAGGGTCCCAGCCATAGTACCAGCCACCAAACATCTTTTTAACTTTGCCTAATTTCTTCAGCAAAGAGATTAAACACAACTCACCTACTCTCTTCCAGCAGCCGCTTGTTTGTAGCGAGACTTCAGGCCAGTCCATTATGGACTACAGCGGAGTTTCGCAGCTCAAGGAAGAACATTTATGATCATTTCTTTATCATTTCCTTGAAGTAATAATCACCATATTAATCATTTTGCTCTGCAGACACAGTAGTTCATCTGCCTCAGCTTCTCAGTCTGATTGCATTTCCATGAAGAACTGATCATAAATGTTCTTCCTTGAGCTGCGAAACTCCGCTGTAGTCCGCTGATGCACAGCTAACAGCTTCTACTATTGTGTATTTCAGGCTCCGTCTTGTATGGATAAATGTACACACCTACTGTTAAGATTTGTTCATGTTATCTATTTAAAAAGTTTGACCCCTGGTTACTTACGTTGAGCTGGTCCCGTGTGGCGGCATTGGGTTTCAGGTCATGATCTGAGGGTCCGCTGCGGAGGCTACGAGCCAGTTTGTGATGCTTACTCTCGACCAGATTCTCCTGTAAAGACGCCATGAATTGGAAAACACCGTCAGCTTATAATTACATGGACTTCAAAATCAGATAATCCTAATTAACTTGTGCAGGCATGTGAATGTGAGCGTCCTCTCACCATCCCCATCTGTGGATCAGGAACTTTGACAATGTCACAGCTGGTGAGGACAGGTGACGCATCGTCTCCATCCTGAGCGTAGACGAGGGGGAAATAAGCCAATCAGTGAGCACGAACATTTCTGAAATACTAACAAATGGACAATGTCATTTCAAAAGTAGGAATACCTTCTCATAATAGACGATGCTGTACTCTTTGTCGTTGGTTTTGACACGGGGAAACTCAACCATGAGGTACATGAAGTTCGAGCTGCGCTTCTCACTCTGCAGAAACAAACAAAGAACATTTGCAATTCATCTGCAATTACTGGCAATCAGGCTACAGTACCGATTGATTCACTGAACTTCTGTTGAGGTATTACGGACAGGTAACCCATCTCACCTCATTGATCATCTCGATCTCCCTGAAGGTTAGACGGTCCAGCCAGTCCACCTTCACCATGTGGCCCTGTCGATGGGCTTTTGTCAGCTTCACAGAGAGAAAAGAGAGAAAGAGAGAGAGAGAGAGAGAGAGAGAGAGGGAAGAGAGAGAGGGAAGGGGAACAAGAAAAATAAGTTTATAAAATACAAAATACAGAGGTTGAGAATCTGTCACAGCAGGGTGGCTGAGGCGCAAACAGCTCGACCAATCATGCACAAATCCAGTGGCGGCAGCCAATCCAGCGTCATCGCTCACACACCAGCCAATCCATTCATCAGTCAGTGTGGGTGTCAGGAATGTAAGCACACAATTGGCCAGGAACAGGAAGCCCGAAAACTCAGCTGGTTAGAGTTAGTACTCACTCTTAAAAACAACATATGAAGTGGTAACAGCCTGGAAAAAAACCTCTGTTATGTCCACTGCAACCCGGTTTACAGAGTCTACATCAGAACACAGAACCGGCACACAAGCAGGGGTCCAGATTTTAGTAAGGGAAGAGTTCTGGGTACTGTTTATAGTACGTTTCAGGTCATGGTATTGACTTATTATGTATCAGAGACGTATGGAGAGCAAAAACAGGCAGAACACAGTCTGCTGTGATGACACATCGATGTCCATCAACAATAACCACTTCTTCTTTTTAAGGAACAAACTCAACAAAGCATGAACTTATGACATACCTGCATAATGACAATGTTTTTTTGAAAACTACTGGTTTAGGTTCACACTGCTCAAGTAAGACAGAATGAAACCTCGATGTGACCTAATGTTTACAGTTAAAGTGAGGTCAAAATGACAGGACCTCCCTGAAGTCTTCAACAAGTTAGAAAAAGTGTTTCTCTGTCAACATCAGAGGTGGGGGCTTGACGACTCGACTCGAGACTCGACTTGGACTTGAGTCCCGTTTTTGACTTGCTTGATGAAATCAAGAAATGACTTGGACACGCTTGGGACTTGATTGCTAAAGACTTGAGACTTGACTTGACTTGAGCCCAGTGACTTGAAAAGTCAAGTCAAGTCTTTTCAAGTCACTTATTACCTTACAGCAAGCCCAAACCGTTTAAAAAGTGTTGCATCAACTAATAGTCAGGAATTACGGCCGTTGGTAACACCTTGTTGTGTTGCCAAGTCTGCTTATTTCCCGCAAAAAAATTCGCTTGTTTTTGTCTTGTTTCTGGAGGTCTGTTTCCTTAATTCTCTCACGCAACTTGGCAACACTGTCTCAAACTCTAGCCTCCCTCATAACGACAACACCGGGAGGACTGAACATAAATCGCTCGCTAGTATTGCCCGCCTGTTTCCACGTGTTGCCTTGTGTCTCTCTTTTGTTTTGTTTTGGAACAGTGAATTAGAGTATCAGTTTAATGTTTAATTGTATTTGAGTCTTCCTTATTTTTGTGCACATTGTCTAAGTTTCCAATTATTGAAGTTTATCTGATTATTTTTTGTATGACATGTAAAATAGTTTGGTTAAAGCTGCACTATGTAACTTAACACAAACAAGAACCCTTGTTTAATAATGAATGCAAATAGTGAAAAATACTCATGAATTATGTAAATCTTTACATATAACAAATGGTTTATGGCTTTAATATGACTTGTTTTTGACTTGAAAGAAAAGTTCAGGACTTGGACTTGACTTGAGACTTTTGAGACTCAACTTGGACTTGCAACATAAGGACTTTCCCCCACCTCTGGTCAACATACACCTGAAATAAACATGCGCAGACTTCCACTAAATAAACCGTCGTATGGCGACAGCGGAAAACTGAAAAAGTCGTGTGTGTGATGCTTTCAAGAACGCAGCCGTACACCCTGAAAGACAGTGTTCACACCAACACCTGAGTCCAAATGTACGTGTAAATGTAGGGCAACATAAAGAGTTGAGGAGTTTAATATACAAAATATTCATATTGTAATTGAATGTAAACATGGAAATCTTTATTTAAAGGGGTAAAAAAAGATGCTGATATTATTGATCTACAAATACATTTGGACCAAGTCACTTCTCACAGACACACACACACATGTTCTGCATTGCCAACATTGACCCCTCCACTTGTACTCACATCACTGAGTACCTCCAGGTCAGGGCCCTGGAACAGATGATGTTTTAGGCATGTATCGGGAAGTTTCTCGTCTTTTCCAACACACAGAATGCCTCCACATCTTTACCCTCCCCATCTCTACTCTGTTTTTCTCCAATCCTACCGCAACACAACTCTCCCTCTCTCTCTTTCTCTCTGTCTTTCCAACATACGCAGTGTTGTACCTTGGCCAGTCTGCCCATCTGGTCCTCTGTCAGACTGCTGCTTGTGCGTCCTGGTGTGGTGGTGGGCTCCCCTCCATCGCCCTCCACACCCGGCCAAACTTTGAGGTCATGCATGCCTTGCCGGAACATACTGGAGGAGGTCAAGAGAAAGTGTTTCATAACTGTTTTGGACACATTTCTATCAGATTCATACTCAGATATGAATGCAAACTATAAGTGAAGTTTACCCGTATTTGCCAAACAGGGTAACTGTGGTGCCCCCGACTGGAACAGCTCTGCCGGGACCATAGATGTCCCACACTGTGAGAGCTACCTGAGCACTTTGGGGAAGGTCTGGGTACTTGACAGGCAGCCGCAGCCACTCGTTCCAGCTGTAGAGGACAACAGGGGAGGAGAATGAAGAGAGTGTAAGATTCAGTTTGAAAGAACACTAAATGGGTCAAACTGAGACAGCGTTTTACTCACTTCCATCGTGTGCTGAAAGCTTTATATGAAGTGCGAACAGGCAGGGCGAGAGGTTTCCCTTCCGCAAACACCTGACAGGTAACGTAGAGGTCCGAGCAGTTCTCCTGGTAGAGGCCAGAGAACCGCAGCATGGGGTCCTCCAGCAAAGCTTTGTAGCTCTTCTGCTCCCGCTTTCCTTCTAAACTGCCTCTGTAACAGGAGAGAAGATGCAAAGTAAACAAAATGTTGTCAACTGAAATTATTACGACCAGTCTGACTCGTCCTCTCCCCAGAAAGTAAACATCTGTAAACTTTTCCAAAGATGGTTGCTCTCTTTCTCCAATACCATCTTTCATATCAGGTGGTGTTTTACATACAAAGACACATTTAAAACGAACTGTTAACAAATTTATCTGTAATAATTTTTGGGAATTTAAAAAAGTAGACTTAGCACATTGTTTGTTAAGCAGAGAAGACTTCAACTCCACAACCTCCATTATCTCAGTACTGTACTACACTGATAGATGGGGCACCACTTGTAGAGTTGCACAACATTGCACAACAGCAACATTTCTTCACATTTAGCTCTGACACATTAAAACAGGATTCTTTCCAGTCATTTTAATCACATTTAGAGTTCTAATTTTTACTGTGTCATAGTTATTTTTTGTTTAAGGGATATTCCGGGGTAAAATTAAGTTAGGGTCAAACACACCGTAACACCGAGTTAGACACCCCATTAAGAGATGAATGTTGCTGACCACTTGCGTCTCTATTGATACCAACTTTAGTAACGGCCGCATGACAGCAATAAAGAGAGCCACGCGCTTAACGGGGTGACGCAGCTCAAGGAAGAACATTTCTGATCATTACTTTATGGAAATGCAATCAGACAGAGATGCTAAGGCAGAAGAACTACTGCATCTGCAGTGCAAAATGATTAACATGATGATTATTACTTCAAGGAAATGATAAAGAAATGATCATAAATGTTCTTCCTTGAGCTGTGTCACCCCACTGTAGTCGATGGACTAGCCCGGAGGTCTCCGTACAAACAAGCAGCTGCTGGAAGAGAGTAGGTGAGTTGTGTAAAGTCGCTTCGCTAAAGAAATTAGGCAAAGCTAAAAAGATGTTTGGTGGCTAGTACTATTGCTGGGACTGTTGATGAAGTTAGGTGCTGTTCTGAGCATTATTTGTGGCTATAGAGTGGCGTTTTGGTTGAGGTTTGTTTATGGCTCCTCAGACTGCTGTGTATTGCTATCCTGCGGTCGTTACTAAAGTTGGTATAACTAGAGAAGCAAGCAGTCGGCAACATTCATCCCTCAACGGGGTGTGTAACTCGCTGCTACTGTGTGTTTGACCCCAACTTAATTTTACGCCGCAATATCCCTTTAATACAAATTAAGATATGATCAGTATCAAATCTAAATTTTAAATTCTTGAAGTTGTGAGGAACTTGGTCAGTTTTAACCCCTGTGGACAAAGCATCTACGCCCCAAAAGAAAAAACCCCACAGATGCCTGAAATAAAAATATTGACCATACACTAACCTGTCAAAACATTGTGGGCAATCTAATATAACCCAATACAACAGCTCTGATTCAATGTTGATGAAGCCTCTACAACTCATAGTTTTATTAGCATGGCCTGACAGGTGACAATTATTTGAACAAAATGTTCATATTTCTGTCAAAACCTCAGAAAAACAGACCGAACTCCTATATTTTCGTTTCATGGAGGATAAATCGTGTATTTCAATTGTTCACTAAGAGTCGAACTAACCGATTAATCGACAGAGTGCTCCGGCACGATGAACTCTACTGAGTTAATCCAGTGGAGTTATGCCATTACCCAGCATATCTACGTTTATGATAAATTGAAATGTTGCGCAATTGCATGTTGTGACAAAATTGACACATAAAGTCAGAAAATTGAAAATAAGAAAACACGCACGTCGTTTAAACACACACACACGCACGCACGCACACACAGCAAACACACCGAGCATCCTGTTAAGTCACAAGATAGATTAGTTACACCGCTTGACCAAAAAAGCCGAGCATTAAGTCCAAAACTTACATCTTAAGTTGAACGTTGATATCCAGGTCACAGCTGTAAACATAGTTGAATTTATCAGTGTCCATCTTCCGACGGAGAAACCCTCAAATTGACCCCAAAACCCGGACGACTTCAACATCAAATCCCGGACGGTTATTTGAGACTTTGCGAGTGGTCAGGTTTGCGACAAGGCCTCGGCTCAGCACAACAAGACTTCCCTGAACCCCGTTTAAAAATAAGATACTACTCACACGGAGAGCTACAGTATCAGTCTGCACACACGTTTAGAAAGATAACTTTGAGGGCCTGTGTTCACGGTAAAGACATTATTTGATCGGCTGTCTCACCGGGCATGATTTGATGTTTTTGATAGCTACACAACAACACAGCAGCAACCGAAATGTGCAGCCAGGCCAGAATAGCCGAGTGCTGATGTAGAGGGATCGACTACACTGAGCAGGCAGCAGTCACTCTATTCTGTATTGATTAATCGAGCCTGCTAGGAGCAAGGAGGAAGTACTGAAGAGGCGGGGTTTCCGTATTTAAAGAGACAGTATATCCTTAAGGTACAGTACATCCTCGAAAAGTTAAAATGTCCTGAAAAAGTTCATTTGTTCTCATAAAATAAAATATATATATTCTAGATCATTGCCACACAAAGGAGACCTTTTTGATTAAATACTGTTGAGTAAAGCTCATGAAAATTAAAAAAAACAACACTATCTTAAAACACTAAAATATCACAAGACCCCGATCTAAAAAGGTAGGTTGAATTTATGAAAGGTTGAATTTATTGGCCCCGTGAGGAAATTCATTTGCAGTAAGTTGAAAATATGCACACATACACAGTTCCATACACTGTCCCATATAAAACAAAACAACTCAGAAAAAGACAAAAATACGACTGTACTGTACTTTGTCAATTCAAAAAAGTATTTCAATAAATAGTCTTTAAATAATGTATCTGTGCTCAGACCAGATGAACCAGTATCTAAAAATAAAAAATAAAAAATAAAAGCTGCCCACAATCTATTTTAGTTTGTTCAATTGTAAAATCACCTGATTTTAAAACACACACCATCATCTGAAGAGCAGTGATAGTCCAGTTCTTTTTGTTCTCAAATTGTGGAACAAATTGCCACTCGAGATTAAAACATCCCCCACTCTTTTTACTTTTAAATCAAGTCTTAAAACTCATTTTTATTTCTTAGCTTTTAGCTCAGTTTGAAAGTTTTGTGATCTCTGTCCTTTAATGTCTTTTTATGGTCCTTTTATTTCTTTTATGCTTTTGTATTTTTAATTCATTTTAAATGGTTTTTTTTACCTGCTTTTATTTATTTCATCTTGATGTTTGCAGCATTGTCTGTTTTTTCAGTTTCATTGTGCAGCACTTTGGTAGACTTGAATGTTTTTTAAAATGTGCGATATAAATAAAGCTGATTGGATTGTTCTTAGTCCACGTGAAAATGTTATTATATTATCTCTGCTTTAGGAGTTTCTTTGCAGCACTTTTAGTCCATTTCCTGGACTAAAAAGTGTCATGATTCGTTTGTTAATTAGTTGGTATGAACTCTTGTCAGGACTGAAATAACTGACTCGAACACTGACCTATTCTTCAATATCTCGCTATATAATTTCCATGTTTATTAGACCAAGGAGTTCATTAAAAGTTACACAGTTCTGTGTTTACTGATAAATTACTAGTATGAAGAAGTTTGAGAACTGTTGTGATATATTGACATGTAGTTGTACCATGAAAATATAACCACTCAAACAACTATCCTCATTTTTTTCAGGATCTACACCCCTGCTAAAAAAACCCACCTTGTTCCATCTTTTTGAAAGGCCCAAAAGTCTGTTTCTTATCTCTGAAATACTTATTGTAACGACGTCGAAGGAGGACAGTTTTCTTGCCCTTTAAGGTACAATTGTCCATCATGTGGAAGATATGTATTTACAGTATGGAAATCCAACCAAAACAGCCCCCTCAGTGAGACAGAAATCATGAGAACATCTGAACAGAGAGTTCACCCAAATTAAAACGCACTTGTCACCAATTAACTTCACATCCGTGAAGGGCAGCAGGCGTGTGACAGGAAAATCCTCCTCCTTTGTTTTGATGAGGCCCGCCCTGTTCATCAACGATGACGACAGCTGGTTGTCAAATCATGGCGTGAAGTCGCCTTGAGACTGAAGGGAAGAAAACCAAAGATGAACTTTAAAAACATCTAGTGAAATATCTTTTATTCTTTAAAAAAAGTATCTGAATTTAATCAGTGTAAAGAGGAAACTAAAGACTGAGATCCACCAGGATGTTCGATATCAAATATCTTTTCTTGTACGTTGATAGTTTTGATGCTAACAGTTTAAAAGAGGCAACTGTGAGTCATACGACCATATAAAGTAGCACCTCTGACTGATGAGGAGGACCTATTAATGCTCAGACTACTGCGGTAGGTATCAGAGAAAACACGCACAAAGCCCCACATTATGACACTCTGAGGTCTCCTCTGATGGGCTGAGAGGATTTTTCCTATGATCTGATACCTCAGACTGCAGATAACAAACTAATGGAAGAACATGAGCTAATGTTTTGTTGGCCTGGTGATGCTGTGCCGCAATGTCAGGTCACATTTTATATTTTGGACGTTTTTCTTTTTTAGAGGAGCTGAGATGATTGTGTGAGGAAGGACACAGGGATTAGACGGAAACACAGTCCACACTCAGCCTATTACCAAGAGTCATTGAAGGAAGAGCCAAAATAGATCTCTTACAGATACTATTAGCTCGTGAACAGCTAATAGTATCTGTAAGATCTGGACAAGATCTTGTAAGAACAAGATCTGGAGATCACCTCCAGAAAATGAAGGTGATCTCCAGATCTTGGAACGGGAGATGGACAGGTGAGACTCTTGATTTACCGGTCGATCTACGTGCCGATCCTTACCTATGGCCATGAACTTTGGGTAATGACCGAAAGAACGAGATCGCAGATACAAGTGGCCGAAATGGGTTTCCTTCGCAGGGTGTCCGGGCTCAGCCTTAGAGATAGGGTAAGGAGCTCGGACACTCTCCTGTTAGAGGTGTTACAGACATGTACCACTGGGAGGAGACCTTGTGGCCGACCCAGGACCAGGTGGAGGGATTATATCTCTCACCTGCCCTGGGAATCCCCCCGGAGGAGCTGGTGGAAGTGGCCGGGGTGAGGGCCGCTTGGGCTTCTGCTTGGACCCGAATGAAGCGGAAGAAAACGACGACGATGACGACGATACCATTAGCAACAGCAATTAAATGCATTACAGTAAGATGGTTGAAGCCTGGCCCTCCAACACACAATATGTGGACTAAAAAAATAAAGAAAATATATCAAATGGAACAAATAACATATTCCTTGAGATTTCAAAAAAGGTGGAGCCCTGCTGTGGGTATACTGATATAATTTTATTCCGTTTATTCTATATATTTTTTTTGTCATTATAGTCTTTGTCTCTTTTGTTGTATGAAAAATGTTACCATGTGTATGAAGCAGCAGATATGATGAGTATGATTCTGTTAATGATTCTGAATAAAACTTAAATAAAAACTAAGTTAAAAAAACAAAAACAAACGCAGTCCACCCACAGTAAGCTAGAGTCAAATGGATACTGACTTTTGGACTGATACAAGGAAATCTTTAAATTAAAAACCCAAATTAAAATGTAGTAAACTGACATTAAAACATCCCAAAGAGTCGAATAAAATGATATATGTTTAAAAATTGTATACTGTATATACTCTAATGATAGAAAGGTATTTAAGTGTTAAAAATCCTGAACTATCCTTTAAAGTTTAGGTAAAAAATATATTTATATATTTATGTTATTTCTGTATCTAATCATGACTTTAAGTCCTTATATGGTCTTTCCTTCTCTTACATGTCTGTCACTTTTTTTGCCTGAAATTTGGACAGGATGCAGATGAGATCACAGACTGGAGATAATGATGCAGCATCATTGATCTGAGCTAATTCAGCTGAGATTGATGGGGTCAGAGGTCACTGTAGGGCCTAACAACATGAACACATGTAGCTGTATTGAATAAAGACTGCCATGGATGAAGCTACAGACGGCGTCACTCTTAAGCCGTTTCATTTTCTTACTCATCAAAACCCTCGTAGACTCTGAGAGTGAAAACTTTGCAAATCATGTTTCTTCACTAACGTGTTCGATGTATATGTAATGACTCATCCTGTCCTAAATCAATGAAACCCTGACATGTGTGTAACATGTGTTTTATTCAAATCTGCAGTTTCTGGACCAACACCAGGTTCAAAACACCAAATGAGAGGTTGAACAGTGATGAATCATGTTTGATAATTCCATCCCATCCCACTTTCTCTGCCCTCCATCTCACCTCTCTTAGTCACCGCATGGATGTGTCATTGTTTCTATCTCTTCGGAGGCTCATGCCCACTGAAGCGCAGCGAGGTGATCTCCAGAGTGCCAAAACTCTGCCAAGATCCCCTTCTTCTTTTCATACCCCCCTACACAGAAACCACCACCTCCTCGTTCCCCAGTGGATGGCACCTTCTTCGACCACATGACGCCGCTGACCCCACCTCCGCGCCGCAGCCGTAGAGCCTCAGGATGTATAAATAAAAGAGCAAAAAAGGAAGAAGAGAAACCAGAAGCTGACCAGACCAGATGAAGATGAAGATGGAGCTCATTGGGGTGAAGTGGGTGCTTGCAGCTGCAGGGTTTCTGCTGTGGAGCAGTGGGGGGTTTGCAGCACCCATGGAGTGTCACTTCAACTCCAAAGGTGAGACTGAAGAACCTCATAGAGTTTTTGTATTAAATTAAATCAACACCTCCATCATTCTGAATCACTGTTTCATTCTTTGCCTCCATGTGTTGCAGCTCTGTGTGAATTCGAGGGGAGGCAGTACGCTCTGGGTGAAAGCTGGATGGACAACAAATGCATGCAGTGCACCTGTCTGCACCCTATTGGCGTCGGTTGCTGTGAGACGTAAGTAAACAAACAAGCTGCGAAGTTCGGTGTCCAGATGACCACTGCCACTGAAACATGAAAAGTTAGATCCGAATTAGATCCAAACAAGAAAACTTTAAGATTAAGATTCCCTCCTTGAATAAAACCAACTTTTTTAATATCTCAAAATTGATCAAAAAAACTGAAATCAAAAGTAATAATTTGCAGAGTAACTAGTTCATGACAAATCCAAATAAATGTGGGATTATTTATTGAAACTGACGCCAAAAATATTTGCACTTTATCTTTTACTTCAATCACTTTTTGTTTCTTCGTTTCTTTATGTTATATTTCCGTAATTTCTTATTTGTGCTTTAAGCTCCTGTGAGGAATTCAATGTTTTCCTGCTATTTTGGAACATAAAATAAATCCCTCGTTGTGAATATTTACCATGAAAACAGTAAAAAATCAGCTTTAATTCTCTGGTCTGAGTTATAAGCATTAACAAATACACGTTGTCAGTCTTGTTGCTGATGGTCTTGTTTATTTTTGCAGCTCACAAGTACTTGAGTGGTACTTAAATTGTGTATATTGTATATAGTTTTATTTTTCTTCTCCCTTTATCCTTTTTCTAAATTTTTTCTTGATTATAACATTTATTTAAGTTCTTAATATTACGATCTTTATTTTTATAACTGCATTTTTGCACTATATCTCTGTCTCTGATGCTGCTGTGGCAAAAAAATTTCCCCCATGGGAGATCAATAAAGGAAAAGTAATATGTACAATTCAAACCCGCAAAGAAATGAGACGCTATTTTGTCTGCGCCAGAATCATCACAAACTTGAGCTTTAAGTTTATTGCTTTTGCAGTTTTACTTGGATACAAATACTTCTCAAAAGTTTGTAATTGTTAACATTTTCTACTTTTAATGCCTGTAAATATAGACACTTGTCTTTGGCTGTTAAAAACACATGTTGTCATATCTGGAAACCTTTAACACATTCATATGGACAGAAAACAGAAGCTACACTTTGAGGTGTGGACTGAGACTAGAAAAAGGAAGCTGATAGAAACATTAAGGAGTTTTTGCGCCACATAAAACTGGGTGGATATTTTTAGGGTTTGAATGTACTTGTAAAAACTCCTCCTCTTCCTCCTCCTCTACCTTCTTTCGGTCCAGGCTGCATCGACCGGTGGATTTCCCTGCGTGGTGTCAAGTGCGGGTGGAGCCTGTGACCTGCAAAGTCACCCTGGTCCAGACCGCAGACCCCCGACTGCCCTGCTCCCCTGGCGACGACATCCGGGACCCGAGCCACGGGTCTCTGGAGCTGCAGCAACTTCTGGAGGGTTAGAAAACACAGCGATGGATCTGTTTGATTTTCTCACTTATTACTAAAACAATACTCATCCCAGTTAATGATCAATAACCGCTTTCTACAAACATACAAGAGCATTAACAACCTTTGATTTAATACACTGCATTTATAACTGTAATCAAAGTTATTAATGGATTATCTATAAATGAATCCTATCACTATTTCTTCACTTAACCCTTCAGTGTAAATACAGTTTAAACAAATTTGTACATTAATATATTCAAAAGTGTTGATTTCGACCTGTACTCTGCTGTTTTATTTACTCTCCAAATAAAGTTTTCACAAACACGAGCAAAGTCGATTCTTTTAAAGGAATAAAACAAAAAACTCTCAAATTTACATCAAACTTTTAATACAGTTTCCTCTCGTCAGTATTTACAGCTCAGTTCAGTCTTCGCTCTCGCTGAAACACAAACAGTTAAAACAGTTTAAAAAAGTAAAATAAATACAGAAATGTGACTTTGACTGAATGTGAATCTCCAAAAAAATAGAAGACACACTTCAGGGTAAGATGCACCGCAAAAATGCACATGAGAAAGGCCAAACGTACAGTAGGCTGCAGAGTTAAGAGTACGATCGTTGGATCTGGGGATAAAATGCACGACAAAAACAGCAAAAAGAAAAATGGTCCTCTGTTCCTGAAACGTGCAGCGAGGTTCTCAAATGAAAAGTCTTTCTCTGTGTGTCGCTCACTCAGACAAAATCTAACAGTCGTCTTTGAGTCTCTCCTGATTCACAGTCACACAAACACTCAGGAGAGTCAGATATTGATGCTGTTGGTCCCTGAGAAGTGGGACATGTAGGATGCCAGGGCCGGGTTGGTGGGCAGGATTTTGATCGGCAGGTTCCAGCTGAAGGTATCCACGTCTACATTCTCCGCCCCTCTCCAGACGGTGACCTCTGATTGGTTCTGCAGCACTGTGGGCGGCTCCATGGGCTCCCGGGCCGTGACGAATTCAAAGTGGAGACGCCACCTCAGGATCACTGAAGGAGCGGAGAAAAAGTATCGACTTTATGAACTCATCAAATTTATCCTGAAGTTTAAGTTCAACCTCCAGTTATGAAGCTGAACAACATTTGAAAAGCTCCTGAGAAGAACTTTTGTTTTTGGTCCACTTTGGAGCCTCATGTGGACAAATCAGTCTCTGCTTATCTTGTCCTCTACATACTTATAAAATACCTTTTTGACACGTTTGACAGTCGAATATATTGTCTATTATAAATTATTAAAGTGGATATTGTTAAATCAGGGACGTTTTTTAGCTGCTCAGCTAACACCTATCCTCTTGCGCTCATTCAAGGCATCAAAAATGATCAAATACAAACTATCAATCCTGTCTCTGATGGTCTTGTTTGCTTTTGGATATCATGAAAAGACAAATATGAATTTCAGACGATTAAACTGAAGCACTAAAACACTCCTAACAGGAGCGATAACATCATAAATATTGAAATGTACTTTAAACAAAAAGAAGATTCCCATTTAGATTTAGTAACTATAAGAACCTCAATATCAAATAAAAATATCACGAGACAAAGTCAGATAAAGACATGTGTGTGTTTAAGAGTGCTGCCGACTGACCTGTGTCTGTGCTGAACCCTGGCGTGACGTTCAGAGGCACGGGCAGAGAGAAGTGGCTGGAGGCCGTGTGGAGGCAGGACTCCATGTGTCGCCCGTGTCCGGTCACACTAACCGCTTGTCCGGGCCGCCGCTGGTACAGCGGCTGGATCTCCTCCTCACTCTGGAGACTCACCGAATACTGAAGAACAAAATTAGACACACAGAAAATTCAGCTGTTTTATACCAGCGAGGAAAGCAGCAACGGCTGGAAAACAACAAGAGTAAACCGACCTGCAGGCAGGGGATGTCTCCCTCTGAGAAGTTGAAGGTGCCGATGATGTCCTCTCCGAGTCTGTACACAGTTTTAAAGATGCAGAACTTTGCAACTTTCCCTCTCATGTTGGTGATGTTAAACATGTCTGGATGGCAAAAAGGAACACAGCTCACATTAGGACATACAGGAACAATTTTAAAACTCTGATTTATCTGTAATTTTGGAGCTCTTATAGATTAAGCTTCTCACAATCGTTTGACGACATAGTTTATAATTGATCGTCATTTTTGTAGACGTTTCCTTGATCAAAGTGAGCTTTCCTGTTAGTAACATGAATGTAACCTCTCAGACAGTAAAGCGGTGCAGCCTTATTTCACAGAGTTTATAATCTTGCACCACCCTAATGTGAATAAATCCAGCTTAACAATAACAATAAAGCTTTGGGCATTTGAAATCAGAATGAGGCTTTTGGTGACACAATACAGTCCTTCATTACATGGCAGTGATGAATACTTGGTTCTAATTGGTCGATTCTCCATAGCAATGGTCCGTTTTCATTACTGCACACTGTTGCCTTGAAGAATGCACCGTTGCTATGGATACAGGTCTGCTAACTGTGATCATCAATCCTCAGAGACCAGAGTGATGAAGACTGGGACTCACGGGGGCAGCGCCTCGAGGTGCTGACCATCAGCATGTCCAGAGCTCTCTCTAAAGGACGAGCGTCTCTGCGGCTCGCTTCCTCTTCCTCCAGGAACGGGTTAGAGGGTGAAACTTCGTCATCCTGGGGAAACGGGGGCTCCGGCATACCTGCAGTATTCAAGTAAGTATTCAAGTTTACACCAACAAATCTTATACTTTACGGATCAGGTTTCTGGGAAAAGTTCCTCCACACAGACCGAAGGCAACAATGACTAATATGATACATTTCTGGGTTTTTTTACAGTCAGATGCCCAAAGAAAACTTCACCATGAATGTGGTTACAGATGTATTTTCCCTGTGATGATAAACTCTAAGCAGACCACTCTCAGGAAGATCCCTGTCTCTTACCTTGCAGGACCAGAACTCTGAAAGGGACTCTGAGCAGTTTGATCGGAGAGTTGACTCGCTGGCAGCCGATGGTCAGTTTGTAGACGTATTTCACTGCCTGACCGCGGAAACTAGGAGGACCATCTATGGGAACCATCTCACTGTAAGAATCTGAGGAAAGAGGAGAAAATAAATTAAAAGATTCTCTCTCAGTGCTGTGTTTAATTTCTTGTGTCTAATTAATTAATTGCTCACGTACAGGTTTTGCTCTCTCCAGGGTCCAGCCGCAGGTCACAGAACAGTATCTTAGGTGGTGTGTCCAGCACACATTGCCCTCGCTCTCCTGTAGAGGACAGTAAAATGAGCGTTTTATCAATTAGAGGCATAACAAAAAGAAGCAATCAAGCCGATAATATCTGAAACACTTTAAATCCTAGTCTGACTCTTGTTTTGTAGAGTTTTTTTATATTCCACACTAACCTCTGCTTGGAATCAGCACGGTGTCGCTCTCAGCTTGGACGTCCTGTTTGTTGCCCTGAGCCGGCAGAGCCACTCTGCTCTCACTGGCGTGAAACTGACAGTGGATCTGAGCGCTGGCCCACGCGAGCATTTCACTGAGACACAGCCGAGAGAAAACAGCATCACAAGACGGCATGAACAGGGTGTTTGGTATAAATGTTAAGCATAAAATGACCAAAACATGGAAAAACAGCGTTTAGTTTTTAAGCTGCAATTCTCTGGAACAAACCCCAGACATGTTGATTTTAATTTGCAATAAATCAAAGTACAATCGGTTTTAACATTAATGGGATATTCCAGTGTAAAATTAATAAGTCTCTTTGCTAAAGAAATTAGGCAAAGTTAAAAGGATGTCTGGTGGCTAGTACTATGGCTGGGACACTATATGTCCTGTTGATGAAGTTAGGTGCTGTTCTGAGCATTAGTTGTGGCTATAGAGTGGCGTTTTGGTTGAGGTTTGTTTATGGTTCCTCAGACCGCAGTGTATTGCTATCGTGCGGTCGTTACTAAAGTTGGGGTAACTAGAGAAGCAAGCGGTTGGCAGGAATACAGAGGAAGAGTTGTAGTTGTACCTGCTGGCAGAGGTGGACAGGTGAGACATCGGGTTAGTGAACGTGATGAGACACTCCATGAGCTCCCCGGCGAGGAACACGGGTCCTCGGGCCATGGAGGCCACCACCTCGATCATCTGGAACATCGACAGCAACAAACCCTTTAAGTTTTACACCAACTTGTGTGCACTGGGAGACCATAACACCGTGTTCAAATGCAGCAAACATGCAGCTGTTTGTTTTAATAACAAACATATCTTAGACTTCTACTGTTATAAGTTAACTTGTTTGGTTCTGTTCGCCAATTCTCGCTGTTTTAAGGACAATTACAACACGTACCTTGGCCCCGAATCGTACTGCGGCAAACAGTCAAGCTGTCTTAACCTAAAACGCGACTTACTTATACCCTAAAACACACTAATGCGAACTTATTCTGTCTTTTTTAGGAGAACTACGCAGAGCTGTTACACTTAGCTAGCTTTCCTGCTACAGTAAACAAGATGAGTAGATGTTGCGTTTCCGCTACGGCACGACCAATCACAGACCATGGGAATTTAAACGCTTAAAAAACGTACATAAACAACTACAGTACCTGTTAAGTTTTAAACACGTATATCTTGTCTACTCTTCTTGTGAATTAACAATATTAGTAACACCCTAACAAAGAGTAAACTAACTGTAAACAATCTCCGTAATATTTTTTGGTTGGCCACTCACAAAACGTCCCGTGGCACAGTAAACGCGAGGTAGGCTGTTGCTATGGTAACTTACAGGGAGGCGTAGGCATAATGTTTACAACTTGCCTTTAGTTTTGATGAACTTTGACAGTTTTTTTCTCAAGAAATCATTTCGAAAAACTATTTAGAGTTATTTTTCTATCAAAATATGTTAATATACGTGATCTGGGTTGAATATTCAAGCTGGCTGGATGAAAACAAGCACCCCGGTGGACTCGAGATGGTACAGGCTCCGTAGCGACACGGCTGTCTTTGCGGGTTTTCTTAGCCCTACGTAACGCTTGTAAGGTGTCCTCTACTTTCTACCTAGCAGCAGATTTCGACCACACCTAACTTCAGTAACATCTACCGGGGTTTTTTGGTGTCCAGATTTGAGTAACAAAGTAGTGTGGTGCAGGTTTAGGTATAATCTCTCGTTTGCATTAGAACTCAGTGCTACCAATTGGTTAAAAATAACCTAACAGACAAAACTGAGAGTGAAATTCAACATCTTGTTTTGAGGGACGTGCTAGCAGAGGCTGCAGGGTTCTGACAGCAGTCGGTTTGGAGCCGCAGGGGATGACGCCGACTCCACGGTACTTATAAAGAACTATATCATCTCGCATGCATTCATATAGAGCACAGTTAGCTAATGTGCCATCATTTTAAATTGAAAGGAGAGTGTAGCCAGCGTTTTATGCTTAACTATCAGGGTTGTACTGTATGAGTCTGCGGCTTTGCAGCCAACCGCCGGGTACTGAGATGCTTGCTTTGTATGGGCCCTGCTGTATGGACACCTGGTGCACTTGATCATTACTTTTTAACCATCGCATCTTTCTGTTTCGTCTCCCTGTAGGTGCTAACTGTGCGGTGTCTACATCCTTGATACTTCCTGTTGGTTTTTTCAGCCGGTATCCACCCCTGCAGACTCCATGCTGAAGTGGGAAAAGGGTTCTGCCATCTCTGAACACAGGAATCCAGAGAGAGATGCAAAATGTCTCCCAGTTTAGGAACCTCCTGAGCTGTAGGGGCTGTCAGCTCTTGTGGACTGTGATAATACCATAATGACTCTAGGACCTCCTACCTGAAAGAGAAGATATCATCCCCTGGTTGGTCTCTGTCCCTGGAGGTATTCAGAGCTGTCAGTTGAGAACTAGTTTATCCAGCAGGAATGATCTGAGGGGGGCTGATCCACTGAAAGATACCTAGACCTCATGCTGCTACTTTCTCAAAGTGACTCTATTGAGAAAAGTTGGTGAAACCTACCTATTTGTGTTTCAAGAATCTCCTTTATCACTCCTTCAAGTTTAGTTTTGCAAAAATGACTTCAGACTGGGGGGAGAAGTCCACAGCAGACCTCATGAGCAGGTATGTCTCCAAGGAAACAGGATACGAAGTTCCCAAGGAGGGTTGGCGGATCTGTTTGGCACACGAGTTCAAGGAGAAGAGGAAGCCCTTTCAGGCTAAAGACGTCTCGCTGTCCAATGTTCTGGAGCACGTAGGACTTGGAATCAGGTGAGACCTTTTGCCCCTCCAGATGAGACGACTTCAGAGAGCTCTACAGTTCCAGCAGCAGTGTTGTTTTCGTTGACGATGAAAAAGATATTTCGTCAACAAAAACAAAAACAACAACACAGGGGAATATATGTTTAGCGTTTGACTGACAAAATGCTCATGAATTTTGCAACTCTGTTCGTCGTCCACCACCAACGTTTTCGTCTAGTCTTGTCAACGTAAACGCACATTCGTCTCGTCACATTTTAGTCATCTTAGCTAGTCAACGTCACGTCTTTGTCGTGGAAAAATATTTTCGCCACGTAAACAACACTGTCCAGCAGGGAGTGTAGTGCATCAATGCTACACTATGGAAACAGTCTGAGTGTAATAAAACCAGACAAAAAAACAAACCAAGATGTTGGGAGATTTTAAGATTTAGGAATTTACAGGTAATAAAAAGCGAGAGGAAACAGGTGGGGTGGATTTAAAATAATTAATAGTAGATCTGAAACTACAAACACTTTCAGAGCATGAAGGGGAACCGACAGAGTCTGACCATTCATGTTCTGTCAAAATTTTCAATAACATAGTGATGCGCATTTTAATACAAGCTGTTTTTCTTTTAACTGTGTGGTGCCTGAGAGAGTTTCTCCATTGAATTTATTCTGTGTGCATGAGAAACTGAGAGGTTTAATTGTGAGGTGGATCAAAGTGACCTGAGGGCAGAGCATTACAGGGTGTTATTACTGATGAATAGTGGAGATAATCCTTTTAAAGCTTGGAAAAACAAATATCAGGATCTCAAATTTGACTCCACTCTTCCTTTGTAGTCGGCTCAGATGTATCTTTTTCTTTCCTTCCAAGTATGTTGAGTTCTTGAACATATAAACATACTATTTCAAAACTACTTCTCTAAAATGATTGACTTGCTAAATGACTAGTTCTGTGGTCAGCAGAGGTGGCAATGATTAGTCATCCAGTCTAAAAGAAACCCACATACCTACCTTGAATTATGTACAAAGACATGAATGAGTCAGCACTATAAACAGCAATCAAATTTATACCTTTTCATGAGTTTTACACAAAAGATTTCTTCCTCTTCATTGACACCTGTTGGTCTCGGTTTACGCCTTCATTTACCAAAGCTACCTGGTGTCTTTATGGTTTAAACCACGTGTTTCCACCTGAGAAGCTGTTGGGCTGCAGTGTCGAGTTTCTCTGCCGACAAAAGAGAAGGATGTTCAGCTTTAAGATGTTTGAGGAAAACAGCTTGTTTTCCCAGTTCAAGAATTCTTTAGTAGATTAGATATATTCATTAGATAGATTAGTCATAGTGACTCGATGGGAATCTTTGAACTAGTTTAACCTTTGGCTATGTCTACAGGAATTAGTGATGGGAGTAGAGGCATAACCACATATTTTAAAGGGTTGCAAAGTTCTTTTAAGGTTGTGGTATGGTATTTGTTGAGTCTATGAAGTGAAGATCATAGATAAGTGATGTTTCATGCCCTCCTGTAGCCATACTGGCAATTTTGACTCTTCTCAAAGCATCCTTTATAGATATAATATTAAATCTAGGTTTGTACTTGAACACGTAAAGTGGATTTCCTCTTTCACATCAGCTTGTAGGTCAAGCCGCACATTGTTTTTATTTCCCATGACTTCAAAAGCATCTCAGCGGTGACGGCAGGAAGTTTGAGAAGGGCTTGCAGACACGATGCCTCTGCCTGTTCGGTTTGAGTTTTGCATTTCAATTATAGATTCCCCCCTGCAGGGATGAAGCAAATGTCTGCTGCAGATCTTAACATCTGTGGAGCTGGTCGGGTTTGTTTTCCCAGCAACCCACTGTCATCTGAGACACAAAGAAATGCAGCTGGCCTGCGACTTTTTCCTCTTAGTTTCCAGTTTAACCTCAAGAATGCTGCTGGACTGCTTCTGTGATCAGGTCTATTTTTGGTGGTTTTACTGTAAATTATTATAAGATACGTTCAAAGTCCATACATTTTAACCTACTGACTTAACTTTGCATATTTTCATTTCCATCAAAGTCCCCATTTTAAACCTCTGTCTTCCATTTTACATCAAATTCCATGTGACTTTTAAGGGTAGTTAAATTGAACCTCCAACAATGAGGTGTCTAATTTCTGTGTCACGAGTGGAAGTGGAATTCAAACACCAAAACTCACTTGACTCTTTCATAAATCTGTTGCAATGTTAAATGTAAAACAAACCGTCTCCCTCCCCTCTAGGCTTAAACCAACACCAAAAACAAACACTTCAATCTCATTCTCATTCCAGGTGTGTCTAGGTCTTTCAGTCACCATGGCAACCTTTGTTAATTATTGCACCGGATAATGTGATCGCCATAAAACTGTAGCAGGAGGAGAGTAATGTTAGAGTGTTCAAACAGGCGAGTCAATCATGTCAGGTAGAGAGTCACACCTTCAGCTGTAAATCTTATGAGTGAGGAGTGAGTCAATGTTTGCTGTAATGCAAAAAAAACAACATATGATTACAATGAAGCCTGTCTGAACAAGAAGGATAGAGTACATATGATCCCATGACATTATAAAGGCACAATATAAACAGTCTTGCTTCTTGGGTTAAGATTATTAAAGCAAAAACATTCCAAACTGAGCAAACACTGTGGCCAAACAGTGTCAAACGAGTTTGCCTTCTATTAGCAGAGCTCGCGCCACTCTCAGGGACAAACTTAGACTTGTTTTTACCCTCAAATGAAAATGTTGGCAGCTGAGAAGTCTTGTTTAGTCCCCGAGGAAGCTCAGCAAATGCTATCTATCAGACATGCTTAAATAATACTAGACATCAGTATTGGAAAGAAAAAAAAAGGACACGCATATTTTTGAGTTTAATCAAATGAAGTTGAACTAAAAATATCATCCGAATGATTCAGTCTGTTCAAGTACAGATGGCTGAAAACTGATTTCGTTTCTCCCTTATTTTGTTTAATATGAGTTTGCAAACCCGGGTCAGGATCAGGGTCAACACTGTTGTTTGCATTCCAGACGAGCTACACAACATCAACATGATAACAGCATAACCAGATGTGGCCTCAAATAGCTCCATCCCATTCATGTTGACCTGAGTGAAGCGTTTTCTGCGGACTATTGTTGCGTTGCCCTTCTGTGCACTTTTTGTTGCTGTACTGGCATACAGAGCAGCAGTTTCATGCATTTGCACGGGATCTCCTCCACAAAAAGCAGATGGCCTTTTGTGGCCAAAATGATTATTTGTGAGTAAACGAGGTTGTGATGCTGTTTAAAAGGCTGCTGGGTTACGACCTCGTTTGACTTCTAACAAAGCAGGGAGTGTAGAGATGATCATCTACGCTCATATTCAGTTTTAAAGACACACAAGGCTTAAAAGGATAGTGATTACATGCTCCCCACGGTGCTCATATTCCAAAGAACTACATTTTTAAGCTTCTCTTTCTTGGCCAGTTTGGAAATTTCTACCACCCATTGAGAAAGAGGTTTCAGAAGCCTGATTGGCTGCATCTGTTTGGCTTATAAGCATAAAATAAAGTATGCCTGATAACAGAGTTCAGAGTATAAATGCACAAATATTAATCTCATTTGTAATGTAGCCTAATTATACAATAAATTGGCTTGACACACACACACACAGTCAAAATCACTCCAATGAAGTGGAAAGTAGCTGGTCTGACTTCACTTCCCTCTCTTACAAGTGCTTCCTTTATGCCGTTGCACAATTCCTCCCTTTGTGTGTCTGTGTGTGTGTTTGTGTGTGTGCAAATCAACTTTTTTTCCCCCCAGCTTTCGTTCAAAATACTGCAGAGTGAACTCGGACAAAGAGCGCACTTTGATTCACGGTGTTCATGTTTTTTTATGGTTGATTTAAAACTCATTTGATAATTAAGAGAGTCCTCAATCTAAACCCATCCGTGCATGAATGCAGATCAGAGTCCAGACTCCTCAAATGCCTGTTTCACCTCTCCCTTTGAGACTGTATGGTGACCGGTATACTGTATTCTGTCTATGTGTTAATGCAGGTATCTAAAATGGTGGTACAAGAAGACCCAGGTGGAAAAGAAAGCCCCATTCATCGATATGTTTCGTGCTCAGCCTTTACGACAAATATACGGTGAGTTTGGGTCACTCTCAGATGTATTTTCAATTTCCGGCTGAAGTTGAGAGGGATAAGTAACCTGATTGGTAAATATTTCTGAGTTTCATGGAAAATTAGTGTGATTTTGAGCGATAATTCTGTCTAAACTTTGACTAAAACCTTCCAAAGTTAAGGTCCTTAGGAGTAATTTGAAAGAGTGCAACAAAAACCTGCACAGAAATATTTTTGAATCTCATATTTAATAACTTGGCGCAACAATGGAATACGAGATAACCATATGTTTATTTATACATTTTAAAATCATGTCAGATTTGACCTTTTACAAGAGTTTATAGCTTTTTATTGTGCCGCTCTTTACTACCTTCTCTCTTTGTTTTATAGTTTGTTTATAGCTCCTTTTGTAATAGACGCCTCTTGAACTTAAAGCTCCAGTAATGAGTTTTTGTTGGTTGAGTGGTCGACTGGAGGTAATACCAGTATTTCCATATGGGCTGCAAAAGTAAACCCACTGGTAGGGGGTCAGTGTCAGACATTGTTTACAGTTGCCATAGCAAAGCGTCTTCATGAGTCATGCATTTCATAATATGATAAAGCCGCACGATGTCTTGTTTTAAAAATAGGACTTATTCATGCACTGGACAAAACCACTGAAGGAATTAGGGGGCTCCATTTTTCCACAGAGGGCGCCATAATCAACACTTAACTTAAACTAACTTCAAGTTCCGTACAGCAGCTTTAAAATGAATGGTGTAAATGTGGGGCTAAAAGTCTATACTACTAATAGTAATAATAATATAGTCAATTGCAGAAAGTATGCATGTTTGTCCTCTTCATTTTGCAATTAATTGTGATGTAAATTAGACAATCCTACAATTAATCAAGATTAAAGAAATGACTTGTTCGTGTCTTGCAGGTGCTCCACTTGGTGGTATCGGAGGAGGAACTATCACGAGGGGATGGAGGGGGGAGTTCTGCAGATGGCAGCTCAATCCTGGAATGTACCACTACAAAACAGTCACAGCAAACCAGGTACAGGATCCTGCACAGACAGAGACCTGCTCAAGTGTTTTTTCTTGTTTTGTTAAGTGTATTCTTGAACACTGCCTACTGACTTATTTACATCTCAGCAAACAAAGTCCAACAAGTCCTCCTTCAGCTTGTTAAGTAACTGTTTGCATGGCTGATAAGGAGTCACTTATCTCTTCCATAGATCTGCTTCAGGTGTTGTAAAACCTCAGATGGACTCATTTACCAACGGTTCCATGCTGGTCTATATTTATTGATTTATTTTGTTGTTTTTTTCCCAATTCTGGCAAAACTTTAACTGCTAAAAATCACATTCATTTACTGCCAAAGCTGCAATATTGGAATCTGAGTGGGGAACAAATCTGTTGTAATGGAGACCCAGATAGCAGATTCTTCCTTGTGAAGACAGAATGCAATGTTTGGTGGAGTGTGACCCTATTGTGCACTGGAGTAAAGTACCCTCAGGACACTCAAGTGTTTTTCCCTTCAAAGATGAAATAACTGGAAGTGTAATAAAGTTTAGATACTGGCCTGAGGGTTACTGGCCGGCATTCTGGGAAACATTAGACTGTAATAAACCAAGAAATAAAAGGGATTTTATGTGTTTGTTTTCCTTTCTCTTTCTTAGTTCACAGTGTGCTTGCGGCGCGGCGGTCAAACGGTTTACCAGCAGGTGCTCTCCATCGAGCGTCCGCCCACATTACAAGGCTGGAACTGGGGGTACTGTGGAGAATACGCTTTCTATCACGCCCTTTACCCCCGAGCATGGACTGTTTATCACCTGCCAGGACAGAACGTGACTCTTACATGCAGACAGGTGTCGCCAGTCATCCCACATGACTACCAGGTAACTGAGGCATCATGGGAACTTCATTCTGTCCAACATGGTCATAATGTCCTGTACAGATTTCTATCCTCATCAGGTTAAGTGGTTTTCTTAAACAGAGAGATACAACAATTAAAATCAGCTGATTAGAAATATATCACAATAGTGTGTTTGTTGATAAATACAAGTGTTGACGTTTTACAAGTCAGTGTTTAAATTATATTGTTTGACTACTAGATATGATGTCAATGTGATGTTTAGACAGTAAATCCACATGACTTTGCTGTGTGTATTACTCCTTGTGATGGAAAATGTAAACAAGGGCTGTCTTACTGATCACAGGACTCCAGTCTGCCTGCGGCCATTTTCGTGTGGGACATCGAGAACAAGAACGACTACGCTCTGGAGGTCTCCATCATGTTCACTATGGTCAACGGGTCAGGACACAAAGACGACAAGAGTGGGGGACACTGGAACGAACCTTTTCACCTGGAGAAAGACGGGGAGGCCGTGTCCGGGGTCTTATTACACCACTGTACTACAGTGAACCCTTACACTCTGTGCATCGCCGCCCGAGAACAGGTTTGATTTAAAACCTTCTGATTCAAGCAGCTCCAGGGTTTAACTTTATGCAGAAAATTGCACAAATAGTTCCTGAGGAATAAACAGGATTAGAAAAACAAAAAGTCCAGTGGGTTTAGAAATCTGGGGTCTTAATGAGTATTAAGTGTTGGATTTAAAAAGCGTATGTGTGTTTGTGTGTGTGTCTTAACAGCCTGACAGGGAGGTCAGTCACCAGACGGCGTTCAGTCCAAAGGGAACTTGTAGCAGCCTGTGGAGTGACCTCATCACAGACGGGCGGCTGGACTCACCTACAGGTTGGTGGAGAATGGAAGTCACAGTAGAAATAAGTCCAAAACGATCATCGACTCAACAAGTAAACATAAAAATAAGTAGAAAGAAGAGAAAAAAAGGGCTGTGCTTGTACCTAGTGTTCAAATACTTCTTTTGTTAGTCCGACCGAAACAGCACTTTAAAATTATATGTTAAAAAAGTTGAACCAGAATTGATGCGTCATGAACTACAGCCTCTATATGTAAGGTGCTCAGACCGCCAGTCCATCAACCCCTGTACTTACTTTTGTTAATACATTGGTTCTCGCCTGAGGCTCGTATACCGCTGATTCAGTCATAAAGATTTAGAGCAGGGACTTTTGCAAATGGGCAGATCGCCCAGGATGCACTTGTGTTAAAGGTGTAAACAGTCTTGAGTTGGACAAGCTTACATCTTTAGTACCCTAACCTCTCTTGGTTCTTCTCTCCTTTTTTCCTCTGCAGGTTCCAGCCCACCAACACCTAAGGGAGAAAAGGTGGCAGCAGCGTTAGCGGTCAGCTGCTCAGTTGCAGCTCAGGGACACAACACTGTGGAGTTCTGCCTGGCCTGGGATATGCCCAAAATCACCTTTGGCTCCAGGGAGAGGGAACACGTCAGGTACAACAAACACTGACTTTAAACTCTTTGATGATCATTTGTCACACAGAAAGATATCTTTTTCTTCTTTGTCTGACTGGGCTGAAAATTTTGAAAAAACATTAAACAAAGCACTTGATATTCTGTCTTTTGAGGAGATCACTGCACATTTTATTGTGTATTTCTGGTGCAATTTCTGTGTTTTCTCCTTTAAGTCTTTTGTAGCCAAGTGGTTATTTGGCCAATTTGATTCCATCCAGCAACTTTAGCTGCATGTATTGTGTGTCTGTGTGTCCTCATCTGCTCCTGTGCGATAAAATTCACAAAATGCCAAAATTACCAAAACAATTTCCACCCTCTGTCATCTGTGCAGTCCTACCGGTCTGATGAGTCTCTGGTCCTGAAGGTATTACAGTTGCAGTTCAAGAACTTCAAACCAGCGTTTTTGTGTTTTCTTTCCCTGCTTTGGTTGTTTGCCATTGTGGCGCTGGTTACCACAGAAGACGTGACAAGCACTCACGGAGTTTATTCAGGTTCAGCTTGTTCTACTACTCCAAATGCTGCCAGAAAAAAAGTCACAGAGCAAACATGGTCAGCTATACAAAGTTGTGTTGAGACACAGTGAAACAAGATAGGTAGAGATGATCTCATTTTTTAAACCGTTAAAGCCATTTGTCTGTCCCTAACCCTGTAGTCTGTAAATTTCACTGCAGAGAGTGTTTCAAATAGTTGTACAGAAAGAGATCTCACCGATTCTACTTCAACCAAAAGGAAAAATCTTTTGGTTCCCAAGCTCAGCTTTAGATATGCTTTTGCATCCTACACAACTGGAAATTCAACATTTTTCTTCATTAATTCTTTGGCATATGACGTCTACTGCAGCCAATCAGCAGGGGGAGCTCCAAATGTTTTGGTTTCACTTTGAGGGAAGCTGTCACATAATTTATTTTTCTATACAACGTGTATTAACTCAACTAAAAGCATCTAAAATAAAATGTCTCCCTTTTTGATCACAACACTCTTACTGTCTTCCTCAGATTGTTTATTTTTCTTCTCTTTCCAGGAGATACACTCGTTACTTTGGGAGTAAAGGGGATGCGTCCCCTACGCTTAGTCACTACGCACTCACACACTACAGACAGTGGGAGAGGAGCATCGAGGAGTGGCAGAGACCCATTCTGCAGGACAGGTAGCTCACAGCTCTACAAGTTAAATAAAGGATAAAAACTTCTTTCTTGATAAAATATATCTTACTTTGTCCATTTCAGCTCTCTCCCTTCGTGGTACAAGTCGGCACTGTTCAACGAGTTGTACTTTGTGGTGGATGGAGGAACTGTGTGGACAGAGCTGCCAGAGGACACTGATGTTAGCGGCGGTGTTCGCAGCGAGGATGGCGGGCTTCCAGCTCAGCCTGATGTTGTCAAGGAGTACGGACGGTTTGCTTACCTGGAAGGTGAGGGCCAAAGAAACAGACAAACATGGCAGCTTGGAGTTAAAACTATGAAACTTAAATCTGTGAATCTTATATTTACAGTTGGCTAAAACAAAGACTATCATTTTAAATTAGTGATTGATTGTTTTCCAGGTCAGGAGTACAGAATGTACAACACATACGATGTGCACTTCTACGCTTCCTTTGCACTGGTTATGCTGTGGCCTAAACTCGCGCTGAGTTTGCAGTATGATATCGGTGAGAAATCTGCAGTTTTTTAAGTGTTACATGTGTGATTTAAAAAGACAAAGTGGGCTGGTTTAAAAGTACGAATCTCTCCTCAGCTGGCAGTGTGGTTCAGAAGGACCCGACAGAACGGCTCCATCTAATGAGCGGGCGGTACTCTCCTGTTAAGGCCAAAAACGTGGTCCCTCATGACATCGGGGACCCAGGTGGGACAGTCTTCATTACCTAAAGCTCTTTAAGAGATACACAGGTTTTTCATGGTTTGTTTACGTTTTTCCGGATTGTAATTTTGAGTCGACTCTGACTTCCTGTAGATGATGAACCCTGGCAGAGGGTGAACGCCTACCTCATCCATGACACTGCAGACTGGAAGGACTTGAACCTGAAGTTTGTCCTACAAGTTTACAGGGACTTTCATCTTACACAGGACACCCAGTACTTGAAGGACATGTGGCCTGTTTGCCAGGTAAAACTAGCCCTGTCATCTTGGCCACACTTAATTAGAGATGAATACTTTCTGACGTTTTGTTCTGTGACAGTGATGCAGAAACCCCATCTCACTGGATCCACTAGATATATCCGTTTTGCTCTGCTCACATATTTGGCTCTTGGTTTGCCAGGCCGTGATGGAGTCAGAGATGAAGTTCGACTTGGATGGAGATGGACTGATTGAAAACTCTGGATATGCCGACCAGACCTATGATGGCTGGACAGTGACTGGACCAAGGTGAGAGGATAAAAATAGAGGAGATGCCTTAATTGTAACTTTTTAGGCACTATAATCAATGAAATCAATCAGAGAAGCAAAATAAGTGACATGCAGTTACTGTATCAGATCTATTGCCGCTAGTCAAATAGTTGTACAACTGCAGGACTCACTATGTCGTGCTAACAGGAATCCAAATCTTCCCCTCGTTAGAGATGTCATGTTATTAAGCTTTTTTCTCATGTGATATTTTGTCTACTTGTGTCTCTCAGTGCGTACTGTGGTGGGCTGTGGTTGGCATCCCTTTGTGTGATGTGTAAGATGGCCCAACTAGTGGACAGTGAGGAGACGTACCAGCGATACAAGGATATTTTGGATCGGGGCAGCGCTGCTTTTGACAAACTACTGTGGAATGGTATTTGCTGGCACATTTTTCCCGTTAAAAACAATCACTTCTGTCTCTTATGTACTTAAAAATGCCTTCTCTTTGTTTTTGTTTCATGATCAGGTAAATACTACAACTACGACAGCAGTGGGAGGGACCTTTCTAACAGTGTCATGTCTGATCAGTGTGCCGGACACTGGTTTCTGAAAGCATCCGGGCTGGGAGAGGGAGATTATCAGGTGAGTTCAAACATGAGTAAGTAAGTATCATCACATTATCAAGGGACATCAGGGTCTTTGGAAAATTTTAGTTTTTGCTGTCACACTAACACATACAAATTGCTAGCGTGTGGACTGGGCCTAAACCTCACTTCTCGTCTACCTGCAGGCTTTTCCGAAAGACAAAATCCGGAGCGCACTAAAATCAGTCTTTGACCTGAATGTCATGAGCTTCGCCGGAGGTCAGATGGGAGCAGTAAATGGTATGCGCCCTGAAGGAGTCGCTGACCGCTCCAGTGTTCAGTCCGATGAGGTCTGGATTGGAGTGGTGTACGGACTTGCAGCCACTATGATCCATGAGGTAAGTTTGGGAGTGGATGACCGATAGTTTCACTGAATCCTGACATTAGAAATGATGACGCAAACTAAAAAGGTACACATCAGAGCGAAATGTACAAAACTCTCTGTTATTATTATTTTTCAGGGTATGTATGAGGAGGGTATGCGCACAGCAGAAGGTTGTTATCGGACTGTGTGGGAGAGACTAGGCATGGCCTTCCAGACTCCTGAAGCGTACTGTGAGAAGGGCATCTACCGCTCCCTTGCATATATGAGACCTCTGAGTGTGTGGGCCATGCAGCTGGCCCTGAGCACTTCTGCAAAGGACCAGAGCACGTCAGCACAAAATGGAGCATCAGACGGAGAGCAGGGACAGGACTTGGGAGTAAACCAGAGCTAGGATCCCAGAATTACACTGTTTAGTGATATAAAGCAGGTTCCTCTTTGAATCATCTTCAGACTCCCCAGCAGCAACCATCCTCATGTGCACCCCAGCTCCCTCACAAATGTGATCTGAGATGGACCTTGAATTTGTTTCTCTAGTGTTCATTTTACTCCAGATGTCTCATTATTTGAAGCTTGATGTCGGCTTCATGGTTTTAACTTGACAAAAGCAGTAGCTATTGTAGGTCATATTAGATACAGAGTGAGAGTTTTTACGAGGCTGAAAATGGTCCCTGATTTTTTTAAAACTGCAGAGCCAGGCAGCCAGTCAATGTCGAAGTTATAGCCAGTGATTCAGATGTCTATACGCACTACATTTCCAAATCATATCAGAATTCTGGTTTTCCTCTTGGAGCATTTTTAAATGCTTACCATTTAAGGACTGTTGATTATTATACCAGCCACATATTATTGTGTTAACCAGTTAAGCTGACATCAGTTGACCTTTGAATAAAGCTGTATATGAATGATGTTTCAATCAGAAATATGGTCACTTGAAAAGTGTAATTTTAATTTGAATGCTGTAATATGTGAGGTAATATTTGATGAGTAGTATTGGATTTTCTGTTAAATAGGATTTGGTGCCTTGCTGCATGTTGACTTGTATCTACAGTGTATTAATGTAGAGGCAACATTTACCCTTTTATAAAATCCAGTACTCATGACAATCATGTCTAATAAAGAACTGAATGAGGTATAATTGAAGACTGGCTTTAATGTACTCTGAGTGTTTTGTTTGTCTTTTTTTTTTTTTTTTCTTGTTGGTTACGACTGGCTCACGTAATTTTCGTCTGATGCCTCCATATTATAACAAATTCAAACAAGTCCATCAAGCGGGTGGTCCATTGCACCTAAAAGCTGTATATTATTTGAATTTATGCGTCAATTAGATCTTTTCTTGATAGACAAAAAAGTCCTAAAAATTCACAGTTGCTAAAGATTTTATAGGAGTGTCACAAAACCAACATGTGTAATCCAGGGAGCCAGAAGAGAAGTCTGTTCATTTTAATTTTGCACCCAAACCTGATCAATCAAACGGAGCGACAAAAACTCAGCATGACACGCTGGTGAATATACCGAAATACACCCAAATTGATGCGCTCCGGCTATTCTGTTAGCCACAACTACACACTAACTAAGAGAGATGCAGCTCTCTCTCCGGTATAAACGGTATAGCAAAATTTCTACCGGTAGACACTCTTATACCGACACACGGTATATCGTCATACCACCCAACACTACTTGGAGTTTTAATTTGGATATTGGTCAGTTTCTGTTGACTGATAGCCTAGCTGATGGAATCAGTGTGTAGTTTTGTCATCATTCAAAGGCTAGCGAGACCTGCCTATCCAAAGGCCTTTGAGTTTCTGTGACGAGACTGTTTTACTTTGGTACAAAAGGCAAACTATTATCATGAATTAAAAGCAGATAAAAAGTGGCAAATACATGCTTCCTGCACACAAGAGATACTAGACTTGATGTAGTCCCCAAATTAGTATTTTCTTGAGCTCTAACCTGCTGCTAATATGACATCAGTCTCTGTGGCGCAATCGGTTAGCGCGTTCGGCTGTTAACCGAAAGGTTGGTGGTTCGAGCCCACCCAGGGACGAAAGTTTTAAGTTTCCCTCAACACAAAATTCAATAGGAAAACAAATTGCAACCAATACTAACTCTGGAAGACAACAAAATACAATACTGATTGAGGAGGAAGTAGACATGTTGAAATTAATTGCTATGCTTTGTCTAAGCTCCCCGAGTCTCTGTGGGCAGCCTTTCTCTCAATAAAGCCTGATTCTTCTAAAAGCCTGGATATGGCACAGGCTTTGAACTCTCAACACTTGGCCTCTAAATGGTCTCTTAAAACACAGAAATCATACTCAAAACACACCCGTTCTTATTTTCATCATAAAGTTCTGTCTCTTTCTTTGACCATTTTTTAAAACACTGCATTTTATGCTAACAAATAAAGAGGTTTTCTTGAAAAAACATGCGTTAGCAGCTGGGTTGAGGATTATCCTTTATTGCCAAATGGCTCTCCAAACAAAAAAGACTCCCGTCCCTGGGTGGGCTCGAACCACCAACCTTTCGGTTAACAGCCGAACGCGCTAACCGATTGCGCCACAGAGACAAGGTTGCTCCCAGCAGCTGAACAATCAGAACTTGTCCTTGAGCTCAGTGGTGATGGGGGGTTGGGGCAAGGATGATTCCAGGACCCTACATGCTGCTGTAAAACCGGACAATGTGGGTGGGGCATGTTACATAGCCCGGCTAGCTCAGTCGGTAGAGCATGAGACTCTTAATCTCAGGGTCGTGGGTTCGAGCCCCACGTTGGGCGCTACAACTTTTTTTTTTTGCCTTGGTGGTGAAGGCCCTGCAAATGCACAACAAGTTGTAGCTCCACACTTCAGGGTCTTTGTGCTTCACAAAAGTGGGGGTTGTAACCTGAGAAACCCACATTTTGGAAAGAATCAGTCATGATGGGGAAGGGATGTTGTCTACCTTGAATAGACAAATGGAAAAACCATAAGATCCTCACTCACAGGAAGAGGCCCCAAATTTGGTCCAACTTTTAAATTTTCATTCTTTTTTTTTTTGTTTATAAACAAAACTCAAGTGTTTCCTTTAATTATCATCACAAGCCCCAGCATGTGCATACCCAATGACAAGAGAAGTATGGCCACTTTGCTTAGCATTCATGGCTTACCCAGAAGTCTTTTTTGCAAGTAATACTATTAAGTGTCAACCAAATGCCATATGATTTCAAATGCTGTAAGAATTGCAAAGTATATCCCCTAAAAAATAAAGGACCTTAAGAAAAGATTGTGCGCCCAACGTGGGGCTCGAACCCACGACCCTGAGATTAAGAGTCTCATGCTCTACCGACTGAGCTAGCCGGGCATCTGGTGTACATAAAAGGGGCGGGGCTTATAAACAAGATGTAGGACTGAAAAATGTCTAGTCCCCACAGAGCCCTGCCTGAAAGGGTGAGACAGGATCAAGTACTGGTGGCAGGGAAGGGGGTGGTAAGGGTGTCTCATGTGCCTGCTGTTCTGCCAAGTTTTACCACCTGAAAATGCTTCTGTAGTGCATATCAATAACAAAGACGGCAAGTTTATTAAAGGCGGTCTTTTCATCTCTTGATATACTGGACCATCTTAATTTCAACCCTTACCTATGGTCAGGAGCTTTGGGTAGTGACCGATAGTACAAGATCGCAGGTACAAGAGGTCAAATTTTTGTTTCCTCTGCAGGGTGGCTGGGCCTTCCCCTGGAGAGAGGGTCAGAAGCTCAGTCATCTGAGAGGGGCTTGGAGTAAAGCCACTGCTCCTCCACACTGGTGAGGTGTTCAGGGCATGTATACATGATACTGAGGGCTTGGTCTTCAACCTGCTCTTAAAAAAGTTGATCAACTTGAACTGAATCAGTCTGACTTTAGGTAGGACCACTTAAACTGCCCCTTTGCCAGTAACAAAATCATTGCATTTGGAAAGAGCAACTGGTCAGGCCCCAGTTCTCTTACTGCTGGATCAGTCTGCTGCATTTGTCCACCTGGCTTCCAGGTCTCTGTGGCGCAATCGGTTAGCGCGTTCGGCTGTTAACCGAAAGGTTGGTGGTTCGAGCCCACCCAGGGACGACATTTTTATCCTCACATATCAATTAACGAAAGACAATGAATTAAAAAGGGGGAAACACCTAAATATCAAACATTACCAGGGGTTCTGCTTCATGAGAATGATAATGGTGCACCGCCACGCCTCATTTAAGCCGCCATGCTGTAAGCAGAGAAGCCCAAACTTCCTTCTCCCCAGCCACTTCGACCAGCTCTTCATGGGGGACCCCAAGGCGTTCCCAGGCCAGCTAAGAGACACAGTCTCTCCAGCATGACCAGGGTGTCCTGGTGCCATGTGCACATGCGGACACACATATGTCTGAACATGGTGTTTATTATGGACAATCTGTGACGAGCACTGAAATCCAACAACAAAGCAACATTCAGGGTTCAGATCAGGGGGCCTGTTCCTCCCAATCACGCCCCTCCCCCCTCGGGCTTCAGTTTCAAAAAAATCCTGGAGGAAACACTGATTACAATACTACAATAAAGATTTTAGCACTCAGCTGTGACCTCAGTTTGAATACCCAGTGCTTTGAAAACACAAAATGGAATGCAACAAATGCTTGAAATTTCTTTAGGGATTGCAGAATTCAGCATTTAAAGCAATAATGGGATACAATTACAAGCAAGAAATACTTTCATATGGTAAGAAAATCAAATAAAATTCAAATTTAGCACAAGTACTACTAAAAAGATTATGTAAAAAAAAGTTATGTGTATAATTCAGTATTAAGAAAAAAAAAAGAAAAAAAAAAAGGTGTGCGCCCAACGTGGGGCTCGAACCCACGACCCTGAGATTAAGAGTCTCATGCTCTACCGACTGAGCTAGCCGGGCTACTGATGAGCCCAAAAGGGGTGGGGCTTATAAACAAGCAGTCTATGATGAGAGTCCTCTCTTAGAAAGAGCTAAATAACAGCTTTCACATTTCCATTTACCTAACGTTTGAAACAATAATCAAGGTACTACTGGTAAAGATAAAAATATATCCTGAAAGTGTTCTTTCCATCCACCTAACAAGCATTGATTGTGATTTTCTTTTTTTTTTTTTTTCCAACAAAAGACTGCATTGCTTGGCTTTTGTAATTTTTGTAATTGTAATTTGTAATTTATCAGCAGCTAATTTTATTTTAGCATGTTAGTATGATTAGTGTGTTCTCTTTTAGCCGAGTGTGCACTGATAAGATGAGGGAGACTCTGTGACAACTTTGTATCTTAAAATGACATGTCGGTTTGAAGTTTTTCAACTAATTTTCTACTAACAGCTTCCTTTGCAAGGAAAACAAGAAAACGGTAACTTGATTGGGCTTGCACAGAATATTAAAATAACAAGCTCAATGTTGTTACATGGTCTCGATAGTAGCATTAACCACAACTTAAAGTTTTCTACTCTATCAATTCATTGAAATCATGAGCAAATTCACAAGGCTCCTTGTTTTACCTACAGTTAAGGCTGAAAAACTGCACTGTCATGATCTGCGGCCTGTTAACGGGTAATTACCGTTGACCAGATTCCTGTCTAAATTAGCATCACGAAGTGCGCCGGCATTCAGTCAGCGAAACTACTTAAAAGGCATTATTACCACATCACTACGTTTTCTTTGTTGTTAAAGTTTCACTTAAAGCAACCTTTGAAAAAGAAAGAGAGAAAGAAAAGCAGTATCGTTCTTCTTACCGTGAAAACCGTCGTGTAGACAGCTATCTTGTTGTGGTGATACGCTCCGGCGCCGTTGCTCGTTGTAGGCCTCAGTTGCGCAGAAAAAAGAATAATGCAGCGTCGTGTAAAATATTCCACTTTTTCGTCCGAAAACTGCCCTGAAAATTGTGTTTTTGTACTAAAACAACACATCGCCTAATATTATGATGGTGTTAGCTATGAAGCTTAACCACATTTTGGTAGGGCCACACTGCGTCCTCGATCACGAACTTCTTCAACTTGTCGGTGAGGATGGTAATTTCAGGAGACAGAGGCGGGGAATTCTGAGTAAAGAAAAAACATGATTTAAATGTCTTAAACTTTATCCAAATGTGGCCAAATCAAGATTAAAGTTCCATACGATACATTAAAAGAACCTCAAAATATACACGAATCTTCTCATTCTAAATATTTCACTTTTATTCAAACACCCTTATCAAGTATTTAGTAGTTTAGTATCTTGTTTAGTAACTTTTTTACGAGAATAAAGTCGTAATTAACTACTTATGATAATGTGGTGTTGATGTGCCAAAAGATTAAGTATCTCCTTGTTTTATAAAACTTTTCTGAAGTACATTTTCACGAAATGCTCCATCATCTTAAACAACAAACTAGAATATCAGGACTTTATTCTGACTTAATTCTCGTAAGTTATTACTTCACTACGACTTTATTCTCGTACGTTAATGACTTTAATCTCAAAGTCTGAATCTTTTTTCTCAATGTGGCCCAAATACTCTGTCGTAGGATTCTCCATTGAATACAATAAAAATCAATTTACATGAATAAAGATATTTTAAAAAGGTTGAAACAACTAAATCATTCTCGTATAATATTATTCTATAACTTTGTCATTAGTAGCAGAAAATGTATTTTTTATTTTATTTACAGCAATAATGTCCAATGCAACTGCTGAAACGTCCAGGTTCACCTATCGCCACAAGATGGCGGTACTTCCCTTCAATAGAGAACCGACGGCAGGAGCAGAAGAGCGTCGCCAACTGCTGAATTACACCCGGCTTTGATCCGCACTTCCCGGCGGAGCACAACACAGATCGGAGCTTGTCTCGGTGGGCTCCGGTGCGTCTTTTTTTAGACTTTCAAAAGTGAAAACGTGGGTTGTTCACCGCACAAGAGTAGCTACGAGCAATCACGTGATCAAATGCGGAAATTGTGTGTTAGAGAAAGTGTAGCGGAGAAAAGAGGGGAGTGGAGGTTTTGGGAGCCGTTTGTGTTTTGAGCTGCTGCTGCTGGTGTTGGTGCCTGCACTAGCTTGACATCCTCCGTACCAAAACAAATCTTCTTCTACAGAAAGAGAACGACTGTGGTTTATTAAGTGCGACTTTCCACCGTCGTAAAAACAGTAAGGTAAGTTTGAGGAGGTAACGCTCATTTCAGCACGTCTACTTGTATTTTTCATGTTACCGAGGCAGATTTTGGCGTGTTATTTCACTGTTGCCACTTGTCCTGATGTCTTTTGAAACTTATGATGGGTTACTGTGAACTTTATAATGTCAAAAATGACCCGTATTTGGACAGACTACATTATCTTTAACAAAAAATAGAAGTATAGCAAACGAAAGTAAGATGCTGCTGTAGTCACCCATGAAGATACTGTGAGTTAAGTGTGTTATTTTACCCACTGATAGATACACTACAAACATTAAACTTCAGTTATGTAGGCATTAGACATTAAAGGCAGAGGGTCTGACTGTCAGAAGAAAGGGTGTACTTGATATTTTATCTACAAGATGCTGTTGAATCAGAAATTGAATGATTTCAGCTAGTCTATGATAGAAAATTGTGGAAAGACAACATATTTTTTTAATTTTAAGTATTTTTTGTTTCTGAACGGTTGGGACTGGGGCATGTTTACCATTGTGTTGCGTCACCTGTTCTCTAAACAACACTCTGTAAACCAAAGAGGCCAGTTTTCTGGAGTTTTGAAAGTTTGGAGTCCCTTTTTGTCATGTTGTTTTTTTACATCCAGTGCCAGATGTTTTCAATAGGGGACAAGTCGGGACTGCAGGCAAGCCAGACTCTTCTACTCTGCACCCATGCTGTTGGAATACCTGTCTGGGCATTGTCTATGGGATATAGTCATTGTATGGTTTCCTTTTTGCATGGTACAATTTTAACTTGGATTTTAGGGATGTAGTGATGAAATTGCGATGATTAGTACTACAGAGTCATGTCTGTTTTCAGTTCAGTGCTGCCTGAGTCCCTTTTGATCACAGACACCCAAACTCAGTTTCATCAACTCAAACAAACTCAGTATCATCGTTCAGAATCCTTACTGACGTATATTGTAGCAGATAAAAAGTGATTTTATCTTTTTCTGGAATTGCTGAACTCACTCAGTCTCTCACATGATGACGAACCACCCTCTCATCTTTCCCCCTGAGAGACTCTTCGGCATGCTCTTTTTATTCCCAGCCATTGAACTCACATTTTACAAATAAATGTTTGTAGATGAGAGATTTTCCTCCTGGTGTTTGTTAGAATTACACAACTTTTTCAGTGTTTTGTTGTTCACTTTATCAATTATTAAGAGTTAAAATTAGTCTTTATTTTTCATAAAACTAACAACTTTCTGTTTAGTCCAGACCTTTCTTGTAGGTGAAATGTAGAACAAAGATTGAGTTAAAAGCATATCAAGACAGCATTAACTCCGAAGCTACTGTTTAATTTCATCTCCATGCTGTTGTCAGTGTTTGTTCCCAGCACATGGAGATGAAATCCCTCTCTCAAAATAACAAAGCATAAATTCAAAGCAGGATAAGGCTACCTGTTGCTGCTGTCTGCGATTTTAATTTGTCAGCTGTGGCTCAGAGCTGTCAGTGACAAAGCTCTGTGAGGCTTCAGGATATGAGTGAGGTGGCCATGAATATAAATTAAATTCAATGCCCACACCCTCTGAAGGTCACCGTATAAGGAATCAGTCTGCTTGACGCATCTGCTTCTTGACGTGTCCGGGTGGATCAGACCACAATCCAATCACAATGAATTTAAAAGTTTCAACACATGCAATTTTGCCTATTCATAAAACATGTCACACTTAACTTGGCGTAAGTTGTCTCAAAGATTTTTTTCAGGGGTAGCTATGTAACTAAAGCAACTGTCTAGAGTGACCATACGTCCTCTTTTACCTGGACATGTCCTCTTTTTTGGGGGGCTGTCCGGCCATGTCCGGGGGAGTTTATAAAATCCTTCAAATGTCCAGGGTTTTGTATGGAAGTTTTGAGTTTGTGTCACATGGACTTACTGAGTTTGAAGAGCATAAAAAACACTCGACCCGACCCGAAAAACTCTAAAAATTAACTACGCGAAACATCATGACTCCGCCCCTGCATAGTCGTGTCCTCTTTCTGGGGATTCGGAATATGGTCACTCTACAACTGTCTAAACCTGACAGGGCATGAAATGTGAGCAAGTTATCGAAAAATCTTTAAATTAAAGTAAAAATAGCTTTATTTATGAAGGTTTGGTTAGGGTTTGGGTTAGAAATAAGGCTGTCATGGTGGAAGAAAGTTCTTTCAGCCTCCTCGCTAACAGCTACAACATGCCCGTTTGTCAGTCACATCAGCTGTGCGACTAATTTTGCAAAGCTTGTAACTGTGTTATATTCAAAACTAATGATTTATGATGAAATTCAACACAATGTAAAAGGACAGAGCAATAATGTTGCGTTCGAATTACCTCTGGAGTCAGATGTTGAAGCTGAAAATGACGTCATATCTGAGTTACTAGCATTTCAGTTACCAAGGCTGTGTCCAAAATGGATCCCTAACCCCTATATAACCGACTGTATGGGGGTTAGCGCCGTTTTGAGGGGTGTCCGAAACCTGAGTGATCAATTCCAGTGCCCTATATAGGCAACTCAAAATTACCCATAGAGCATTGCAAAATGTAGTGACCATCTGATGGTCACTCACCAGTGGTGGGCATCCCGTCATGCATTGCGTATTGCCATGTAGTGTCCAAAACCTCTGGTGATTGAGTTCACATATGGAGGTGAGGGGTTAGGGATTAAGTGATTCATTTCGGACACAGCCCAAGTCGGAGAAAAGCAAAATCAGAGGTGGAAACAAGATGGCTACATGTACGAAAGTTATTTTAAGGCTTGCCTTGTCCTTGTTATATTTGAAAGAGGCAAGCGCTTTAATAACTTTCGTAGATGTAACCGTCTTGTTTCAGCCTCCAATTTTGCTGTTTTCTGACTTGGTAACCGAAACGTTGATAACTCGGGTGTGACGTCATTTTCAGCTCCAACATCCAACTTCCGAGGTCACTCGAACGCAGCATAAGCCTTTCAGGCAAAAACTGCTCTTGAAACAGGTTGTACAAAGATGGGATTTTTTAGAATGGGTGTGTTTGCAGCCAGTTTCAGCTCTCTCAGGATGCACTATTGGATCCAGAGACCAGCATCATGAATTCAGAATAATGTGGCGTTTGCCTTCCATTCTCTACTGTTGACTTGGATTCCCCTCAGGAGAGTAAGACAGTCTGAGTAGATGTTTAAACCTGACAGTTTGGTTTTAGCCCAGTTTAGGTTTGTTTGAAGCCGGTCTAATTGTCTGGTTTGCCTGTCGGAGTCCTTTTTAATGACGCTGATGTGCCCCCAGTTGTCAGCTGCTCACCCCGGGTACAGTTTAATTATTAATGCTAACAATGGGAGCTGTGCCTGCAACAATAAAACCCCATGAGTCATAATCTGGATCTATTCTTATGTGGTTTTCATTCAGTAGTTAGAAATCAAACCTCAGATTTCATGAAACAATGAGGCCTTAATATCTCCAATGTCTTCTCCTGGTGATTTAAGGTCGTTCTAATATCATATTGACCTGGTAGATTCTTGTAATCCCAAGAATTGACCATCTGTGTCATTTTCAAACACCAGTATGTTGCAGATGTTCGTGAATCCTAAGACAAAATTTACTTCCTTTTCCTTCACTGCTGCTCTCTCAGCTATTAGGATCTCATCAGCAGTTTTCCAATCTCAGCGGCCCACTTAGGCGCCCAAAAACAGCAGTGATATGTGGAGCTGTCAAAAGTGGATTGTGCTCTGATTTAAAGCGTCTCTTGGCGGATGCTACATTACCTTGGCGCAGATCTTTTCTGGCCGTGTCTTCATTTCAGACAAAACCAATGTAAACAATTACGATGAAACACTACCCAATAAAGGAAACCATAGAAATCCAAGATCATGCCAAACTTTGCACAGTTAGATCTGAGACCAACAGTCAGAGTCAATCCAATGAAGAGTTTGTGTGTTAAAGGATGTTTATAGTTTTTCCAGAGCAGAATCTCACAGCTGGATATTATTTGCTTGTTGAGAAAACCAAGACAGTTTTGACCTCTGAGGATAAACCCCTCTGAGCCTCCTCTTCAAACCCAGAGCTAACAAATCCTCCCATAATGGAGGCAGACCATGTCTTTGAACCCTTGCTCTGAAAGAAAACAAGTGCAAAGACAAAAAAAAAAACAGTGCTGTAAAAATATTGTTCAGTCTTTGCTCTTTAAAACATGCATGCCAGCTCTGAAAAGTTAAAGAGCCCAGTTTGTCTGATCAGTCAATGATGCTCTGAAGCTTGTTTTCACAGAGCACCAGAGGGTTTTTGTACCAAGTTTGTGTTCGGACTCAAGTACAAACTGTGTCAGGGTTTAAAGAAATTTAGAACATCCATTTTTTGGAGTATTTAACCAAAGTTTTCTTTATGTATTCATGAAAAGCATCCCTCTCAATACAGTGAGGTAACAACTTTGTAACATATATGTTGGTTATTTTTGTATATGCACTAACGCTTGATTTGTAGGAGGTCAATTCTCAACATTAAGGCTCGAGAAAGTGAGGACTTCAGGCGCTGACAGCAAGTAAAATGTAAACTGACACAAAGGGGCAGGGTTCCTACGCAAGTATGGAAAGTATGGAAAAGTATGGAAGTAATTTGATCAATTTCCAGGTCTTAAAAAGTGTGGTAAATGAAAAACAAAGTATGGAAAAATATTTGTGTTAATAGACCACATTACCATAGTTACCATAAAATAATACTGTAATACTGTAATACTGTTTTCTAAAATAGAAAAGTTGGTATTTCCAAAAATAATTCTGAAAAGTAGGATATGGAAAAGTCTGGAAAGTCCACCTGTGTAGGAACCTTGAAGGGGCAAGAACTTCAAAATAAAAGAGGAGACGATAAACATACAAGGAAAATCATTACAAACCCAAAGTTCCTCACAGGAGCTTTAAGATAAAAATGCTTACACAGCAGGAGTGAGAAGAGCCTGAGGACATGACTGGAAATTGTTCTTGTTTACAACTGAATACATTTTTAATATTGAAAAACTATTTCTGAAGTTGTTTGGCAGAGATGTCTCGGTAAAGGCGTAAGGATACTTTGGTATTGTATAGTTGTTATGACACACAGTTACGCTGCTCATTTCCTCTGCTCACAAACTGATATGAAGCCCCGCTGAGAGGGATGGGATTGTTTTCCATCTGTGTGAAGCTGACTAACAGTAGCTTCAGCCCCCAGCTAATCCTCTTAGACTGTTAGGTTGTTTTCTTTAATTGAACTCTCTGTCGGGAGTCTTAGGCTCTCTTGGCCGACTATCGCGGCCACATCTGTGCTCACAGCTGATGCTGCGGCCAACCAAAGGTCGAGCATTTAGAGAGAAAAACACCTCAGGAAGCTGACGGATGCTGAGCTGTTATCTCCTCGTTATTTTCCTCTCTCCTGTACAACCTTTCTTCCTCCCTATCTTCACTGTTCTGCGGTTGATCTAATCACTGACTACTGTCTCTGACTCTTCTGCCGCTCTCTGCATTTTGCTGAGTCTTACTCTCACTCTGTGTCCTCCATCCTGGCGTGTTTTACAGGGTCCTTCTGAGGTCAAGTTGCTGACATGATGAAGCTGTGACAGTTTATGTCCAAGTGAGTCTGTGCTGGACCGATCTCTGGGACATGGCCGCTGCAAAGAAAAGTGAGTTGTTTTTATTATTATTTTCGATGCTTGATGAAAGTCCAAAAACATTTCTTCTAACCTGTCCTGGGTGCTAAATCTTGAGTTGGTTCTCTAGGTAAACCATGTAAAGATGGAAGCACTCTTTTGCGATCAGGACTGGCAGTAATACTTTAGATAGAAATCAGCTGAGTCACAACATGGTTAAAATTTTTCTGCATATATGTATTCTTGAGAAAACTGTGTCAGTACAGAGGAAGTCTCAGTTATAGACAGTATCTACTCATACATTGGAAGTGTGATGAAGCTCTAAGATTTCACCATAGATAAAATGCTGAGTCAAACTGACTAATAACTGGAAACCAGCAAAGAAGTGCGTTTGAGGCCCCATCCTCATCCTCTGTGTTTGCCCTCTCCCATCATGTTCAGTTCACATTATGGTGGAACAAAGTCATTCTGCCTCTGATCCACCCTCCAGAACTAAAACAGAAATAGTGAAAAGGCTGTGGCAGGGTGTGTAAGTGTGCCTCAGTGCCCACTGCACTTTCATAAGGTCGTGATGCAATGTGAACCCACGCCCAATATGTAAGTATAGATGTGTAGTGATGGAGGAACTTGCACTGTGAAGAGACTTTTTACTTCCATACAATATGAAGTTATAACAGCAGGTGATTAGAGTATGGATGGACATCAGCTGAAACAAGCTGCTCATAACTTTTAATCAGCGTTGTGAGGAGGTTTATATTTAACCAGGATGGACCAGAGAAGCTCTCTCTCTCTGATGAGCGCTGAAGGTTATCAGACACGAGGGGCAGAGGGCAAAGAGAGGTTGTCTTAATCATTGATTGCAGATTCAACTCTTAAGTATGAAGATAATAAGAATGTAAAAATGGTAGGAGAACACTACCCACCACCCTGATGATGGGGTTATTAACAGTTGGCTAACTAGCTTGCCTAGCTAGCTAGCATTGTGTATCAAAGACACCATCACCCCCATCTTAACTTAACCTTTACAGCTGGTCTGAGCACAGAAATGAACTATTACAGTGTTTCCCCTAGATTTTTTTTAAGCAGCGGTGTGTGTGCGCTCTCTTGCTGCTCCAGGAGCTACGCTGTTACATTCATGTTACGTTACCCGCATTACTCGCTATACAGACCAGATGTAGGGGAAACACTGCTGATCCACATAAGTCTGAGGTAGAACTACGTGAGATAAAAACTCTTTTTTTTTTAGGTGTGGCAGCTTTTATTTAGCTGTGGTGGTGCGCCACGATCAATTGCATGTAGGGGAAACCCCGTATTCGACTATTATTGGAATACTGTTTTACATATATATATATTTTTTATTTGACAAAGTTTAGTACAGTCTTATTTTTGTATTATTTTTATGTGGGACTGTGTATGAATTTGTGTATGGCTGTTGTCTTTGTGTATCTTTTTTCAACTCACTGCAAATGAATCTCCTCACGAGGACAATAAATTCAACTTAAAAATGATAAACTAATAACTTGCTACTGAGTCTAAAACCAAATACTTTTATTTAACAGCGTGGTACTTAGCAGTTTGAGAGTCTGCTCTCTTGATTGTATTAGCTGCAATTAATCAGGGGGTAAGTGGGCCTAAAGGACGCACCAGAGACATCCTCCACAGTACAGAAAAGAAGGAACATCTGTCAGCCGCATTTGCAGGAGTCTTCAAAACGAGACAGCCCTCGACACGCCGCTGTGACACATTCAGTTTTGTGGACTTTAAAGGATCGAGACACAACTATAGACTGTATAAAACATGGATGTAGCTACAGTTTTGTCTCCTATCGACAACAGTTTTGGATTTTCAGTCGATGTAATGAAAGACCAAAACAGTTAAGTTGTCTTTTAGTGTCCTTGCTTTTCCCTCGGTGGTTAAGGCTAGAGTCACTTCAGCTTCACCTCATCTTTTAGGATATGAGCTTGTGTCTTGGTTTGACTTTACCGGAATCATATGTATAGTCACTGACACCTGCTCTTTTCTCTGCTGCTCTATCTGCCTTGACTTTCCGTGTATGCACATGCTCTCAGAATAAAGCTGCCAAATATTCCTAAACTGTTGAATTTAAAAGCCGAAGTGATCCATTCTGGCGTTTTATTGAAGTAGCCGTTTCCAAGAATAGAGATAAAGTGCAGGAAATCACTTTTCTTGAGAATTTCTGTTCACAGAGGAAGTGATTGAATCGTAATGGAACTGTATCCTATAATCTGCGGAGGGTGAATTACTTAATCCATCTCTTGCATTCAGAGTTTCTTGGAAAGGCTTAGCTGTTGCAATAATACTCTTTAAGGAAAAGAAATACAGGATGACTGATTGTTCAATATATTTCACTGTGGTTGTCACCAGAGAGTCCAGCTTGGAGGCCTTCCAGGGAAGTGAATCGATTAGATTTAAATTCATATTGATTTGCTCTTTTTTATTTCGGTGTCTTGGGGAAAAGGGAGTGTTGATTTCTGGTTGAGCAGGCTTTCTGTGGACGTGAGCAAATTTATTTCCTCAAAAGAAGGAAGTGCTCAATAAAACGCCTGTAACTGAACAAGCCCTGGTGGAGAGTTTTCAGTGACTCATCAGGTTTTTATCAACACATTGAAAGTGCTTTGACTGCTCCCCTGCGGTGGAGAATGAGTTCTTGTTGCTCTGCAGGCTTTTGTTCTGGATAATGTCACTGAATGAAGGGCAGTGCAGAGGGACACCGTATCAACTTCCTGTTGACAGCTTTTGATAAAATCTGTATTTTTCGTGTGCCTGGAACCGGCAGAAATATCACAGGAAGAGGGTTTGTTTCCTTTTTAACATGGAGGGTGGAGATGTGTCAAAGAATTTTCTCAAGAGCTCGGAAACCTCGATTGTGTAGTGTGTGGTTTTGTTTGCTTTCGACAGTTTCCGATTGGTTATCTCAAAACGACCACAACAATTGGTCGTGCCACAGTAGAAGTCAGGAAAAATCAATAGACTGTTAATAATTGATGAATTTTATAAAGATTATTGGCTCTCATAAAACCATCACGTCCCATTAGAGTCACTTATACACAGTCTTGGGAGTCCCCGAGCTCCATCAGACCATAGGTTCCTCTGGATTGCTGCTGCAGACGCATTTACCTCTATCTCCTCACTGAACCCATGAGTCTAACATGAGTCTAGTTCTGCTGTTAAAGGGATATTCCGGTGTAAAATTAATTTACGGTCAAACACACCGCAACACTGAGTAAGACACCCCTCGGCCAGTCCATCAGCGACTGTAGTGGGGTGACGCAGCTCAAGGAAGAACATTTATAATAATTTCTTTATAATTTTCTTGAAGTATTAATCACCATATTAATCATTTTGCACTGCAGATGCGGTAGTTCTCCTGCCGTCTCGGTCTGATAACATTTCCATGAAGAAATGATCATAAATGTTCTTCCTTGAGCTGTGTCACCCTGTCTCAGGCGATGATGGACTGGTCGAGGTCTCCCTACAAACAAGCGGCTGCTGGAAGAGAGTAGGTGAGTTGTGTTTGGTCTCTTTGTTAAAGAAATTAGGCAAGGCTAAAAAGATGTTTGGTGTCTAGTGCTGTGGCTGGGACCCTATATGTACTGTTGATGAAGTTAGGTGCTGTTCTGAGCATTATTTGTGGCTATAGAGTGGCGTTTTGGTTGAGGTTTGTTTATGGCTTCTCAAACCGCTGTGTATTGCTATCGTGCGGTCATTACTAAAGTTGGTATAACTAGAGAAGCAAGCAGTCGGCAACATTCATCTCTCGAAGGGTTGTCTAACTCGGTGTTAAGGAGTTTAAAGGGAGTAACTCTAATTTAGGGATGCACCGATCTGCTTTTTTCACTTCCGATATCGATACAGATATCTACAGTTTAGTATCGGCCATTACCGATCCAATTCCAATAGAGAAAAGCTGCGCTGAATTACCTTTTGTTGGAACTTGAAGTTTTACCACCACCTCTCAGAACATGTACTGCACAGGTATTGCAAGTGGCTGTCAAGCTTGTGGGCTGAGGTAGTGTGATAAAGTTCAAGATAGCAGACCCCTTTACGTGCTCCATTTTGAAAACAATATGGGCATCCGCTCAGCGTGTTTACTTGTGGATGCCACTCATGGTGCATAGCATTGAGTTAGACTGAATAGATCGACCCCTATGCATCGGACGCATTGTCAAGATACCCGATCTAGAATTTTTCAAATATCGGATCGGTGCATCCCTACTCTAAATGCTGAAAAGTGTTTCACTCATGGTTGACGATGGGATGGGAGTGGGTCTGATCCAACAGGATGGGGTTCAGTCTTTTGGGGTCTTCGAAAACAGACCACTTGCAAGAAGTTATTTTGCAGCATAAATTTCTGAAGCATGTACTTAATATTCAAGCAGAGGACATCAGGCCAACTGGCTCGTGAAGCTATTCCTGCCCACTACAATCTGTCAGAATTATCAATCAAGAGAAACTGTCCAAAGTTTAACATGACCCCCTTTTGATGGTTACATCTCCTCGTCTTGAGATGCTTAAAGCAAAGCTGAGTCGCCCTGTTGTATGGATGTTTTGATCTGTAGACAGAGAAAGATCCATGGGGTCTAGCTGTGAGGCTTACACCCATATAATTGTGTTTGTGTTTTATAAACAGCACAGTCCCAGGTGTGCTTGTTTATTACCGTGCTGGAGAGGGCTGCAGTTTTGAATGCGAGCGAGGATGACTCTCGAAATTATAAAAATGTTGTTGGTAGTTCAAGTGGAGCTAACAGCCATGTGACACATCTGGTCAATCGCAGGCAATGGTGTATTAGTTCCATTGTAAATCCTGCAAATGCTGCAACCAAATGTGCCGTTTTTCTTAGTGAAAAGATGCCGATTTGAGTTTTATTTGGAGCTTACTCACACCTTGTTAAACAGAGAGCCCACAGCAGAAGGCTGCCATGCTAACAGAGCATATTGAGTATTCAGCAGAGCACCATCAGACACACTGACAGACAGATTAGCGAGGGAACAGAGGTAGGCTGGATAGAGATTAATCTGAAATAAGCCAGTTCAGTTGGGGTGCATGTGCGTCCACATGTGCATAGTGAATGTTTTGTGTGAGGTAACGAGTGTGCTACTATGAGCGTGCGAGTGTGTGTTTGTGTGTGTGTGTTTGTATCCCTGCCATGGCTTTGTCTGAGATTATCCGACCCAGCGGAAAGGCCGGAGAATTCAGCATTGTGATAATGAGCCTGAACCAGAAGCTTGGCCCGGAGCTTCAATGTGTGGATGGATGCTGCTTGTGTCTTGTATGTGTGCAGATCTACCATGTACAAACAGAGAGTAGAAAAAGAGGGCAGAGCTGAGACAGAGGAAGTGAAACCGGCGAACAGGCGAACAAGAGGAGCCAGCTGCACAACAAATGAACAATCAGAGTGACGACAACATCGTGTCTGCACAGTCTGGTTGTCTGTATGAAGTTGCTCTGTTTGCTCTGTGTGCAATAGCCTCATCTCATCACAGAGGCTTGATATTAAGATTTACATTGGTAGCACTGATAAGAGTGACGGGCATCAGCCAAGGATATGAAGTACTGAGTATCAGGGATAAGGTATGGGGTGATACCTGAGTATTAGGGTACTGGGAATCAGACGTTGGGCGTTGGGTTTTGGTTATAAATATCAGGTATCTGGTATAGGGTGTTGCACTCAAGGCATTGAGTTTTGGGTAACGGTTATTGGACTTTAGGGAAAAGCACAAGACAGTCAGTACGTTTACGAGACACTCGAGAAAACCGAATAACTACCTTACTCCGATTAAGACCGTACAACTGAAATGCATGTAAACACCTTAGTCCAACGATTATCGGAGTTTGAGAACTCTGATAGGAGTCGGACAACCCTGGTTAAGACACCCAGATAATGCGATTGGAATTCAATTTTCTTTACCATGTAACCAGCGTAGTCGGACAATCATGTGTGTCATGCCCATGCCCCCATCTGCAGAAAAAGTTGCGCGTACATCACATTGCATGACAAAAACAACACTGTACGATGTTCCATCTTCTTGCTCCAAAATGCTCAGCAGCAGCTGTAGCCACTTCTGACGTCTGGCACAGACCTGCTGTTGTTGTTGACGGTTGTATGGGGTCGGAAACAGCGCAGCTGAAAAGACCCCTAGTTTTGGGAAGGAGGACACGTTCACGTCAAGAATTCAATTTTCTCAGCTGCATGTATATGCAGGCAAGGAGAGAAGTCCGACTCGGCGAAAAAACGAATTATGATCTTAGTCTGATTAAGCTGTGGGTGTAAACGCAATGACTGTGTGTATTGGGTTTTAGGAGTCTGGTTTTGGGCATAAGGCATTGGACATTTGGTTTTGATAATTAATTTGGTCTGAGGGTTAGGGATTAGGGTTAGGGTTTGGATAAGGGGTTAGGGCTAGGGTAAGGGGTTAGGGTTTGGATAAGGGGTTAGGGTTAGGTTTCCAAGTTTCCAAGGTATCAAGCTTTGAGTATAAGGTATTTGATATAGAGTATTGGATATTTTGTGTTGGGTTTTAAGTACCAGATACTGGGTACTGTCATTTTTTGTAATTATAACCAATGCCACCAATAAGCCCCTTCAAAAGATCAACTGCCTTTTGGTGTATTATTATACATCTGGCAAACACCAGTAGTAAGGTGCAAATACAGAGAGAGTAATGTAAGTCCAGGCTTGTGATATGTCGTGCTAGTATCACAAAGGTTAATTAATTCACTACTTAAGTCAAGGTATCTGAATCAATAAGGAGAGGTGGTGTTTCAGCAGTCACGTTCTTTGAACCCATAATTACCAGTATTGGAGTTCATTCAGAGTGAATGTAAATCGAGCCCCCTCTCTCTTTGTACGCTCCCAAATCTAAAGGCTTTAACGCCTCCTTTCAACTTTTAACTCCTGATAGACCAGCTCACAGTATGAAAGCCCGCTATTATTAAGCTTGGCGTGTGCATGTAATTACAGTCATGGAGCTCTACTGAATGAACTCCTGGCTTCATGAGATAAAGCCTCTTATGGCAGGAGTGGCGACCTTAAATAACAGGTCACATCATGTGATTGAATGGTACACTTACAGCTTAAGTCCAGGGCTCTTGATACAGCCGCTGGTTGATATTGTCCATGCCCTTGTGAAACCCACTGAGAGCCTCGAATAAAAAAGCCTTTCATACAGTCGAGCGTGTTTTTAGATTTGGCTGAATGAAGGGGATAACTCTTTTTTTCAAATATTGCCTCAGTTTGTTCATACAGATGAGCAAAACATAGAAAAACTGAAAATGCCTGACTTTGCGTAAGTCTTTTACATCTAAATTCCATTACATCACACGTCCTGCTGCAATAATACCATTCAGAATAAGCCAGCCAACTATCAGCATTATCTTTAATAAGGTTAAAGCTCTTGTTTTGCTTTTGGAAGAGATTTTGCTGTCGAGGAACGTAGTAACAAGGTACACAGAGTCGGGTTTTGCCAGCTCAATTCCTGGATCATGGTAATGAATTGTAACATTGTCCTCTTTGTAAACAGATCTATAGATGTACACATCCTCGCTGCTCATTCCCACTTTCTTATCCCACCCTGTAATCATGCACATATGGATCATTATGTAACTCCTGAACTCATTATTGTGACCCAGATTGCTCATAGCAAAGATTTCTAATCTCTAATATGAGTCTGGATAAAAGTTTAATGGATTTAGATCCATGTGGGTCAGTAGTAGCCCGTACCCCACATTCAGCATTTACATTTAATTAAAGGGATTGGGTCTAAGTATGAAGGTATGATCAGGTTCTTATCCTTTACTCATCTGGGTCTAAAGTGATACAACATTCAGGTTATGCACTCTTTCAAGACATGGAAGGAGTTCCTGTTGGTTCGACTTTCATCATATACAATATGTTAAATTATTACCATGTTCTGCTCTACTTTCTGAATAATTAATGCAGTTGGCACCACTTTCACAAATGTTGGCTCCTCATTTCTTGGCAGATCATTAGAATTTATCTTCTTTGGAGAGAAGATCTTGTGTTTAACTTTTAGAAAGATTTCTGGATCCAATAAAAAGCAGAGCGAAATGACTCAGCCAGTATATCTTCAAAAGATGAGAGGCAAATCCAAACTTGATCATTTGTTGGAAAAAGAAGAAACATTAAGCGATGACTTCTCTGACTGAGATGTTGTTAAAGACAGGCGTCAATGTCCCAGAAAGCTTGGTTTCCAACTGAAAAGGCATGCTTTTACAGTGGATGGTTTGGACTAGGGGTGTCCCGATACAACTTTTTTATTTCCGATATTGTAGACTTCAGTACTGGCTATTACCGATATTGATCCAATATTGGCACAACTTGTGCATGGCAAGTCTTGCAACATCTTTTTCAGACTTGAACGAAAAATACTGCCACATCACTCCTACTCCTTGCCACTTTGTTAGTACCTTAGTACACAATGTTGTCGTGATCACATGGGCTTTTCATGCTGAATGCGGGTGCTGCTAGATAGAGGTGCTGGTGCGGAGTCTGGAATGGACTGCTTGTATCAGAGTGCTGATATCAGAGATTTTAGATGCAGGTCGATATAATCCGATATTCATTTTTTGCTGATATTGGACCTGTATCCAATTTCAACATTGGATCGGGACATCTCTTCTTTGGACAGTCTGTTGTAGCATTAGCAATGCTACAGTAAATAAAAACAATCAAACATGATTTTAGGACAAAACTTGCATCCAAGAGCTCTTATAGGCTTGATTTTATCATTCAAGAAAAAAACATAAAAAGGTTATTTCTGCATAGCTCCAATCTGTCCATGGCAATGAACTCAAGAATAATTGTTTCATGGGATCATGGTCCTGTAGAAAGTCAGAGAGCAGCCTCTGCGTGACAGTAAAACTGAAACCCACCAAAATATACGAACAGATGCTCCACAGATAAAACAGAAGTTGTTTTTGAACCAAGAAATTACTGAGGTCTTTGCATAATCATGACCTAAATGCACCTGAACAATCTCACCAAACTTGAAAAGTCAGCGTTCGTTTTAGGTAAATCAGTTCCAGTAACAAGCAGTCGACTTTGCGCAAACATGAACAAAGGAACTGTGATTTAATTGAAAAATTCAAACCATCTGCTCAACACTAGCCTTGTGTTGTTGCAGTGTTAAATTTGTGACTGAATGAATGAATCATGTTGAATCTGCTTGTTATGTTTGGAGGTAGATTTCTTTTGTTCAGCCCAAGAGTCTGTAAGTGCTGCCAAAAGACACATCAACAGCCATGAAGTGGTTTTATATTTCTTCAAAGGTGATACCTGAAAACGGAGCGCTATACCTGACTCTGCTTTGTTGTCTCACTGTACTCGAAAAAGTTGGCAAACAGTTAGATTGGCCACAAAACAAAGCTCCAGGATTCCTGGTCTCACTGCAGTTTTGGAGCATCTTTGAAGTTTCTGAATAAATCAAGAATAATTGGAAAGATGGAGAGAAAACACATGGTGCTCCAGAAGAAGTGTGTGAGGGAGATTAGCATACTCAGAATTAATGTGAGGGAGTTTCAGAGTTGAACTGACGGATGAGTCCCTGTGGCTCTCCTCTTTGTTTATGTTATTAATCAGCTCATTTGACCGGGACTTCACACGACGGCATTCTTGAACTGGATTAAAGTACAACTGCAGTGTAAACAGGACTTGTAACCATGGCTGGTTGTCTCTTGTTAGGCTTTCAGAAAAGAGTCAGTATGGAATTTAATAAGTTATTAAGACAGATTCTATTATCAATTTTGCTTATTGATCGGTTTCTTTAACTCCATAGCATGGTATTCACAGTTAGATGTTGGCTTGTACAACATACCACTTATTTAATTTCACAAAAACAAAACAGAAATCCTAATAAATTCTACATTACGAGAGCTTTCACTGTTTCTCTTTACTGTTGATGAACTGTGCTATCATCTTGGATTATGACGTTGTTGTCAAGTCGTGGTTGGTGAGGATCGTCCGACTTTCCAAGTCAGAAATCCGTCTTCGGGGCATTCCAGATGAATTTCCAACTCAGAGCTCGGAAATCTCGACTTCTGAATACAACTGGAACGCAGCAAGAAACTACACTGTATCCCCAAAATCAACACTTATATCATCACAGACAACCTTCATTTTGGAGGGACTGGATCTGGACAATCTCTGAGTTTATTGCTTGAAAACTGCCGGTCTCACGAAATGAGTGGATTTTATAGTAAGTGGGTACACCGTCCTGCTGATGTTGTAAGCACAATAATGTTACGTTTTGGAGCGCTCCAGTCTTCTTGATGCATCATGTCGTTGTTTTGCGAGGCACGTGGAACTGAGTGAAATTGGTCTTATATTTCCATCCCCAGAAAAAAGTCACGATAAGGAATAAAAGCCACTCATTAAGGCAGACATAGACAATCAGCCTTCTGTAAGTGAGAGTTCACAGGTTAGCTTTGTTTTAGCTGCAGTTTTCCGGTTGATTAATGTTGTTATTTCTGATGTTAGCTGATTCCTGTTAATAGATAATGAAATAAACATTCAAAGGTTGTTGACAGTTCAGAGAAGGACAGCATAATCCTTGAACTGTTCATGTATCTTGTGTTGTTGTAGCTTTTGTACACACTTCACTCTCCTCTGAGTTATGGGAAAGTGATATTTAACCAAACCCAGGGCCCTTTCATCAGAAAGTCATTCATCACACTGATTTGTGTTTATTTTCCTGGGAGTGGAGGCTTATTTGAAGAAAAGGTTTGTATTCCCTCACTCAGGGACTCAAACAGCACAGTCTTGGTATCACAGGAAAACCTAAAGGGAAATAATATGTGTAGCTTGTAAGCCTAAACCACTCTAACGCCCTCATTCTGACACTGAGATGCCGTGGAAACCGCACAGGGTACTCTATAATGTAATTCTATTGTGAAGGGAAATTGGATAGAGCATTTGATTTGCCAGCATTCTAACTCGATAAACAAATGATTTAAAGGCCATCTCTATTAGTTTGACTCAAGGCTCTTAATACTATCAAAGCTGCCAGTTGTCTGTTTTCATTCCCTGTAATCCTATTTTTAAAAGTTTTTACAAGCAATTGCAAAACAAAGGAGTTACAAAGCAGTCGTAGGCAGAACAATATTGATTATTTAATGGTTTTAGGTTTAGTAAGCAGAGGATACAGCAGGGCTTTCCACAAACATGTGGCGTAATCAGCCAGTGGAGAAAAAAGGCCAGCAGGAGGAGGTCCCTGCAGAGACGTTTTGACCATACGACCCCAAATTTGGTAGCTTTTTTGTACATTTCTTGACCACTACTGTACAGATTTTTACTCTTACATGTGTGTCATGAATGGGATTAATTTCAGTGGAGCATTAGGACCAGTTCTAGCCTGTCAAAATGAGAGTCTAAGCATCCCGGTGTATACATATGAAACCTCTACATAACCATAAAAAAAAACCAAACAAAACGCTCCCGGTGTGAAAGAACCTTAACTCTTACCTGGAGCTGCAACTTCCTCATGCTCCCAAACTTTGTTTCATGTTAATCCGAGCTACTTATGATGAGGCGAAAGTGAGAGCTGTTAGAGGGGAGGGTTTGTACCACAGCCTGCTGTTCTCCTTGCCTTCTGATCTCTTTTCTCCGGCTCTATCCATCTTTAGGGCATGCTGCTCTGTATGTGTGCATGCTCCCTGTACATCAATATCACTCGTGCAGAATTGAACGATTGCATTCCTAAATTATTCTTCCTCACACTCCGGTTTTTCCCTCCTGTTTCACCCTCTGGTGATCCAGTGTGTGTGTGTTTTTGTGCAGTTTGACCTTTAGTGACTCTCCCCTCCTCCCTCTTTCTCTCTCAGGTGTTGTGAAGACGGGAGGTGTGCGCTTCTCAGAGGAACCCCCCGCTGCCGGAGCCCCCTCACATGTCCACTTTGACGAGAAGCTGCACGACTCCGTCGTCATGGTGACTCCAGAGGATGACGGCAACTTCATGGTCAAGGTGTGTTTCATTTCTCAGCAAACTGGCACTTGATTGTTGTTGATGACAATGTGTCCTCTTCTGTTTTGTTCCCTGAGACGGTTCGACCACTTTTACCTCCGACCTCTTCGCTGTTACTCTCAATTTTATTCAAACTCAGCTCTTGTGAGTCTATTTCTGATTCCCACTGTGGGTATGACCTTGAACCATCCTCACCTCCCTCCCTCCCTCTGTCTTGTCCTCCATCACAGCACAGTCACGTCCTGCAGTCCGTCCGCTCTGACATACTAAGAGCAAACAGGACAAACGTTTCTGACTGGCAGACACAGGCTGAGATAATTCGTTTTATACCCTTCTTATTTCTATTCCTGTCTCGCAGTAATGAGATTTGTCAAATCAAGAAAGATGATAATAATCAGAGGTTGAGATTATCGTACCGTAAATCACTATTTCAAACTGGAAGCAATCTCAAAATCTGACAACGTGCAGTTAGGGACGAACAACTCCTGGCAAAGTCTTTCTTCTCTATGTCCTGCATTAACATTCCAGTTAGCAGCTTGGGGAGTGACCGTGTGTTCAGAGAAGAAGCAAAGCAACTTTTCCCCTCTGGAAATAAAACACTATTATCTTTCTCTTTCTGCCCCCCAGTAGATTTCAATCTCGATTGAGACTTTGGTTCCTTACGATCATAAAACGATGATAATTGAGACTGAACGATAATGTGCTGCCTGCTGTTTAAAGTCCCAATTTAATGAATCAATAAAGTAAAAATGTTTTCAGTTATATAAGAAAGATTTCTAAGGACACTGTAGAAAAGCAGCAGATCGAAACCTTCCCTTTTCCTTCCTTATTAAGAGCAGTCACGAGCCAGCGCTAGTAAAAATAAGCCCAGTGTTTATTGGACTTCTTTATCAGGAGGGAAGTGATTTATGGATATTAATAAAAGGGGACATTATCTGATGTGTATAAAAGACCCTTTTACTTCGAGTTAAAACCAGAAATGTGACATGTTCTTGTCTAAAAGCAGCACATGTTCCCAGCCTCATGATTAAGCATGGATCCTTTTAGCTTCAGAGAGCTGCAATAAAATACTGGTCGTGTTTGGAGGCACTTGGATAATGATTGGGTTTCTTCCTCGTAAGCTCATTTTTCAGATGACTTCTCCTCATCTCTCCTTGGATCTTAAACGCTCTCCTTTTCTCCCCGGCCAAAAGACATTTAGTCTCCATCTGCTCCATGGGCGCCATGCACTACAGATATTCAGCTAGGTCCAAGTTAATTGTTGAGTCAGGGTAATAATATCTCTGAGGATTAGGTGTGGGCGAGGCTTCGTGATACAGCAGGATTTTATTACTGAATATTAGGAGGATGAATACCTATTTCTCCTACTGTGTGAATATCTGATGTTTTAATATCACAAATGATGAACTAAGGCCTTGACACTAAGTCAGAGTAAAATAAAAGCTCAAATTGTGCTGGAAAGCAGGACACCAGAGCAAAAAAGGAAGAATGTTTGGGGGCATCACCTATCTAGCTAAACCTCACAATGAATTAGACTCACAATGAAAACTCAGACAAATTTAAAGTTATGTTTGCAAAAAGGAGTAGAAATATGTTTAAACTTATTTAACTCTGTTCCCTTATTCTCCAGTTATTGACTTTCAGGAATCCAAAACTTGTCTCACTCATGCTATCACTCTTATTGTTGTTGTGTTGAACCAAAACCAGCATCATTTTTATGCACTTTTATTTCCACTTCTAATTATACAATAGCATGAAACAAGCATATTTGTCCACTCTTATTTTGATGTTCAAAATTTAACAAATACCCTTTCGCTAAATTTACAACGGAAAAAAAAAATGAAATTAATTTGCGACTAATCGTGAGTTAACTACAAGCTATCATGCGATTATTCGGGATTTAAAATGAGCTTTTTCACAGCCCTATTTGAAGATAATGGGCTCTATTTTCATGCCTCGCTGGCGGCGTGGCATAGGCGCGGCATGTGCTGACTTAGAATATTGTTTGTTGTTGATTATTTATTGTACTGAAATGTGTCTGACACTGTGGAAACCTGCCAGTGAGGCATCAGTGACGTATACACACTACGTCGCTGGTCTACCAAAATACCACAAGACCAGCTGCACTCCGCCTGCGCTGAAAGCTGACCAGGTTTGAATCGGCGAGCTTTCAGCGCACTTTCTATGCCACTGGCGGGCACGAAAATGTCACTGCGCCAGCTGATTCTGTCGACACCTGCCCTTGCCACGCCACCCCGCCCAGCTTGGCGGACCTCGGTCTGCGAAAATACCAAACTGGCTGTGCACCGGGCTCCACCTAACCAACCAACACAGTCATTGGTGTAGAGAATAAAAAGGCTGTGGTCCCAGAATTGACCCCTGGGGGACCCCACAAGAAACATCCAACATTCAGATCCCATCTTTATGAATCATTGCCTGTTTTTTAGATAACTTCTGAAGTCAAGTTCTCACTGTGCTGGGACGCTATGCTGTAAATAAATTTGCAATTTAATCCGTGTAATGGTAGCCATCTTATCCAAGTAACAGTAACAAGGATTCAGTGAGGTTCATGGCCCTTACTTAGGTAGAGTTCAGCTTTTTGATACATAACTTCATCCTTATTTGGGAGACTAACAACACAACCTCCAACAAATTGCATCTCTATTTCTCTCTGGTTCAATAATTCCTGTAACTGGTTGAAATTTGGGGCTTATTTCTCCTTAAGGCCATTTTTTAGTGGTAGTTATAGTAACAGGAGATAACTCTGAGAACAAGTGGAGCAAAGCCTTCAGTCTTACAAGCATTTATGGGATTTTTTCCCGTATATCATTCAGGGGGAGATTAAAGTCTTTTCTCGTCACTGTTTATCTCCTCTGAAGGCTCTAAAAGTGCACAACAATGATATCTGAACTCTTATCCTTTCCCTGCTGTCAGCTCTGAAATCTGCAGATGCTTCATTCAGGAGTCAAGCAGCAGATACAAGAGAGGCTCAGAAGCCACAAAAATGACTGGAAACAGTTTCTCATGTGTCCAAATTTGACTATCGGTGACAGTGACATGATCGCTGAGATTTCTTTTTTTCACAGCACTTTTAATCCTGTCTTGGTCTTAAAGCATGTCTTTGCTCTTTCTTTTTGATTCGGTCCTGTGTGAACAGAACACAGCCTCCGCAGCACCTTAATTAGCTGTGAAAATATGGAGAGAAACATGAGTGAGACTTTGCCGCAAAGATCCTCAGAGCAAAGGACATGAAAGTTATCATCAAAGGCCCGACTCTCCTTTAGGGACGACACTTCTACACAGAAACATTTTGAAACAGGACTGATTTTTTTTTTTAGCTTTATCACCTTTTTTTTTACAACGGACAGATGAAGAGAAACTTTAACCATTAGCAGGAGAGAGCAAGGAAGGCATGCAGCAAAGAGTCTAATCCTTGTAGCGAGGACTCATGAATGTTGTTCGTGATCAGCTAACATAGTGTATTTATAAGGTAAACATATTATGGGCACCACGGGTTATCAGTGGGTGATGGTGGTAGTGGTGGGGGAGTGGCTGTAACCCTTGCCGCTCAAGGAGCTACGCTGTTGCGTTCATGTTACATTGCGTTACCCGCGCTACTCGCTGTATAGACTGTGTATAAGCACGGTTACCCTTCGCATTAACGGAAGAGGGTCCGACAGGATTCGACAACCAAGTCGAAATTAACTTCGTGTTGTTGTACTCACACAGTGTGAGTAGAAATCATTAGTGGCGCATTGATATTAATGATCATGTGAAATTTCAGTAGTGGCGCACGTGATTCAGCGGTGGAAGTGCGCCACAGCTGAATGAATGTAGGGGAAACACTGCTCATTATGCATAAAACATAAAGACCTCTAAAGACCAGTTAAAGTCAATAGAAACCAGTATGGGAACTGTGGTTGCAGTGAGTGGCTGCAGCTATATGCGATCCACTTGTTTCCTCTGATCCACAAAGGTCCTGGAGCAGTCACCAAGTCTCCAGTATGTGGACATGGACTAACAGCTACACACCTGCACCACGAGGAAACTCAGGATCTCTCATAGGGCCTGACCGATCTATTGGCGAGCCTATTTGAGACTAACCGGTAATTGGCCAAAACTAGCCGATTTTTGCCGATATTTTCATACATAAAATGCAGAGTATAAGATTCAGATTCACTTCGAACATGTTCCGCTATTTGAAAAGATCCCCAACTTATCCTGTAGATGGCGCAGCTTTTCTGGTCTGAGTTTGATCAGTCAGTGTCCGGCCCTAATCACTCATACCCACCAGTCAAGACAGAAGTTTTTGTTGTTTTTAAAACCTGAAGACATGACTCATTACTCAGCGCACTTTGCAAACATTTAGAGCATGGTATTAGTTTGTGCAACCACAAAGTCAACAATACATCAGCTAATAGCCCAGCTAATTACCCTGTACACATCTAATTGGTATTTAATGCTAATCTGTCATTTGTTTTGCCAATGTTGCCACTTTGCTGCTGGTCTCCCTGCCTCCAAGAACAGAGTCTTCCCACCACATGCAGCTCACTGCGGGCAGCCTTTCACATGACACAGCACTAATTATCGAGTTCAGCACACACTGTCCTCAACCGAGCCTCTCCAAACTTTGAAACAAATTCCCCCGCCAAATTAATTTTCAGTGAATAACTTCCGTTTGCGCTCTTAAGTAGCCGGTCTTCAAACTTGGCCGTCCTCAGTCACAGAGCAGCTCGTCCGTGTGAGCTCTCGAAGTGTGCCTGAGAGTGGGCACGCAGCACTGTCAGCCCGCTCGTGCCTCATCATGGAGCACAAGAAGAGGGGAGGGGGTTGGCGTTGCTATGGAAATATCAGAGGGGTGTGGGCGTGGGGGGTGCAGTCCTGGCAGATGGACCAAAGCTGTGATAGGAGTGTGTGGGATGGAGGCTGTCTGCACACTACAGCTGTATGAATATCACTTTTAATGGAGGCTTTTTGATTTCCACAAGCTGTGTGGACATAATAATGCATAATCCTGTTAAGTTTTCAGTGTTTCCTCTGGTGTCTGATTATGACGGTGTGGCAGGGTATGGAAATGAGCATCTGTCAGCGCCGTAGAGATCATCTGAGGAAGTGCTGCTGCAATTTCTGAATCTCCAATTCAGTTTCCGAACTTTCTTTTCTGTATCCTCATTAACTACAATCACATTACTCTGAACAAACAGATGAAAGGATATACTGTTGCCGCTGAGAAGCTGGGGGAAATTAAAGCAGCAATAGAGGTAATTATTTGTGGATTAAAGCAGCAGGAATCAATATGTTTATATCAACAATTGATTGAATAGCAGGGAGTTATCGATTGATTCAGCTCTCTTACCCGGAGTTTTACTGAATGTTTAACATCTTTCTTTTGTCCTTTGAGTCTTCTGGTCTGTTTCTAGAAAACAATTTTGGATAAAAACAACTTTTGTCCAAAGAATTAACCACTTGTATGCATCTGTTGTATTTTGTATTTATGACAGTAGTACATATACATACATATACAGTATGTATGACACTGGTAGGATGAGGCACAGCATCAAAGGACTAGCCAGCGTCAAGGTGGATATTATCAAGGTCATCATGTGAAGCACCACAGGAGTTCATGAAGACCAAAAATAAGCTAAAAGGAGGGTGAAATTGAGAATTTAAAGGGATATTCCGGCTTAAAATTAATTTAGGGTCAAACACACCGTAACACAGAGTTAGACACTCCCTGATGAAATGAATGTTGCTGGCCACTTGTTTCTCTAGTTATATCAACTTTAGTAATGACCGCATGATAGCAATACACAGCGGTCTGAGGAGCCATGAACAAACCTCAACCAAAACGCCACTCTATAGCCACAAATAATGCTCAGAACAGCACGTAACTTCATCAACAGTACATATAGGGTCTTAGCCATAGTGCTAGCCACCAAACATCTTTTTAGCTTTTCCTGATTTCTTTACCAAAGACACTAAACACAACTCACCTCTTCCAGCGGCCACTTGTTTGTAGCGAGACCTCGGGCCAGTCCATTACTGCAGCGGGGGGATGCAGCTCAAGGAAGAACATTTATGATCATTTCCATATCATTTCCTTGAAGTAATATTGAAGCTATAATCACCATATTAATCATTTTGCACTGCAGACACGGTAGTTCTTCTGCCTTAGCGTCACGGTCTGATTGCATTTCCATGAAAAAATTATCATAAATGTTCTTCCTTGAGCTGCGAAACTCCGCTGTAGTCTGTAATGGACCGGCCCGAGGTCTCGCTACAAACAAGCGGCTGTGTATTGCTATTGTGCAGTTGTTACTAAAGTTGGTATAACTAGAGAAGCAAACAGTCGACAACATTCATCTCTCGAGGGGTTGTCTAACTCTGTGTTGTGGTGTGTTTGACCCTAAACAAATTTTACACTGGAATATCCCGTCAAGTTTTGATTAAGACCAGATTATTGGAGCCAATATTAAAGATTTGGCCCATTATCCGTATCTGTTTTTTGACAGATGGTCTGCAAAGTTAATCTCCACAATCCCTCCTTAAGTCTGAAGGTGATAAGTGTTTCATGTTCATAGATACTGTCTGAATTGTTTTGGTTAACTGGTTGGCCAAGTTCATAAATCTGTAGTTTTCTCTCATCAGCTGGAGGAGGAAAAGCTCCATTGTTTTGAGTCGTTTGTGTGTCTGCGTGTGTCGAGCTCTCAGTGTTGCACATTTAGAGACGGCATAATGCTGCCACCCTGTTCTGTGCAGAAGAGCAATGATGAAGAGCTGCTTTGATTTGCTCTTTGACTATAATGCCTCACATTTGTTGTCATTTTTTCCCCTCTATTTCTCAGGATTTTCAAACTCGTCTTTTCGTCCAATCTCGCAGAGTGGAATTCACACTAAATCACATTTTCAGAGACAGTTGATGAACTCTGGACATGCGTGGGACTCTGCTCACAGAACGGTTATTGTTTTTCTCCGCAGCTCTCCTCCACTCCTCCCTCTCTCGCCTCACTCCATGCTGTTTGCAGCTCGGCTCTGCCCGCTGCTTTAACACGGGGTCGTGTGGGGCTGAGGCTGCTGTGTGCAGCTCTAGCTGGAGGGGCTTTAGGCTTATCTCTCTTTGCCTGCTCTTCCCTGTGGTCTTGGTCTCTCTCTGTCGCTCTCTCTCTTTGTACCTGTCTCCTCTGTGCGGCTTCCCTCTCTCTGTATGGATCCCCTCATGAATTTTTCTCTTTGCTTTAATATGAGAACTGCTTCCTCCACATCAATCTCGTCTCTGTCTCTTTTACTCCTACCTCACAGTGTCCCTTCAAATCCTCTACTTATAGGTAACATGAATCGACAAACTGTGAATCGAGCTGTTTGCAGTTGGAGCATGATAAGAGTGTTACATCTGGTTACATCAGTTGTTGATGCAAACTGATGTTTACCTCTTTATTCAGTTAAACCTAAAATTAATTTGACACCCGAGAAATGCAGCTGATTGATTTCACCTGTGAACAAGTTACTCGCAGATCAGGAAACATGGAAGATTAAAATAAGGAAGCAATGTGCCAAAGGAAAGACGGTGAGGTGATGTAGTAAAAATGGAACGGCCCATTCAGCTGCAGATGTTATTAATGAGTATAATGGATCGGCATTATTGACCAAAGCCTCTAAAAATAAAATTAATATTTCCAACAATTTCATATCTAATATTACATCATTTGTGAAATAAAGTTGCACAAAAGTATTATCACATAGGGGTATAAACATAATAGTGTCCATAATATGAAAGTAATGCTGCTCATGATAGTTTGTTGTGTCCTTTATAAACCTTTAACCATCTTCATGGTGTTTATAGTATTTTTTACTAATCTATAATAGAAGAGATTGTTGAGAAATCTCTTTTAAATGTTATATTCCAGGTAAAAATACTGTTTCTAAGAGAGAGTTTGGTCCGTACAGTCTTGACATTGAAAAGGTCTTTTTTTTACCCCAAGGCTGTTGAGCAGCTGCTCAGAGGAAAACATGAAAAAATCTGCCCATTTAAGGTGACATCATGAGGACAGGATGCTAAAATATGTGGACTTGCGCGGTTGAGAACTGTATCTGGAAGTAACAAGTAATCAACAGGTAGCGGGGACAAGTCGTTGCATTTGTTATTGATCGTCTTATTGCTTCAGGTCTAGCTCTGGAGATGTGACGGATTAGTATTGTGCAGGGAAACACTGTAAATCACCAGCACACAGAAGCTAACCAGAGGGGCTGCTAGCCAAGCTTCCTTTTAGGTCTGGAGTCCTTCAGTGTCCCTTATTCATGAGGTTTGAACCGGGTCCAAATCATTCCCATAATTCTCTGTTGCCTGTTTGAAACTTGACCCAGTCAGTGGAGCTGATAAAAAGTTGCAGTTTCAGCTTTAAATGTTCTCTGGGTGGTGGGGAGGCTGCAAGCTGAGCCACTCCGAGCATGATGACATGTTTTTACTGTTTTAATCAGCAGAAATTGTTTATATCCGCAGAAGACGTTGGATATAAACGATTTCTGCTGACTTTGCGAAGTCAGCTGCAGAATTAACGGTGTTCTGAATGAAGGGCGCTTTGAAAAGTCCCGCAGCATGTGTTAGACGTCACCATCTACACATGGACCAATCAGGGGCTGCCTTTCTCTGTTGACAGTAAAAACACAGTCACTGATTGGCCCAGTTATTTTCTGATTTCTAATACATGCTCCCAATTGGCCGAAGTCCAGACTGGGAAGGAACAGCAAGTGATTCACGCAACTGGATGGCCCAGCCAGGCTAGTCCCCGTGGTGTTGGGTGTGTATATTGTATATATGTAGAAACTTTCTGTCTGGTGTCAGGTGTTGCTGGATGGAAAAGCACACAGTTTTTCGGCCGCTACGGGCTACGTCACTTTGGATGTTGTTTTTGGTGATACAGTCATGGACTGCAAATGGAAAACAAGTCAAATGGTGAGCAATACAGAACGCAGCAAAGGAGAAGGTAATCCGGAGTCATATTTCACAACCCACAATAATCAAGTGCGGTAGCCAGCGCGTCAATTACTTAGCATTAGCTAAGTAGCTTTAAGTTTTGGGCTTAGCCGCTACAGCTCCTATGTTACCTGCCACTTCTACTACACCAGCGATGTTAGGCTACAAGCTAACGAGTCAGAGGCGAATTGCTAATGATCTACTGGAGCTCTGCAGAAGAAAAGTCCTTGAAAATGATACAGGTGACGCGATTTTTGGTAAAAACTTCATTATCACAATTTAAAGACCACTGATAATACTTTAAGTGGTAAAAAAAAAAAGATCGGATGGGGGCTTTAAACTGTATAGTCTATCTGTTGAGAGTCCGGAAGGATTAATCATGGACATGGATTTCTTTCTGATTCCCTCCGTTCTACCTAAATGTTCTCCGTCATCTGGACTCCGGTCTCGACCTGTGTTTTAGCGGTCAAGCCCCGTAGAGTCTCTACGACAGCCTCCAAACTGAAGTAGATGGTGTAACCACAAATAGGATTAAGCCCTTGAATTCCATACTAATCTGTCTACGTGGGATTAGTATTATTGAAAAAACTGTATCAAATCCAGAAGGTGAATCAGGTTTATTTCCCTTCAGGCTTAAATTGCCAGCCTGGCAGAGGTGAAAGGGTTTATAAAGCCCCAACAATAAGTCATGATTTCAATTTAGGAATCCCTTCAAGGAGAACTGGGCCCACCAGTGCAGCGCTTTAAAGAACTACTTATCATAAAACTTAATCCTTGTTTATTGAGCTGTAATGGACTTACTGTACAATTGAGGTCAAGCCAAATGCATGTTCCCCGCTGTCTAAATCCCCCTCTCCATTATTCTCTGTAACTTACCCCTCTGCCCCCTTCTTACAGTTGGATAACTCCAAGTTTGTGCAGTGAAGACAGACAGCCTTTGTTTGAGATTTTTCTTGAGATATTTCCCTGAAGCTTTGCTGTTTTTCTCTCTCTCTCGCTCTCTCTCTCTGTAGGTCGGCTTCTTAAAGACGCAGCACAGGTATGAAATAGTCTTCAACTTGCCTGAAGTCCCAGCTCTTGGAAAGGATGTGTGTCCAGCGCCGGTACCAAGTCCTCACCTCCGAATCACTGATATCACGCCTGCACCGGAGGGTAAGCTCAGGACGAGACAGATGACGAAAGCATGAGGAAATAAAAGCCAGGGGCGGCAATAAACGAGCCCCCTTTTGTTATGACACCACTTTCATTTTACTGTGATTACTGATGGCTGCCAGCATCGCCGCTCTCTGCTGCTCAGAGCTGCACTCCGAGCTCTCATCCTGACGGCGCCAAATTCAATTTACTGAACATGAGACACTGGATGAGGAGGGAAAGGCTTTATCATTTGAATGTGGAGTCCACTTGTGAGAGAAAGTGACAAATTTCACAGTTCATAAGCAGCTTTCTTCCTGGAGCGAGTAAACAGAGTAAATAGAAATTCTTTTGTGCATAATGGCGCTATAACCGAGCGCTCAGGGTTCGCCTAACTGGATCAGCTCAATAAGAAAATGATAAATGGGACTCCAAAGTGAAGCTGCAGCCATGGCCCTGAACTATATATGTAGAAGATTTCAATATTAATCTCTTTCAAACTTTGAAAAACACCTTCTTGTCTTTGTCTCGATGAGAAAATAACACTTAAGCAGAGGCAGGACAGAGATCTTGAATGTGTGTGAGTCTATTCCTGACTCTCACTCACCGTTAAACCAGGTGATCCAGGCCAAAGGTGAACCTCTAATGTTTCTGGGAGCAGAGCCAACTACGTGTCTGTAACTGAAGCAGATTACTGACCTTTACTTTGAGCTCAGCTGTGTTTCTTTGTCAGCTGATGGGGACTGGACCAGATATTCGTGACTGTTAGCTCATCAGTCAGCTTTTTATCCTGTTGTCATTTTTCTGTGGATGGTAGGATTATTGTTTTAAGATCCGAACGAGTCACGCAGAGACACAGACTGAGTGTGTTTGCATCAGACGATAAAGAGGAAATCCTCCTTTGTGTGTTTTTCTGTGTGTGTGTTTCAGGAGGGCTGAAGGTGACATGTGAGTACATGGCGCAGCAGGAGGGAGTCCTGTGTGAGGAGGTGCTGCTGCTGAGCGAGACCAACGAGGACGTCTGTGTGAAGGTCAAAGTTCACGCCAGAGTCATGGGTGAGGTTACTTCACAAATGTCGAAGTGATACTAATCAAATGTTTCTGTACCTCTGTATGTTAGTTTACACTGTAACACAGTCTGGTCGGTAGAGGAGGTATGCACTGTTGGGAAGGAGCTGACAGTGTGACCCCAAACAAAACAAGGCAGGGTTCCAGGTGATCCCTAAAGAGGCCCAGAAGTTTAAAGTTTAAGTTTGAACATTTAAGTCCATAAAGAGGTCATGAATTTAAGCTGCTCCTTTTAATGAGAAATATTTTAAAGCTAAATCAAATCTACACGCCTCAGTTATTACATGATATTATGTCCTTGTTTGTGAGTATTTCCTTCATTCATTCAAATATTTCTTATATAATAAAGTGCTGATTTAGGCAGCTGTTTAAAATGTAATCTTAGTCTTTGGACAAAAATGACTGAGTTTTGGTCAAATTTTAGTCATTGTTCCCCCTTGTCCCCATTGTTTTAAGGTGGTTTTGATCAAGAAAGGTCAAAACATTGTAGTCTAGTATGAGCCATTGAAAAGTCGCTAAAATAAGTTTATACAAGGCCAAACATTTTAGTCTAGTTTAAGTTAAGAAAAATGTTTTAGTCTACTTTAAGTCAAAGAAAAGTTCAAATGTTTTAATCTAGTTTAAGTAAAAAAAGTTAGAATGTTGTAGTCTAGTTTAAGTTAAAAAAGTAAAAATGTTTTAGTCTAGTTTAAGTCAAAGAAAAGTAAAAATGTTTTAGTCTAGTTTAAGTCAATCAAAGTTCAAATGTTGTAGTCTTGTTTACGTAAAAAAATAAAAAATCTTTTAGTCTAGTTTAAGTAAAAAAAAGTTAAATGGTTTAGTCTATTTTAAGTTAAAAAAAGTTGAAATGTAGCATTTTTTAAGTCAAAGAAAACTTAAAATGTTGTAGCTGTTTAAGTCAAAGTCAAAATGTTTGTCTTGTTTAAGTCAAAGAAAACTTAAAATTTTTTAGTCTAGTTTAAGTTAAAAAAAATTCAAAATGTAGTTTTGTTCAAGTCAAAGTTAAAATGTTTAGTCTATTTTAAGTCAAATTAAAGTTAACGTTTTTTAGTCTAGTCCAAGTCAAAGAAAAGTAAAAATGTTATAGAGGATTTTAGTCCACAAAAAGTCAAAACATTTTAGTGTGGTTCATGTTTAGGAAAAGTCCAAATGTTTAAGTCTAGTTCAGTCCACAAAAACTCTAGTTTGGATTTAAAACTAAATAGCATTAATATTTTTGACATCGAGTGTACTTTTAATAAGACTCTGCTGGGCAGAAAGTAGTGTGATTTTTCCTTGTTCTGGTCTAAAATGGTCGTAAAATGTCTAAAATTAAATTTGAAACAGTTTGTAGGAACCTTAAATTTGTTTATTTTCAAATTTTACTCGTGTTAAATTTCTAGAAAATCAAATTGACTCTCCTGTTAAGCTTTGAACAGAAAGTACACAAATAAGGAGGAAACAGGCAAACATTAACATATATTTATCTATATCTATGCAAACTGTACGCTAAAGTCGAAAATTAGACAGCACATGAAAGAAACTATAAACTGATTCAGTTCAATTGTTAAATCTGAAAGCTCCCAGTCTGTTATAAATCTGTCTACTCTCAAAGTCACTCTGCTTTTGAAAACACGTACATTAACAGGTTTATATAAACCTTCACAGGATTTGGTGCAGATCCAATGTGCCTCTGGGTGTGTAAACACTTTTTTTTCCACATGCATAAATGAAGCCATATTTTCAGCTCAGACTCCCCACACTTGGTGTGTGGATGAATAACAGACCCTCGTCTTCTCTCTCTATGGTGATATAAGGATACAGCCTCATCATAACAATAACAGCCTTGGGTTCTATTGGCACTTGAGAGGGTTAGTTCAAATAAGAGGAAAAACATCTTACTCTCTGTCGCACCGATGAAGCAGAACATGTCAAGGTTGAACATGTCAAAGTCAACACACAACAAAAAAAAAATTAGTGCAGACTTAAAGGGAAGTTTCACCATTTTTTATTTGCCTTCTTTCTGTCCAGGTGACGGATGTAGTGTGTAAAAAAAAAAAAAATAAATGGAAAATGGACTACAGGCAGATTTAGTGCAAAAGATTGAATTATGGCTATACATAAAGTCTGAAGTCCTTTCTCTCTAATCGACACAAAGTTTCTCATAACCACTTCTTGTTTTTTATTGAGAGCTCACAGATAGAAGGAAAGTGCCGTCTAACTTTTCTCCCGTGTGTGCTGCTGCCACCTGCTGGTGAATCTGTGCTCACTTGTATTTTCAGCAAGCACTGCGTTTACCACTGACAGTCCTCCAAATCTGTGCAGCTAAATGTTTGCTTATGCATGTTTCACACTTTAATGGTGCATTTTTAGGGTTTGAGGACAGACTGGAGGTTCTTTTGAGGGAACTTGACTTGATTGAGGATTCCCTTTTACTCAGTGTTAAAGTAACAATACAGCGCTCTACATTCCTCTGCTCTGTGATATAATAAAGCTGTATGAGGCAGAGAGGAGCCTGAGACTGATTTGCATTTCCTCCGTGGAGACGCTGGTTTTTGTTCCAACAGATGGAGAATTAGGTAAAGGGGGCGTTTGTGTCTCTTTATCTGTGCCGGCTTAAATATAGACCGTGCATGTTTGAGGATGAAAGGTGGGCGTGTGTTGCTGAGTCTGTTTCTATTTTTACTCTCAAAGCAAGGCCTGAACATCTGTCCAGATGCGTTTGTGTGTGTGTGTAACTGAGGCCTGGTGGTGGACCAGATCAGGGGATTAGGATCTGTCTCTGTGGAGGTTAAGCTGCAAACCAGCGTTTAGATCAGTAACTGAACGACTGAAACACAATCCTGTGCTGCTGTAGGAACATCAGCAGTTCAGGATCTCTCTCTTATATAACATGCCTCCAAATTTCACGTCAGGACCAGGAATCCAGCAACTGATGTGTGGGGTTAGGGTTGGTATAGACGACACACCTAACCCTAACCCTAACCCCTTGAGCCAAAAGGCTATTGCATTGGCCGGGAATCGAACCCGGGCCTCCCGCGTGGCAGGCGAGAATTCTACCACTGAACCACCAATGCATATATACCTCTCTTAAGTGGACTCTTGATATCTAAAAGCAACTACGGGTTCGAGTAACACCTCCTGAAATGTACAGCTAACAGTCTGATCCACTCAAACAGGAGTGGTCCTCTGATTTTAGACTCAAATTCACGTCCTGAATGAGCACCAGAGAGTCTGATCTGCAGACGTCAGATCGGGACGTTCCTGTGCTGAGACCGGGGAGTGCCTGAAGCCGAGTGTAAGCCGATACTTTCAGTCGAGGGAGGGAGAGGGGTGAGGGTGAACTCCCGCCTTGAAACAAACTTCTCAGTCAAGTTTAAACATCTGCTGTCTTCCCAAACACTGACAGACTGATATCGACTGTAACTACTGCAGGTTTGGTTCATTGGAGGTTTTTAAACCTCAGGGATCTTGACCGAAGCTGCTCCAGTCAAGGACGCTTTTGACCACCAGACCTCGACATTATACAGTTTTTCAGTGGGGCAAAAAATTATTTGGAAGCCACCGATTCTGCAAGTTGTCCTGCTTAAAAAGATGAGAGAGGTCTGTAATGTTCATCATTACTACACTTCAAGAATTTATCCATATAAGGGCGCAGAAAATAAGTAATTAGCACCCACAAACAAGCGAGAACTCTGGCCCTCACAGACCTGTTACTTCTTCATTAAGAAGCTCTTCTATCCTCCGCTCGTTACCTGAATTAACGACACCTGTTTGAACTCGTTATCTGTATAAAAGACACCTGTCCACACCCTTAAACGGTCAGACAGCAACCTCTCCACCATGGACAAGACCAAAAGAGCTGTCACACATATGTGTATTTGTTTTGTTTTCACTGATTTACAGCCATTTAAATTTCATTTCATCTCAATTATTTAGATCTCCATTAGCCTTCGCCAATGCCATCGCTGTTCTTCTTGTAGTCTACATTCACAATTAGCTCTCCATCGCAGTGCACGGTCACAAATAACACCAACGTCGATAACCACAACAACTCACAACAGCCTACAAGACAAAAACCAAACAACCAAACTAGAACAATACAAACAACATCCAGATATTTCTGGACCTTATTCATTTCCACAGTGTTGCTATAGTTCTGAAATAATCAGATGTTTAAATATCTACATACATTCCACATAATTACATTAAAAGTGGAGTACGCAGGATCTGAGGAAGTGCCAGTTTTTAGGGAGAAATCTTGAATGTAAACTCTACCCCTCCCAACCAGTTTTCCCCTCAGCTCCTCCTCTCCCCTCTATTTCTGCACCAGCAAGCCCCGGCCGCAATCAGACGCTCCTGCTCGCTCGAATTGTTCCAATTAAATTCAGATATAATGCAGATAAATGCTTCAGATAATTACAAATGGGGCCCAGTCAACGTGAAAGTAAAAAGCATCGGTGCTACTGTAGATGCCAACAGACTACCAGTAAACACAATGTTTGCAGGACTTCTACAACGAGGATAAAGTGACATAGTCCAGGGGCCTATTCTACAAGGCAAGTTCAACCTAGCATACCTAGCATAGGGCCATATCACCACACCCCTATACATTACCGTACTTTTCATCTTGTTTGTTTTTACTTTGGGTGAGGTGAATTTACCCTCCATAACAGTGTTCATCCAAACTGAAAGACAAACGATTGTGAAGAACCCTTGGCAATTTCGTCATAGATAGTCCTCTAGTGAAAGCTGCTAATGAGGCAATAATGAATCTGTAAATTCTTGGTTTTTTTCTGTTTTCTCTGTTTCTCAGATCGTCACCACGGCACGCCCATGCTACTGGAAGGCGTCCGCTGCATCGGGGTGGAGCTGGAGTACGACTCCGAACAGAGCGACTGGCAGGGATTTGACTGAAGCTCCTGCTCGCCTTCCCCCTGACGCCACACACATTTACACACATGAACCTGCCACCCTTTCCGAATCACACACGAAACACACTCGACATTTTACCGATCAGATAAACGTTGTTATCGAAGACTTAGTGCCACGTACTGTACAGAACTTCACGCAGCTGTGTGAGTCAGTTTTGGGTTCAGGAGTAAAGGGTCATTTCGCTTCATAAGGATGTTTGAGTATAAAAACATTCCTCTGCTGATGTTCATCTAAATGAACAAGTTGTTAATTTCCTTGCTGCTTCTCTAACTTTTCCAGCTCTTTTTTTTTAAGCTTGTTGTTAACCTGTGCTTTCCTTACTCGGCCTCTAGAGGGCAGCAGCGCTCTTTGAATCAGTGCAGCTTCAGCTTGTTCCACTCTTGTCCTCATGTTCAGCATGGATTTACGTGTTTGGGAGTGCACAAGGGCTCTTTTATTTTTAGGTAACTTTGGTCCAAACAAATGAAGGAATCTAAGAGAAAATAACTGATTTTTTTGGAGTGTGTAATGTGTTTGTTTAACCACAAGGGGTCACTGCAGACCGCTGTCTAACTCCTCTTGTTGGGAGGCTTTATTTGGGCTCATGGCGCTGCTGTGTGCTCGTATTTCTCTGTTAGACGGTAACCCATAAGTCAATGATAACTCTACGAATGTGATTATTACTTTCTTTGGAGAATGAAGAAAATCTTTTCAGCAGAATTAGTGGAAAATTATCAAATTTCTTGTGGGAGGAAAGAAAATTAGTGGTTTGATACATCTGCTCCAGCTATCAAGGAAGTTTTCCATCTTTACTTCATTGATTCTTACGTCTTTATTTCTCTAAGTATCAAATGGTGTGTGAACAAAATGCACTTCTGATCAAATATGGCTAACACCAGAAATGTAACATTAAGTGGCAAAATTTCAAACATTTTTTGTAAACAGCAAAAACTCAAATCTGAAAAGGGCCTCGTCCTATTTCTTGCTAAATTATCTCATCAGACTTCATATACGTTGTCGATTCTTTTACCGTAAATCTCAGTGTATACACCTCGCCTGTAATACCCTCTTGAATATAAAAAGTTGGTTTCGTCCTTCTCAGTATACTGACTCTCTTTCAGATTTTTCACTGCAAGAACTCTCTTTTTTTTAATTATCAAACTAACTCTCTCATATAATGGAGTCATGGGAACCACATTAAACTCAGATGATTTTTTGGGGTTTTGTTTTATTTTTTGTTTGTTTTTTAAGATTTGAAAATTTTCTCTTCATCATTTTCCCAGGAAAATACAGCCATGGCCAATTCACTTTTTTTTTAAAATGAAGTCGTGGTAAAATACAATTATTATGAGAATATAGTTGTGGCAACGTCATATTCAAATCTGTTAATTTAGTCAAATATTAGCAGCATACTGTATTGAAGGAGGACACCACTAGTCTCAGTTTTTCTCACAGTCCTGATTCTTTAAACAATGTGGAGCTGAAGTGACAAAACATTTCATCAGACGCTCCACCGTCCTCGTTTAGTTTAGACAGCCGGCTGCTCACTGTAAACAAAAACTTCATCACTTTTTTCTCTTGATATTATAACTTTATTCTGACTTTAATTTTGGTATTTTTTCATGAATTTATATACGTGAGAAATTAGTTTTACTACGACTTCAATCATTTGAGAAAATGAAAAATCTGAATCCTTTTTTTTTTTTTCTTTTTTGTCACCCTAATACTTGTACATGTGGCTCGCTGCATAACTGAAATCTCAGCAAGTGTATTTGTCTTAATTTCAGTCTAAATATCATTAACCTTCACTTACATTATACCTATTTTTTTTTAAAAATTTTGGGCGTCTTCCTGTAATTTCTTGGAATGAAACATAATTTTGATTTCACAAAATTTCCAATTTTTTTGGTGCATTTTTTTTTTTTTTACTTATTACAAATAATTCAGGTTCAGCTTTTTGCTTGTAAAACTTTTTGATGCATCTTATGTGAATTTTTTGACTTGAAGAATTGAGTTTTTGCAGTGTAAAATCTAAAATCAAAGTAACACTAGTACAAAGGATGCAGCCCACTTTTTAGATGAAAGGAGACGTTAAAAGTTAAAGTAAACTGAATTTTCAAAGTTTAAATAATTTGTATAAAAACGTGAAATTACCCATTTAAACTCCCATGAACCCAGAGCTGATTTTCAGAACAATATAAGAGGTGAAGTCAATGGTGGAGCTTCAAAAACGAAACCTGCAGCTGTCTTTTTTTGTTCTTTAAACGGACAACGACAAACTCTGTCTGCTTCCAGTTTTTCCACAGATGTAGGTCTAAAATTTTCTGTTTCATGTTTTTGTAAATATATTTTACCAACTATAACAAGACATTCAAACACCTAATCCTTTCAGCCTAAATTAAGATTTTTAATCCACCTATCCAGAGAGAACCCATCAGATTAACCCACAGTCTTGCTCTGGGAGGTTTTGCCCTGCAGCGGCAGAGTCCTTGCAGAGTTCAGGAAGGTTTTATTTCCTTGGACTTCATGAAGCTGACAGAACACACAGTTGATCCAAGTGCCTTTCATCGAACCCGTACTGTTTCTCATTTCACTGGAGCCTGACTTTATTTTTTGTTTTCTACCTTTTTTAAACCATCTGCTGTTCTTCTCGTCTCACACTGAACCAACACGGCGCTGCTTGGTTTACATTCATGCTTTAGACTAAATGAAGTAAGTGCCATGATGTGGCCCCCTCTGTTGTAACTCTTTCCACAAACCCCTGACATTTCTTTTTTTGAGTGAGTCAACATTATTGTTTTGTTATATCCTCTTGAATCCATCGGCCTTAAAGGAAACTGAACTGTGTGTATTTTCTCTCGGTGTAGTGCAGATTAAATCGATGTTTGCCTGTTTGTAATAGAGGTTTAAATCTGTTTGTTCCTTCTTTGTGAAGCTTCGATAGGTGACTGTTTCCAGAATGTAGCAGCTTATTTGTCTACCTGCTCCCCGTGTGTGTGCGGTTTGTATTTTTTAATGTCAAAAACGAATAAAACTGTTTATGTTTGAATCTATGCGTCAGCTCCCTGCGTCAACACTAGGTGGCGGTGCACACTGTCGCACTAATATAATGCCTGTGCAACAAAATGTCTTTTCATGTGACCCAGTGGAGGTTATGAAAACATTTTCGTTTAAGTAATGACATTAAAATTGAACATGACAGCTTACATTAACTGATGTATGTCTGCACGGTCTACTTTCACCTTTAGACCTCACCGCCGCTCGCGTTACAGAGACATAGGCGAGGGTTTAAAATGACTGAAAAGGCTGTTATATGGAGCTAAACGATGAGTAAACAGTTTCCCTAAAAATAGATAAGCTCCAGAGATTTAAAAATAAACTTTATTTCAATATTTAGCTAATAAATAAAAGGGCAGTTTAACACTTTTCATGCCTTTTTAATGATGAAGTTGTATTTTGGTCACTATTTGGTAAAAAAAAATAAGTTTGATTTCTTTTACTTGAGAAAGTAAAAACATATGTAATTTTTTTTTATGTAAATATCAGGTCAGTAATCTTTTATTGTAAACTATTATATCTTTATTTCAATATTTTATTTCTTCAGTTTGGGGAGTTTAGTTGAGATTACATGCGTCCTTTTACTGTTACGAGATTATTTTCACAGAAATATTCATCCAGTAATGTTACTGCCTGATAGTAAGAAGTCGTTTTGACTTTCTGCACCTTTTAAAGTCTTTTATAAATTTCAAATATGCTAGAGCATTTTTTTTCTCTCATGACCAGAGCAGTTTGAAAAATAGGAAGTATTTGACATCAGTAACTGTGGCTGTGGTTGAGCATGTATTATGTCTATATCTGCACAGGTATTTTTACTACACAATGTTAGCTTACTTATCAAAAAGAAGGTGCAATAGGCTATATGAAAACTGCCCAACAGTAATCAGACTTAACAGTGGGGTGAAAAACCACACATATGAGCAACAAAATTAGCTTTTCCTCTATTTTAACGAACTAGTAATTAAAAAAACAGTGATTTACCTCCACTTGAATACTATAAAAACACATAGCTGAATGGGACTGTAGTTGTTACACTTGCTACTGTTGTGCTAGCTTGAAGACATTAAAAAAGCTAGTTTACTTTGAACCATTAGGTCTCAGAGTTCACATTTTAGAGGCAGTAATGATGTTTTAGGAGCAAAAATACACCAAGAGGCCTCGTCCTGTTGCTAATATCACCGTCACCGTCGAATTAAACCGTAATATCTTCGTGTTTCTGAACATTTGTTTGTATATTTCAGTCAAAGTCAAGAGTAAACAGTGATATAAAATTGTAAGAGGACTAGTTTGTGGCTCGTTTCCAGCCTTTATGTAATGAATGTTTTATAATCATCGCTGATGGAAAGAACAAATGAAGCACTTAAACTCTGTGGGTGGTCACGTGCCGCCTCGTCATCAATTTTCAAACACGGTGAATCACGGTTTGATTTAACGGTTAACGGATGTTGTTTTAGGCCGTTTTTCGGGGTTTTGGGAGGTTATAATCGTGTTTGGAGCAGGGAAAGACATAAAAAGAGGCGAGGCCTACCTTCGAGTGTGAAAGTTAGAGTCCTGAACCAAACCTGAAGTCAGGAAGAAACACACCTGCTGCTACTGCTGCTGAAAAAACACTATCATCAAAATATCATCATTTTTATCGCGAGAGCACCTGAAATGGCGCCAATAACTTCTTCTTCTACTGCTTATTTTAAGGATGTCACGACGCGTACCTGCAAAAACGTTTGTTCCCTAAAAAATTTTTGATTTTTGTGCATTTATTTCGTCGTTTTTTATTATTTTTATGCACCATTTTTTAAAAAGAGCTTCGTAAAATAGCTAGAATAATTATCGCGTTTAATTATCATATTTCTCTATTATAATGGAGGCATGGAGGAAGATGAAATAGTGTACTAATCAAGCAACAAAATGATCGATTAATTATTAGTGAACAACATGAGGAGTTGTGTTATTCATTATTAACCAACACGAACCAGCATGAGTATTTTTTGTTCTCTATTTTATGAAATTTTGGGACAGGGTGGTCTAAATAATTCGCCTGTTGACAATGATCATAATTTGAAGTGGTTCATAATAAATACTTCGATAACACTTTTTTTTTTTTTGATTGATATCCTTTACATTTATTTCAAATAATCCTTATCAAGACTCTCTCATGCTAAACAAAATTAACACAGAAAAAGATATTTCGTTTTATGATGAAATACTTCTTCCTAAACTTATAAGTGCTTTAATTTTCGTCAACTTTACAGTATGACTATAAACATATATACACCTACGGTTTGAACGTGGCCTAACTATTTTAGGGAAGGTCGGTTTTTGACTAAACTGTTCCAAAAACTTACGTTATTAAGTCCGAATACGGAATTTTCAACACGTAAGACGCCCATTTTAACACTCATATGCAGAGCATTTGTTATCAAACGAATTGTTTGTGGCACTTACTCGTTACTTATCGAACATCCTAGAACTCGATTTTTTTCAACAGAGGCCTAAAATTTGGTCAAAATTCCGAACAAATACAAACGAAATCTGCTATCAAGCCAATTACTTCATATCATATTTATGTGTTTACTCTTCACTTGTATTCAGATTAATATAACATACAGATACGCCTTAATTGTGCTCTATATCTGAAGTTTTATTAACCTCGTTTAAAGTCAAAAAGGCGTGAATAAAGAGTCTGCTCTCCAAACTTTAGGATGATTCCTCGTGTTCAATAACAGAAGAAAACACTCACTTTGATAAGGAAACAAAATATTGAATTTCTGCTCCCGAAAAGAAGACTAAATCAGAATTGACCTTCGTTTTTTTCGTTTTTTGTTGTCTGAGTGCAACCCTAAATAATAAACCCGAATAATTTAACTACATTGGGTGGTTTTTCGTGATATTTCCCACGGTTTCCTCACTGCTCATTTGAGTGATTATTTCAAAATAAAAGCCCCGTAAACTCACCTGTAAACTTATTTTCTTTTTTTCTCTGCATGTGTTTTTTTTTTAAAATAAAGTAAGTAAAACTCGGCCCGTCCGCATCAACTTTGAATATCAGCTGTACAGTCATTTAACTTTGGATAAATCGCTTTTTCAATTCATTAGTTTCGATGATCAAAAATACACCGAGTTTCACTTTTATTGAAAGATACTCCTTGAACAGTTTTTGGACGAATTTCAGCCTCTTTCGTGGGCTTTCAAAATCGTACCTTTGTGCTCGATCACATCTTTTGTTAACATTATTGAATCGGTAAATTCATAGCTTCACGCGCTCGCCTGTTTCTTTCATTCCTGCGCAGATTTGCGCGCAGCTCTTGCTTGGATGTGTGAACTCTGAGTGGCCCGCTGCCCTCCCTCTGACCTCCAGGATTACTGTAATCTCTGTTGATTGATCTGATTGATCAGATTCGGATCTCCACGAGGCCGCAATCCAGCCACACACGGGGTTAGAGGTAGTTGGAGGGGGGGTGGAGATGAGGCAGCCGGTGCGTGGTGCAAACAAACATTTTTTTTTTCTCTCTCTCTTTTTTGGGGGGGCCTGCGGGCACGTGCAGACAGAGAGCATATCCGGGTTTTTACACACATCAGGATCATGTGCAGCAGAAATCTGCACCCATGTAGGGAAACGAGGATTAAAAGATTCTCAGAGATGTGATTCTAATGAAACATGGTTTAAGTTTATTTTCAAACTTTTTTGTTGCTAAAATCAAATCTTTAAAATCATGCGTTTAGAAAATGAATATATTTCAAAGCAAAAGCCTCTCCTGGAGGCAGAGAAGTCTGAATCAAAAGAAGGAAAACTTGGTTATTAGTCTTTCCTACTGAGAAATTAATTAGAAAAACTAACATGACAGGAGAGATTAATGAGAAGTGATGGATGTGCAAAATTGAATTAAGTCCCCTCAAGTGTGATCAAAGAGGTGGCTGGCACTTTTTACAGTCGAAGAAAAGGAGAAAGAAGAAGGAAAAAAAGCAGAAAAGTTCTTTGAGTGAAGCAAAAGTAGGAGCAGAAGGGTGTGAAGAAAAAAGATTTATTGTGAAATGTTATGCATGGTCCACTGAAGTCAGTTAAGCCCTAAAACGTACCAGAAATTTCAGCACAAGACTACAGCATGTTAGCATCATTATTATACTGCAGCTTAGTGTACACAAAATGCTGCTTGGCTTACCCTGCAAATATACACTTAGTCTGTGGCAGCATTTCTATTCTAGTATTATTATTATTTTTTTATTTCAATCCCTTATAATTGTAGTTTTTTTTAATTAATCTTTTAAACATATACGTATGACTTGTCCCATAGAGGAGTCGAATGTAAAGATGATGAAAAGTGACAGAAAGGTAGTTAAACTTTGCCTTATAATACTTGGTTTCTTGAATAAATCTCTTAAATATAAGCGTACGACTTGTCCTATAGAGGAGTTCAATGTAAAGAAGATGGTAAGAAAGGTAGTTAACTGGATTAAATGTGGACGGTAAAATGTGATATTTGCCTTTAAAAATCTATTGAGATAAATGCATTAAGCATCATTCGAGGAAAATATTTAAGAAAAGTGGAGTCAACCTCTAAATAGTGCTTGAATACTTCTGTATAAACAGTATTTAATATGTATTGTACACAAAGCAGAGCAAGACAAGTAAATGTGGGCGCAAACTTTTCCACCAATCAGTCTCTGAAAACATCTAGATGGTATATTTTGCAGCAAAAGCAGCAGCTGAAAACGCTGGAGTGATTTTTTTAAAGGTGCGTTTTTCCCCTGAACACCTATAGAATAAACGGACGCCCTATGAGTGATTTAAACATGATTAAAATGAAAAATTTTTGAAGCTTTGGGTGTGCATGAGTGAAGACAGAGAGGCGAAAACACTGCAGAGGGAGGAGGAAGGAAAAGTGTGTGTGTGTGTGTGTGTGTGTGTATGTGTGTGTCCCAGCACAGCAGCAGCAATCAGTCCCCTCTTGTCTCTCTGCTGAGTGCAGCGTTTGATTGACAGTTTCTATTCTTCCTGTGTGAGATTAGAGATGCTGAAAGGAGTAACGAGCCGCGCCTCAGAGCCGTAATTACGGCCTCTGTAAGAAAGATAAAGAAAAAACACACACTGCTAAACTATAATTATATAATCCAGCTTTCTCTTTTTTTTTTCACCCCAGTGTTTTCAGAGATGTTTCACCTGTAAAGAGGAAATTCCAGCCAGTGTTTCAGTCACTGTTAACACTGAAATTATCTCACAATCACAACAAAACTACAGGCAGCAATATCAACACAACACTGCAGGAGAATACATACACAAACTATACTTACACTCGACAATATTTACAGTGTATGCCCTCAGCGTATTCTTATAGTCATGGTGTTTATTAACTATGTATGCCCACAGTGTATATACACTGTCAAACCACTGTGTATAATTATAATGTGTGTCTACAGTGTATTCATGTTAAAAAATCAATATTTATGTTTGTTTATAATTCAGGCCCAGTGCGTATTTATGTTGTAAAATCACAATATATATTTATAGTATAGGCCTGCAGTGTATTGACATTGTCAAACCACTGTGTGTAATTGAAATGTACACACAGTGTATATTTACAGATATATTTACAGTGTATGTTTGCAGTATATTCACAGAGTGTAGAGCTACTTGCAGTGTATATTTACTGTGTATGTTTGTATTTTTGCAGTGTATGCGTACATTGCACAGCTACACTATTTGATTAACAATATGTATTCATTTGAATAAAAAACAATAATGGTAAATTTAACTGTAGAGCTATTTCAATCAGAGTGTTTTACAGTGATTCAAGTATGATAGAGTGAGATCGTACTAGAGTGGATATTTAAAGTGTTTAACAACAATATAATCCCAAATACTAACCTCCTAATGGTTTACCTGCAATGAGAAGGTTTGACAAAGTAGCATAAAAACCCACTGAGCCCTTTAAATCAAACTTAAACTGAACTTTTTGATTATTTCCAGACTTTAGTTTGAGATGTTGTGGCATTCATGTTTATCTAAAAGTTTTATAATTCAACTCTCTTAAAGCGATGTGTCACAGAGGGTCAGATACCGGCTGGTGAACATGATACAGAATTTAGAAATATCTGATTTTAGCTTCTTTCTGGACTGAATGTGAGTTTATTGAACTAAAAAGGAAATCCTATTTCTTTGTCTTTTGCTTGATTTGAACAATTTCTGATTGAAAAGCAACAAATCTGACAAAGGTAGACAACTAATAATGAGTATTACGCAAAGCAACTTACAGTTATACTAACATTGTATTTTAGATAAAGTAGAAATAACGTTTTATCTTCTCTGTCTCGGTCACTTTTTGTCTCTGAATCAAAGTATTTTTGAGTGTGTGTTTTATCCACAAGGTTGAAACACTTACTAACTCCAAATGCAGTATTTATCCTTCAAGTCAAAATTAACTCAAACGGATTTTTTCAATTTTCCATAACACACATTTGACCTTAAATTCAAACATGTATGGATTTGAGCTGAATCTGATATTTTAAATAAAGCAAGTGAATGTACTACTAAAATAGACACTAAAATAAAACGTCAGGCTTTCTTTTTCTATAGAAACCAGTTCATAAATATCTAACTGGCCTTTTTAGTCGGCGCATTTCTAATCGCAGGTCTTGGCGTGATTTTAATCGCTCTCCTGCTCTTTGTTTACCTTTTTAGATGAGTTGTTGGTCCTTTTCTGCCTTTTTTATTGCCTACTTTTCAAAACGCAATTCAATGTTTTACCTTACGTGTTTGACTCCAGGCGCCCACAGTGATTTCTGGCGCATTTTACGGAGCATATCTACCAAATATCGTCCTCGCAGCGCTCCGATGCAAACGGGGAAGCCCAGGCAGGTTTTTTTTTTTTTTCTTAATGTGCTTTTCCGACCATCGTGTCATGTCTCCGCCGCTCTGCTCTGCAGCGCCGCTCATCCTCTTGTCAAAACGTGCCCCGCTGACCGACCAATCAGCGGCGAGTCTGAATGTGTACAGGAAGTGACGTACGGGTGTTCCTGCCTTCTGTAAAGTGCACCGTGTCCCCACAAATATTATCCACACACCAACATCTCTGCTGTGTCGGCGCGGGCAGGGTGAGAATATCTGCCGGCCCCCGGACAAACGCGATGTTTGCAGCTTTTTAAAGCGAATTAAACAAAACAGACCAGAATCTATAAATGCGCCAAAGTGCAGATTAAGCTTTCCCCGCCACTCCCTTTCAGAAAGACGATTTTTCTCCGTTTAGCAGAGGAGCAACGAGAGTCTTTAGTGAGTGAAGGATCCTTGGAGGCAGCAGATGTGACCTGGCTGAAGTGACAGGCTGCACCTCCGGACAAACCTGGACAAACTTAGTCTAACACACTCCACTGTAACCCGGTGCATTTTTTGGGTGTGTGTGCATGTGTGCACCGCCTCTTAGTTTATTTCTACGTGGGTGAGCAGTGTGTATGTGTGTGTGGGTTTTTGGCACCTCCCCGCTCCTCCATAGATCTGGTTGCCCCCTTGTACTAACCCTAACACCATGCACTTCTTCTTCTTCTGCACCTCCTGGCAGCTGTAGTTCCTCAGTTTCCCCTCTCTTGCTTTGGACTTTGGACACCCGCGCGTCATGTCTCGGCGCCTGAAGCCGGTTCCGCTGCAGGACCGCGTGCTTCCTTTGTAACTGGATCTACTTTTTTTTTTTGGAGGGAGAGGAAGGAGGGCATGCTCTGCTCGTCTCTGGAGAACACTTGCAAAGAGAAGAAAGTGGCAAGAGGAGGGTAGAGGGAGCAGCAGCAGAGGCGGAGAAGCTTCAGAGAGAGAGTAACTTACCTGTAGATGTTCGACCAGACCACGACTATGGGCGATGGGAACCACCGCTGTGGACCCAACCCGCTGTGTCCGGACCGGATGGAGACAAAGTGCCGCGCCGAGATAGGGAGCAGGTCCCCGGTTCAAAGCTCCACCGACACCCCGGGAACGTCAGCGTCCACGCCGACGTCCTCCAGCGAGGACGGGCACGACAAACTTCTGGGAGTGGACCCTGACTACTGCCGGAGGATACTAGTGAGAGGTAAGAGGAGAAAAAATCACCTGAAGTGTGCTAAAAAAAGTAAAACTCAGACTAAGTTTCTGAGAAAGTGAGGCTATTTTAGGCTAAACAGAAAGCTAACATGAACTACGATAACTCTTCTCTTTTACTCTACCGTCAATATCTGCAATTTAAAAAATAAAAGACAAAAAATACTGATAATTCGGTTTCAAAAGAGAACAACATGAAAGTAAATTGTTTGGGTTTTATTCCATTTAAAAAATCTCTAAAATTAACAAAACGTCAGATAGTCTGTAGCTTACGGAAATAAACCCCTGCTCCTAACTACGACTAAACTTTAATAAAAATATTTTTATAAAGTGTTGACGAGGACATCACCTCCTGTGAGGATGATAACAATAGGCTACTTTCACTTCCGTGATACCAAAATGACTGTAGCACCAGACCACACCTGCAAAACAGCCAATTTAAAACGCTTAACTCATGACAAATATTCGCCTTTGTTACACTTTTTGACAGCTTTAACCTTGAAAAAGTACTAAAAGAAACCGATAAGACTGTTAGCCAAAACCACGATTTGCAGCCTTGCAAGTACTGTCTCATTATAGCTTCACTATAGAAGATAAAACCAAAGATAAATATAATGATTAAACTCAAACTTTAGGTCTGTTATGACGCTTTTTATTAACAAACATGCTTAAAAGCACCTCGTAGCTTTTCATTGATAATTACGCTCAATCAGTGTGTATGGGTGTGTGTGTGTGGGTGTGTGTGTGTTGGGCTACTTGATTGCCTTTGTGTGCCAGCCTTATGTTCATGAACATGAGAATAATATTTAATTCAGGGAGTCCACACCCTCCTGCTGGAGGCCAGCTGCCTGTGAATCTGACTTAAAATACACAGAAAATTATGTTTTAAAAATGCACTTCAACAGGATAAAGTATTTTAAGGATTTTTTTTTATCTATTTAAAATTCATTATTAGCTCCCAGTATTTAAATTAAGGCTATCTATCCACATGTAGTTTTATTATCTAATATATATACTTGGAATCATGTTAAATAAAACTGTACAGACTATGTTTGCTGCAGGGTATCACCAGGTTCAAACATAAGTTAACATAAAAAACACGTAGCTTAATGTCCGTGTATAGGTTATATACATTTATTTCAATGCAGGACGTTTTACTGTTAAATTTCAGCTCCTGCAGTTTAAACACTGTTCAATTCTTAAATAACAAACTTGATTTATAAAATTACATGAAGTCAAATGTTTACTAAATACAAGGACACTGTATCACTCAGTAAATGCTTTCCAGGAACAGAAATTCAACACATAGCACGGCTTTGTCCCATTCAGAACCCCCTTTTAAAAAACACAGAAAATACAAGTACAGCGTGTACTTTGCTGCAAAGTAAAGTAAAACTGATAGCTGTGGTAAAAATACAAAAAACTATTTTCGACCTATTAACGCACATTTATATCCGCATAAATACGGTCGATATAGTCTGGTTTATTGCAGATATTTTTCACGTTTCCTTTAAGTATTTAGCGGCGAAAAAGAACCAGCTCATTTAGGTTATGATAAACAAATATAGCAACTTGCAAAAAAGTAGAATTATAATAGAAGCAGTAAAACGAAGGCAACAGAGAAGAGATAAACCGAAAACGGTAAGCAGATAAAATTAAACGGCGTAAAATTGAGTTTAATTCCAGTTATTTCCACTCGCTATGTTGATTATAAAACTGGAAACAACCTTGAGATATTTTACAAGTGTGTCTTTTTCTCTTCATATCTTCCAAATGGAGCCCATCTTGTTCGTATATTCTCCATAAACCATCTTTACAGAGTGGTAATGTGTGTTTTAATGGCCGCTGCTGTTAAATGTTGTTCACCAGAGGCTGAAGTGGCCTTTAGGAAACCAGGAGGGTGTGGGAAATGCATTTTAGTTAATTTCATTGTGTGTGAAGATACTGTTTAGTAGTTTCCACGCAGAGAAGGACGCTTTGAGTGTCAGGATTTGTTTTCAGAGCTCACGTCTGAATGCACGAGCCCTTTTTTTTTTCCTCATAGAGCCGGGGTCACCGAGAGGTCAGCAGGTCTACCGTTGAACCGCTGCTTTCTCTTCTCCCCCACTGCAGTTTGAGTTTGTTATTTTTCCTTCACTGCATGAGAAGGTGTTTTGTGTTGGCCTTATGTCCGTGTGTGTAGGCTGGGTGGATTTGGGAGGTTAGTGGAAATCTCTGCTGCTTTATCTAGCCTGCCTGGCGACACATTACGCATAGTCATTACGCGTGCGTAAAATATGGAGACCTCTGAGGCGTTTTCATTACGTCGTGAATACCAGAACACTTAAGAATGAATGTGAGTGAAATCAATGGATTATGATGCATATGAGCATCATGAATCGTTCTAGAATCAAGTCTCTTCTGCTACAAAAACAAAGTTTCCTTTTTACGCACTTTTTTGCTCTGCGTCACCTGCTGTTTGAACTGATTCATTGTTTCATTTTAAAGCGATTCCAGCGCGAAGACACAAAACAGGAGTTCAGTGATAAACCAAAAATTAAACATGTAAAACTTCATGTTTTTAAATCTTCGTCTTTTTGTTTCTCCTGACTTTGATAGAAACTATGGATTTTCAGTTCAATCAGTTTTGTTTCATATTTAATTCAGAGCTCTTCATATTTTATTGGATTGCATTTTTTATGAACTCCAAACCCTGGACAAAGAGGAAGGCTTGTCTGGCCTGCGCTTTTATTCAGAGTGATAAATACCAACATATATTCTCGATAACAGTGCAGTCCAAATGAACGAAGACTGAGGCGGGAATGAGTCTTTAATTGCGAGAGTTACAGTGAAATTAAAGAAACGAATTGTGATCATGTCTCATTTTAATTTTTGGGACTATAAACAGAAAATCCTCAGACTCTCGGGATCCAGGGCGGGGTGTAAAGACTGACTGACAGACCGTCTCTATGCGGGAAAGTCAGAATATTAAAATGTTTTATTATCTACAATGTCCTTCGTCATCTGGAAAATTTAAAGAATTAAATTTTAAATTTTTTATTTTTTATTTTTTGACCCTATTTTACATTTAAAAAACACCTGGTGTAGATTTCGAAGCTGCAAAGTTTAATGATAATAATAATAAGAATAAAGGAAATAAGGTGTGCACAGATTCCAACGAACGAATTTAATGGAATAAAATGAAACTGGAAAAAAAATGAAACCAGAAAAAAAAATGCAGATTCAGAAAAGCCCCCCTCTTTCTATTATGGTGTTTCACACGCCATCTACACATAGTGTGATTGTTATTGTTCATAATGACGCACAGCGTCAATACTTGGAATTGAAACAGTCGAAAGAGACGCCCTCCATCATCACGTTGTCTCTCTGGTTTGGGATGAACCAAACGAGAGAAATTAAGCAGTGGCGCTTTTTTGTGCGTCATTTCCCGTTGGAACAGAGTGAATAGTCCAACAGTTCAGGATCAGGACAAAATGTGCTCAGAATATTTGGCAAAAGTGAACCGAATTGAGCGTGTGTGCACACTTTTGTCACCCTCACTGCGTTGACGCTCACAAGTTTCCAGATGGGTCCTCTAACTGTCATGGCTTTGGCTGAGAGATTTAATTTGAGTTTCATACAAAGTGAAAAAAGACAAGATATGAGGATTCTTTAAAGCAAACAAAACCCACCTGATTTGGAGGAGACCAGGGTTACAAAAACAACACACTCAATATTTTCAACAAGGCACAAGCAGGCGTTATTGTGCTCGCTTTGCACATGCTCAGTTGGGGCCTGTAGCTGTCTGCTTAAAAACAGTGGCACCACTTTAACATGCTATAAGTTTTAAACATAAAACACAATCATCATTCTATCACAAGGCAAAAAGTGACAACGATCAACCCATGCTAACTTGTGTCGTAGCTGTGTAAAATAAAAATAAACAAAAAAACAATTTTGAGCAGTCCTGCTTTACGTTTTCTTTGCTCTAACAGGTCTTTTATATTTATTTTTTATTTTCCAAAGTTTTTACCAATACTTCACATTTTGTATTTAAAACCTCAACAGTCTGTTGTTTTTGTTTTTAATTAAAAACTGCTGATTATTGTGAAGTCATTTTGATCTCTTTGTACTGCTCCACCAATGTGTGTCCATCGTTGTTTCATGGCATATGACTGACTGTGCTGCAGCTGATCAATATGTTTGATTTAAGCTCAATTTTAACTCAATGCAGTTCATTGAAATGTCATCACCACCTAGCTGCCTTTATGTTTACATGTATGTTTGCTTCTAAACTCATATATTAGGATACCTTAGAGCTAAAAGAAGTTTGACCAAATAAAAAAATATATACATATATTCAGGAACTTCCGGATGTGCTTTTATTTTGCAACAGCAAAAAATCAACAATAATTTTGCTTAAAAGAGCATCAACATATGATTAAAATAAAAGCCAAGTGTATTCCAACTCACCTGTGAGCTGTAGAGGAAAATGTGAAAAAAATCCTACAGTTCCCCCTGGTCTCCCCTATTTGTTATCACGTGGAGCAACGCCACGCAGGTAGTGACAGGTGTGGAAGTTTTCTCTCACGAAACCTCAAACTTGAACCGGTTTTAAAGACGAAAAATGAAGATTAAACCGTGAAATCTGCACCACTTTACCTTCGTTATTATGAGCACTCACACTGCCACTCATGACAACAACAATAGTAGTCGACACAAAGGTGTGTGACCTATAATGTGTGTGCTGTTGTTTTCAGCACACCTGTTTCCACCTGTGGAAATAAGTCCTAATGGCACGAGTGTCTTCTATTGAAACATAAACGTGATCTGAGTGTCTCCAGTGTAAAACCCACTTGTATCGTGTTATTTCTCTCTCTGAGGCTGTTAGCCTATAGTACTGCTAATTAATATTACATTAGTTTTTACTACGTATTGCTGCAGTCACTCGAGCTTTAACAAAAGACGCGTTTATCTGTTATTTATAGTCTCTGTACTGCTGTTTCTGTTCACGATGCTTCAGTTGATTATTAAGTGATGTTGCCAAACCGCATCTGCTGAAAATACTGACACTTATTGTGTGTTTCTTTTCCCGGACAGACGCCAAAGGCACCATCCGGGAGATCGTCCTGCCAAAGGGCCTCGACCTGGACCGGCCCAAGCGCACGCGGACCTCCTTCACGGCCGAGCAGCTGTACCGACTCGAGCTCGAGTTCCAACGGTGTCAGTACGTCGTGGGCCGCGAGCGCACCGAGTTAGCAAGACAGCTGAACCTCTCCGAAACACAGGTAAGGGACACGGGCGTAGGTAAAGCGGGGGTGTGTGGTGGTGGAGTCCAAAATCTTCTAGCTTGACTGTTTTCCTGCTTCATGTGTTTGTTAAAAAGACTATGTTTCAGTCAGGGGTGGGACAAAAAATTCGATTCACATAAATATCGCGATTTTTGGTTTTACAATTTTTAAATCGATTTTCGTATTCGAAAATCGATTTTTCTTTTCAAACGTAAGAATGAATCTTGAAAAAGGACTTTCATGTGATGTGTATTTTGTGGGGAAATATGGTTCCTGGAGTAGTCAGTAGACAATTATAATCATTCAACTGTTTCACTGGTGTTAAAAATGCAGACTAAAAATTGAAAAAATCGACAATATCATAGAATCGCAATTTAAATCGAATCGGCATCCAAAAAATCGTAGTAGAATCGAATCAGGAGAAAAGCATATTGTCCCAGCCCTAGTTTCAGTATATTCCTGAAATCGTGCCTTTTGTTTGAAAAGACAAATTTGGAAAGGTCGTGAAAAATAAAGTACGGTAATCAGCTGCTGTTATCAATGAAAAATATATGTAATGCAAGTAAAAATCAGCAAACATAATGGAGACGTTAATATCTGTACGGCCAAATTTTTGTTGTAAAATGTGTTCTGCTTTCTGTAAGCTACGCTAGTATAGTTTAGCCACTGTATGCTAAAATACGGATGTGTGGGCTCCATCTCTGAGAAAACTTTATGTCTGTATTTCAGTGAATTTTCCAACATCAAATTTGCCAGTTTGTTGCTACTTTGCTAAGCCCACAAGTTCCTGATTTAACCCTGGGATTAAAAGAAGTTGTAAAATATTTTTAAAAAATCTATTCCGTTTGAAAACTTAATATAAAAAATACAAACAACAAAGAAGTAAACAAAAGGAAGACAGAAGATGATCATTAAAGTCGTATTATTCAAACAATTATTTTTGTTGGCCTATCCATAAGCTTAGCCACCAGTTGTGAAGGCCCGAGTGTTGCCTGTGCTACAATTTTCAAAATAAGTATGCTAACAGCCGCCCCCCCCCCCCCTTTTTTTTTATTTTATTTGTGAAGTTATAACTTTCTTGAATAAAGGCATAACTTCAACACCCCAATAAGATATCTTTAACAGGTGTATTTGGCTCCTCAGCCAATCAGAATAGAGGGGCAGAAGGAGTACCCACATAAGGCCCGCCCATCTAGAATATCAAATCAGCACATTTATGGGGAAATCCTTGATTGAGAATTTTCACTCTTTTTTTAAGGATCCACAATTTTTATGGGATTTAAACGAACAAATAAATGGCAGGGGATTTTTTTTCATGTGACACTAAAAGCTTTAAATGATAAGTAACCCTTTTATTCAGCATCGTGTTTTTAAACAGTCTTTTTTTCATCATGTATGGTAATCTAAGTGCCCTTAAAATGAAAAACGTGTCCATATCAACATAAAACGGAAAAATTTATTTTTTATTTTTTTTACTCAGAGCTTTTAAAGAGTCGTTGTTTTTGACCACCCTACAGTTAAAGGCGTTTTCCCTCTGCCAAAGCTTTCCCTCGTGCAGCTGTGTCTGTGCGCGTGATGTTTGACGGATCTGGCAGAGTCTTCCGCCTCTGAAGAGCCCGCGCGCTTCTTTCAAACCCTCCTTTAGCGCCACGAGCCCAGCCCCTCCGTGTTTATTAAAGGCGTCATTACGTACAGACAAAGCTGTATCTCCTATAGGCTGTAACGCAAACTACTCATTTGTTATGTGCAGTGACTATAGTATTATTTATCTAAATAAGAGAGGGGGGAGTTTCCTTTAACCAGACGAATTTAAAACATTAAATCGAGTTTATTTTTTTAACTTTCAGGCAAATATATCATAAGCTATAAGCAATAATTTTAAGAAAAAAAAAAATCGGTTTCTTTTAAACATGGAATAATAAAACAAACAGAAGTTTTGTGGGCTGATAGCATCCTCTTATTTTATGGGTTATAGCCTTTTAAAGATCTTGACTTAAAAACGACAAAGCTTTTTAAAACTATTTTTTGACACAATTTACTCGACAAAAACTTACATGTTTTGTTTTATTTTATCCACATTTAGACACTCTCCCTTAAAAGTAACGTTCCTAAAAGTCCAAATTCTGGTCTGACGTATGACCATTATTACGCATGCCAGTGTGCAGTTTTCTGGAGATGCACCGTGTCGACTTCTATTATTGAGGCCAGTAAAAAATGTCGGTGGACGACACCTACTTTAAAAGACGTAATTCCCCTTGTTTTCGACGGAAAAAAACCTCAAAAATTTGGTGACTTTCAATTTTCTTTCGAGAAAAATCAACCAAAAAAAAAAAAACTCGATAAAATATTTCGACTTAAACTTGCGGTATATTGAAAAGCAACTCATTTACTTTGATCTCATGAGAAAAAAAAACAGACGGCTGCAGGTGTGGAGACTTAAAGACTTTAATCATCTCTTGTGTACAACCACTTGTTGCAAGAACTTTACGCATCAAAGTGAAGAACAGCAACATAATAATCACCACTACATAACGCACTCAAACATAGGGTGTGTGTGTGTGTGTGTGTGTGTGTGTGTGTGTGTGTGTGTGTGTGTGTGTGTGTGTGGGAACACAGAGAAGCCACTGTGTCCCTCATTAGTGCTGACACTCGGGGTGTTAATGGGAGGGCCTGAGCTTCCTGCTGCTGTGAGGGCGGCTCGTGATTGGCTGAGAGAGAACTGCCTGACCTTCAAAGTGAGAACAAAATGTAAATAGTCCCCTCAATAATGGCTGTGAAATATTAAACCCAATGCGCTGAATTTCCCCTTAATGCTGCGCGCTATTGAAGCAGCTTTTAAGCGTGATCGAAAGGCTTTTAGTTTGCATTAGAGGACTTTTCTTTCTTCTGATTATCTTCTTTCATGACGGCGTTTGCATATTTTTTTTGAAGCAAGTGCATCATTCAAGGCTGATCGGCACAAATCACAAAAAGAAATATGGAAGCTCTCAAAGTTTTAGCAGCTTTTAAAGCGAGTTGTTTTGGACAGTTTTTCTTAGTTTCACTTGATTTAGCGTGTTTGTTGGTGTTTTTTAGTTCGCCACTCAAGGCTTTCACGGGAAATTGTTTTGTTTTCATCTTCAAAATAAAGGTCACTGGATTTGAAAGCAGTTCCATTAAAGAGCGTTTACAGGCTTTATCTCTATCATCCACATATAAAGAATATCTATCTATCTATCTATCTATCTATCTATCTATCTATCTATCTATCTATCTATCTATCTATGTCATGTTGTCCTTGTTCTTTGATGAATCTCTGTATTTAAAAGTTGAGTTTTGGGGCTTTTAATGGGTGTATTTTTTAATTGATGTTTTAAAGTTTTTAAAATGTCATTCAAGAATCTATTTGAAATGACAAAAAATAATTTCAGTAAACGTAAATCTCCTTGTCTTTTCAGAGTCACATTTGGATTATAAGGAATTGTTGTCCCTTTTAATTCCGATTTAATGTTTAATTCTTGTTATAAACTCTCTGAAAATAACTCAAGTACTAAATAAATCCAAAGACTGAATCAGAAATTTATCTCATAATGTGCACAGTTTGAGTGCAAACCCATAAAATCACAAAAAAACATCCCTTTCTTTTGTTTAAAGAAGCATCAAGAGAAGTTTATTTCCATTAAAACCCCCAAAAAGCTCCATTCAAAACGACTCCAAATGTAACAGGCCTCTTCCTCTGTGACTGAAACACACATACTAATTACAATAATATGGGAGGTTGTTGGATCGTTAAGTGTTTTTTAACAATGTTTGGGGATTTGGTCATTGACCCATGGAGTAACTCCAATTAGTTTGGTCAGGTATTCAAACTGATCACGCAATGAGGCAGCACACATCGGAGACACACAAACACACACACACACACACACACAAACGCAGGGACGCACAAGTGGGCGGAAGAAACCCTCAATTAGACCGTTTTTTTTCACAGAGTTGTAGAAAATGAAAAGATAGTGCGATCCTGTGAGTTAAAAAATGACACTAAACAGAATATAACTATTTGTTTTCGTGAATTTAATCCAGATTATTTTGTTTTAACTTCAAACAATAATCATAAAAGGTTAAAATCATTCATTCTTAATCTATTCTTTAGATTTTGAGGAGGGAAATATGTGACTTGTTTGTGTAGGCCTACACTTAACAAGGCGACCAATTCTCCACATTTCTTTGTCAAGAAAGGCCAGCCAACAGAGACCAAACTCAGAACCCCGGTATCCAAAAAGAAATTAAATAGGCAACAAAATGGAGGTTAATGTCGATGTTTGATAAGGGCCTACGGATCGCTTTAAGTCCAAAACTAATAGTCTCAAGTCCACTTCTTACACGCAGGGCCTACTTTTCAGTTTCATTCTTCATAACTTCAAAATTTTCCCACTCAGACTCGGTATTAACCCCGAATTATGAGGGAAAATAAAACACCTAAACTTTCCGAGAGTATTTTCTCGTCTGCCCTTTTGGAAAAAGATGTAAATATCGATCAAAAACGCGCCAAACGTCACTAAATTTAAATTCAACCGTTACTTCCTTGTGCACTCAGGTATCACTCCGCTCTAGAGTTACCGAGTAATCCGTTACCGGTCTTCCTCCGCCCCGGTAAGTGGCTCTCCGCTCCAGGCTGGCACAGCAGGCACCGTGAGAGTTCCCCGGTTCTCTTTAGTCCGTGTTATCTGACCGGTTTATCGTGGAAAGTTCTCTGTTTGTAGACGTGTCAGTAAAACGCTGTTTTCAGCATTAATATGGAGGTAGGTGTTGATATCTGAACGTGCACTTGGGAAAACTTTTTACATCTTCGTTAATTTAGCATAAAGAAACGGCTTTAAAATGAAAGTTTGGCATTATTTGTTCCTCTCAAACGCGGTATAGTGTTTGTTGCTGATTTGTGAGGTAATTTTGCTTAAACATTATCATTATTTTGATTAATTATTGCGTAATTTTAATCAAATTTCACATAGCTCTACTTTATTGAGGCCTACAGCTGTCTGGTATGAGTTTAACATGGTGTTTCAACTTTCTCAGAAGTTAGAAAAAGTTTCTTACCTCCTTTAAGTTATGCTGTGTTTATAATTTATAGTGTAGGTTATGGAAATCTTATTCTTATTCATTTATTCACATAAAAAACTGTGTAAATATCCAGAAATTTAGCTCAGAGAAACAGCATCAACACTTTAATAGATGCACCTTCTAAATTCTCAACCTGACCCTCGCCCCCTTGCTTGAATCTCTTAATAATTCTGCGAATGGTTAAAGTTTATTTTCCTTTTTCATCAGATCTACTCCAAAGTCCAAGGATATGTTTTACGTTGCACAAAAAATCCCCGAATTCTTATTTTTGAGGTTAATTCTCGTATTTTATTCAGTCTCATCATGTTTGTGTAATTTTAATAGACTCTGGTGCTGAAATTAAACAAACTACAAACTCTTTGACATGTTCTTGCTTGTTGCAGACCAGCCTGTCAGCGCGACTTGAGCAGGTTTTAGTGCTCCATGCTGTGTGGTCACTCTGAGCCCTCAGTCCTGCTGAGTTGAGTGCAGCTGACGTCTTACTAACGCCATTGTATCAGTCCATTGTTGTTTGCAGCTCGTCCGTGGACAAGCTATGGATTTAATGGTCTCTTTACTGCGTTAAACTGGTTTAATCCTGCTGCAAATGGGAGAGACAAATCATGTTTAATCTTTAGTGTAAAGCTGGCTGAACAATGCACAGATGTGGGCGATGTTTGCATTTGTTTGCCTGATTTGTCACATTTGTTTGATGACACAATCAAACAGGATTTTGGCAAGATGTAGGGTGAGTGTCTGGTTGGGATGAAGCTTAGGAAAGATGGTCTAAACGTCTCCTGAAAGGTTCAATAAAAATAATCAGGATTTTGTTGAGCTTTTGTTTTAAGAGAAACATTTTTTGAGTAAAACAAATAAAAGAAATTACAGATTTATTGTTTCTATTGTTAAAAATGAACTTTTAAAAACTTTTTTACTGTTGTCATTTAAATTATCCAAACTTTGTTGAGTTAGCGGTTTTAGCATGTCTATATTTGAAATTACAGTGAGAGTAGGGCCGCCATGAAGGGCCTCAAAACTCACCAAAGTCGTCAACTTGTGCAGGTTCATTATAAAAATCACAGTTTCTATCTCTGTTAGGGCTTTTATTTTGTAGACCGGGCTTACAGGCCATTGTTAGCTCTTACAGGTTGATGGGAGAAAAACAAGAAGGCCTTTATGAGCTCGAGTGTACGGAGGCCTTCAAGGACAGTTCTGGCAGAAAGAGAAGTTCACTCACGTACTTGATATGATTCCAAACTCACCTTTAGAGGGAATCAGCTGACCTCAGACAGGTGTGAGACTCCTCTGAGATCAGCATCACACTTTCCTGTCCTGTTTTTTTTTTCACTCTGACAGACGATTCTTTGATACCAAACCGCCTCAGGGTTAAGTTTAGAGTCAGAAAACTTTAAAGTGATGCTTCTTGTCTTAGTGTTTATGTCTCAGATTCAAACACAAGGCCAAAGGTCACAACTGGCGAGCAAATAGGTCACATTTGTCTTTAACTTTTAACATGTCTTGGACAACAATGGTGACTGACGTAATAGTAACAGTTTTCCCACCATACAGAAGAAAGAATCTCAATAAGACAATAATATGTATCATCACGAAAATCTCAAAAATTCGTCTAGAAACGATTAGTTTTGTCATTAATTGGAAAATGTTCTATTCCCCCACCACCAACACTGTAACTTCAAAGAAGTGTAAACATCTACTCCAGCTAAAAAACTTTGCATGAATTTACCGTAAATTAAAAAAAAGACGTGAATAGACAGGAGCAATATTTTTGGTTTATTCTTGTAAAATAAAAAGCAAAGTTTGTGTTATCAAATGAGACAACCCCAGGAAAGGTGTCCAGGTTTTATCCAGGTGCGTTGATGTTGAGTTGTTTGAGAAGATTGTGTTTAGTTGCAGATGTAACAGGAGAAAACTGACTCTTCAATAAGGCCAACATGAACAAAATTAAAAAGTACTCAAATGAAAGTCAACCAGAAGGGTTTCTACGATGTGCTAAATCAAGGAGATAAAATAGTCTCAGCTCTGCTTTGGCAGGAACTAACAAAAGATTTACTTCATTTGAGCCAGTAAGACGTCTAACTATTCCAGGATGATCTCCAGATTTCACGTAACATCAGTGAGATTCTACTGGAGTCCATGACTCTGACTCCAGGTTTGGTGATTGGATGACAGCACTGTCTAGAAGCATTTATAGAAAGTGAATAAAGGCCATGAAAACAGCTTTGGCTTTATTACTGAAGTTTAAAAAAAACTCACAAAGCAGATTTTTATCAACAAAAAAACATCTTTTTTCAAATTAAGAACCACTTGCAGTTGGAAAAGTGCCAATTTTTTACTTACAACTGTTGTACATGAAGGATATCACAACAGTTCTGGCAGTGTTTCGGAGGTTAATAGACACGGCGGTGCACTCAAGGCTTACTTTTTTTTCACTTTTATGACGAGTAAGCATATTTTACTTCAATCAGACGGGAAAATCTGGTTTCCACGAATTTGCGTTTCCCTCTTTAGGCCAAGGCCTCTCAATACAAGACGACAAGTGTATCGTTCATGCGTCTTCGTACAGTGAATGTCCTGCTGTATGTATTGTTCTCCATGGCGGCCCAGACAGACGGTGTCTGGACGCTCGTCTGGACTGTCGAGGACCCGGCCATGACGTATAGCCGCGCAGATGTAGCGGCGGGGCGGCTAACACAGCGAGGATTGTCCGAAAGCACCGAGTAGAGACACAAGAGAGAGAGAGGAAGGGACTCAGACAGACCGACAGACAGACGGACACTTACTCTCTTTGTGTTCTGAGTGAAACATTCAGGCTTCATGTAAAGAAACAAACCGAGCGGCGGCCTAAAGAGCGGGAACTTTTGTCCGACTCGCTGATGGTCCGAGAGCAACCTGCGCGGCTCTGATGATCTAATCAGTTGATTAGATAATCAGAAGAACATCGCAGCAATTAAGTCCCTTTTTTGCCTTCGTCCTTAATCACTCCCTCAGATTGAATTGACTCGTTTCATCAGCTTCTGGCAGAGTGCATGTGTGTGTTTATGTGACCGTTTGTGTGTGTGTGTGTGTGTGTGTGCGTGGAGCGGAGATGGTGTGATTTTCCAAACATATGGAGGACGATACACTCCTTCAGCTGATGTGAAAACAGGAAAATCAGCACGATTGGGCTCAAGAGGTGTTCACTTTTCACACACAGAGAAGTCCTCTAATCAGAAAGAGCAACAGGCAAAGGTCAAAGGTCAAGGATGCAGTTAGTGTTGCCTAAAAAAGTCTGAAAAACTGTATAAAAAGTGAGAAACATGATAAAGACAGAAGAAAGTGGTAGAAAGTGAAGCATGACTATTTAAAGGAACTATTTAAGAGTTCTCTCTAAGCTTTCTGCAAAATCAACAATCAAAACAAGAAGAAACTTCCTCCAGATCAGCCGAGGTTGTGATTCAGCAGGTGAGGTTGTGAGGGAAACAGCCTGACAGATCACCTTTTATAAAACTCCTCATTTCACCTATTTTCAACAAGGTAAGAAGGAAGAAACGCAGAGGAGGGCGACAGGAATGAGGTAAATTTTTGCGTGCGCAGACGTGAAAAATAAGGATCAGAAAAGGAGAGTCATGCTTTCGGGAAGCCTCAAAAATTTGGCTGGAGCATTCAGAGAGCGTCCCAGGTTCAGACACCTCTGCCTCTTTCTTTTGCCAGCTGTGAAAACAAAACCCAAATCTGATTCCTAAAAGACCAGAAAAACCCAAAATACTGCAGGTGATTGGTGTGTCTGCGGGGTGACATGCAGCAAAAGTCATGGACCACTTTACAACCCCCTCTGCTTTGTACTGCTGCACATCTCCAACATTACAGTAAGCAACAGGAGGAGGTGGAGGCTGTTATCCTAACCTGGTGGGAGAGAGAGAGAGAGAGAGAGAGAGAGAGAGAGAGGGAGAGGGAGAGGGAGAGGGAGGAGGGGAAAGGATGGAGGAGAGGAGTGAGTGGACGAGAGAGGGAGAGAGGTGGGCCTCATAACAGACCCAAGTGCTTTTGCGCTAAGGAGGATTAGGCAGCCATATCTACCAGCGATGCTATAAGACGGGGTTAACCCCTGGATGAACCTGGCTGGACATGTGCTACGGTGATGGAGGACCGGGGCAGGTTTATTCAAGCAGACATAGGTGACGGGGGCGGGTTTTGGCGTAGAATTGACAGGTGCGGTGTAGAACTTACGAGGCAGAAAGAAACCTGCTATTGTTTCGATGTTCTTCAGCAACGCTAAACTTGATGGAGTCCGGTTCGGGAGGGTGCAGCCGCGTAACAGTGACCGTTTTGTGAACTCTAGTTTGTAATCCTCATACGGATAACAATCTGGATTGGTAAAAACAATAATTTCAGTTACGAGGACGCTCACATGGGAGTCAATTACCAAACCGAACTCAGGCGGAGAACAACAAAACCCTGGTTGTATTTATAGTTTGAAATGAGACGCTGAGGCCAAGCCCCCTCTGGTATTAGTCAGAGTTACGGCCCTGCATATGAGACGATACTACAACACAGTTTTCACTTTAAAAGCAGGCTGCAAAAATACACTGCAAAGCTGAAAATAAGCACGTTTTTAAATGTCATATTGGACATGACACAAGCCATGTTTACTGGAGAGCTTTAGATGAACATCTTTTATCAAGACATTTCAAGCCTCAAGTTAGGCCTCAAGTGCTTTTAATAAGTTAAATAAAATGTCAATGAAGGAATTACAAAAAAAAATGTTTTACCTTTGAATTAAAAAGTTTCTTGGAGTAAGATGCAAGAAACTTTTAATGTCGTAACAAAGAAGTCGCTCCCGGACCCAAATGTGGTGGTTTACTTTCAGAAACAAACATAAAACAAGACAGACAATTGTTGATTCCACTGTGAATCATAAATATTTTTATTTTCATATATTGAGTAATGTGTTTTTCTGCTTCTGACACTTCAAAATACCTCTCAGCTGCCATGTTTAAAATATAAAAAAATTAGAGACTTAAACTCATGCAGCAAAAAAAAAAATTCACAGAAAATATTGAATTTATTTGCTAAATTTCAGCAGAAAAAAAGACGTATTTTAATCAACATGATCACTTCCTGCTTGATGTGAGCTCAGTGAAAAATAACAGTTTTTTTCCATTATTATATCTATTAATTCTCTTTAGTCTTTAAATATTTTTGTAATTTTTTAAAAAGTTGGTTGATCGTGGCAAAAAAAGGAATTTGATTTACTTTAAATTTTTCAAAAAGACGTATTTTGGGTAGGTTTTGTTCATGTAAAGTGTGCATTGTTGCAAGTTTGTTTTAACGTGACTCTAAAAAATAATTTTATAGAGAAAACTTTCTTTTTTTCTAAAATTTTAAACCTATTTTTGGCGGCTTCTTTCCAGTCAATGCTCATTTATTTGGTTTCAAGTTCACTAAATGTTTAATTTCTCTTCATAATGTTGTCCCAGAATATTTCCATCATCAATAATTTGTTCTGGTGTTATTTTTTTTATGATCAGTACCAGTTTGGACACGAGGCAGCTGTGTAGATTATTATCTGTTGGTTCATGTCACTCTTTGGTTTCTTTAATCCTAGAGACCTCTCGTCAGTCTCACTCTTGCTGCCATTGGTCCGTTCCTTTACACTGAGCTGAGTATCCTCTGGTGTGTTGCATACAGTCCATTGGTCTGCCTGGTACAACCTTCATATGGAGTAAAAAAAAAAAAAAAAGAGTTTTCATTGTGTGCTGCGGATCATCACATGCCTGGGATCAGGGGGTCTAAACGGGGTCATAGTGGGAGCACGGAGCAGCCGGAGGGGTCACAGAAAGTGTGAAAGACGGTCAACCCAGCGCCCTTCTTAAAGACTTTACAATCCTGCATTTCACTTTGCATCATGGGAATTAAACAACCGGGCAGGAGGGACGTTGTATATTTATTTATTTACATCACTTTTTATCCTTGAGCGTGTTGAAGCTCAGGTCAGTAAAGATTAACCAGAAAGTGATTAAAACTCATGATGAATAAAAAACACGGACTCACAAATATACAACCAAACAGACACGAAATAAATATCCCAATTTATCAGTCGAACTTTCTTTCAATGGCGTGCACTGGAGCTTATTGACACATATGGATGCCAAGTTGATCTGTATACTGGGTCTTGATCTGGCTTAACCTTCTACCTCTAGCCCAGTTAGCTTGCCGCTCTGTTTTACAGCTGTCTGGATTCACAGCGCAGGCCTCCGATTGGCTGACCTCTGCCCGACTGGCCTGTGTATTCATGCGTGCAGCACAATCATCTCTCCCTGACCTTGGATATACCCCGCCTCACATACGTTTACCCCCATCCTTTCAGTTTTATCCGCTGCTTTTAATGCGTGGAGCTGTGGTTCTTCACTGAGTGCAGATATCGCTGCTCTCTCTGAGTTGATGTGCTGCTTCCTTCTTCTGTGATTGGACGCATTTTCACAAGAATGACAGAACGGTGCACACAGAGGGACTTTCAAAATATATCAACCAATCGTTTTAAGTCAATTTTAACACACCAAATGTGAGGAGGTGTTGAGTTTTTCGGAAGTTGTTTAACTTAAAAGTGAAGCACCTGTAAATTTTTCTTTTCTTTTTTTAGATATTCTTATAAATTTAATCAAAATTTCTGAACTGTTTTCTCCTCATAACTTTGGAGTAAAACAGTTCACCCTGACAAACATTTATAAAGAATTTCCAATAATTCCCATGAAACACAACGACAAAAAAGGCGAAGTCATTAAAGTGAATCCGCCTGATCAGTTTAACCCAGTTCTGCAGCTTTGCCAATCAAAATAACTGAACTCTCCAACACTAAATCCTCAACCACAGTCTCATCTTTCAGAGGAAATTCACTTACAGGAACAGAATAACTCGTTAGAGGTACTGTGTTTTATGTGTTCAGGGAAAAAAATCTCAAATAAAGACCCAAAACCAACAATGAAATAATCCGACTAACAAGTGTTTGCGAAGTCGCAAAGCCGCATAAACCTTGTTGGTGTTTGTCATAGATCCATGATGTTGTTACCTTTATTATATCAAACACAGGAGTTCTCAGGCAAACTAGAGTTTTAAATGTGTGGCCATCCGTGCATGAAATAGTGCCATATAAATGTTGTTATTCCTCTTTGTGTTGTTCAGCTTTTACAGGAAATGTGTAGTTGGAGGTAATGGTTGAAATGCAAATCTGATTGGTTATGGAGGGAAAGACAAAAAGATTCACAACAAACATTTTCTTTGAACTTTTTAAAAATTTTTTACGAATAAATCAAATTTCTATTGAAGAAAATTTCACAAACAGACATAAAAGAGGATAATAACTGCTCTACCTTCAATTTTCAAAAAAAATATTTTGTGTTTTTAATTAAAAAAAAAACAATAAAATGGCTAAAATTAAAAGCTTAATACATAAATCAGCACTGCATTTGGTGTTTTTTTTTTTTAACCTGCATTTTTGAAAATCTTTGTCTGTGTTTGCATTTTAGTTTCTGAGAGCATGTAGGCATTGTTGTTGATTCATGGCAGGAGATGCTACCAAAATCTGGATGTACTATAAAAGTATGCCCTTTTATTCTGGTTAATATGGTAAAACGGTTTACTGTTGCAGAAAATGTGTGGTTGGGGGTAATGGTTGAATCTCAGACGAATGCAAATCTGGTTGGTTTCAGAAAAAAGGCAAAAATTTAGGATTCACAACAAACTTTTCTTTGAACTCTTTTTTTTTTGTTTTACGAATAAATCAATTTTCTGTTGAAGAGATTTTCACAAACAAACATGTCAGAGGACAATGACTGCCCTCCCTGCAATTTTCAACAATTTTATAAAGTGTTTTCAAATAAAAAAAATATAATAAAATGGCTGAAATTAACAGTTTAATACATAATCCAGCACTGCAATAGGTGTTTTTAAGTGCATTTTAAACAATCTTTTATCGTCTGTATTTGCATTTTAGTTTGCGTGAGCATGTAGTAATTGTTGTTGATTGGTTGTACTATAAAAGCCTGCCCTTCTATTCTGGTTAATACGGTAAAACGGTTCACTGAAGATTCCCACTGCGCTTAATTCCCATCATTTGGCTTTCCCATCTTCTTACTCCTGGCCTCCATGATCACCCTTGCCCCGGCTGGACTAGGGTGCAGTTGGGCGGGGTTGCAAAGGGCTTGGCCGGGGCAAACGCGGGTCACGTCATCTGGAGATCTCCCTCGGTAATCTCTGCCCCAGCTCTGAACCCTGGATCCCATTAAAAAGGATTTACATCCAATAGTGTAGATGTACCAAAGGCAGCTTTTCTGTCTTCTCTTCCCATCATTTTACCACTCTAATAACATCCCTGTAAAACACCACAGAGCTTTTCTTCTCTTTCCTTTTTTTCCCCCTGTGTTAATGTAGGAGGACTGCCATGTGAACAGACTGAGCCACGCCTACTTTTGACGATAAAAGCAAGGGATTGGTTTGGAGTTTCATCTGTAGTGAAAGCTTTTTATGGGATGTGGGATGCTGGCAGGCGGTGGCGCATGAGTAAAAGAGTGAGATCTTTCAGAGAGGTGATGTGAGAGTTGGACTAAAAATAGACGGAGGAGGACGGGATAAGCAGCAGAAATGATCTCTGCGTTCTCTGTTGTCTCCTCCTCCCTCTTATCTCCATCTCCCTCTTTACAGTAAGACCTGCTGGCGTCAGTATTCTTCCCTGAGCTGCTAGATCCACTCCGATCTCATTATTTGTGTCGTGGTCAGTAGCTGAAACTATGAGCTCACTTGCCCTGGCTTCCTGTTGAGCTCACCTTTCCCTGGTACTGATAGTGTGGTTAACACAGGTCGTCTTGATTGCACCTTCACAATCGGAAACGTCTTTTGGATTATAACTACTGCCAAACGTCAGCGTGAGCTTGTTGGCATCGGGACTGTTTCAGGAGATCATAGCTAATGGAAGCAGACTGCAATAAACCTGGAATAGACAGTTCTACTACACACAAGAAAGAGAAGAGTCAGCATGGGGTGTTGAAGATTTGATAGAGAAAAGAGTAAATAATTCTGTATTTTGAGAGAACATCTATTAGAAATCGATTTGAGAAAACTTGGGGATATATTTTGCCCTTAAAGTGTTAAATTCTTCACTGTGTTCACCAGCTAGTAGATAAATGTGTATTTTGATGCTGAGCAGGCCGTGTGTGATGACACAAAAAGGCACAAAGCGTTAAACAAAACCATAAAACTTTGGCCCGAAAGCTAAACTATTATTTGAAAATTGACAATAAAGCAATATACAGCAAAGAGGAACTGCAAGTGTGGCTAAGTCCTTCAAAGTTTACTGGTAGTTTAATATTTTAGCCCTTTGATAGAGCAAAAGATACTTTGAGTGCACCAAAGCAGTAAATTTTCAGCAAAAACAGCCTCAAAGGTTGGTGATATTCATAAAAAAGTTAAGAAACTGAAGGTCAAGATTGTATTTGTTTAGGTTTATTGCTTTTTAGTGTTTTTATTTTGAAAATTTTGCTGAAATTACTAAATTAATCTTTTTACTTAACTTAAATATTTAAGTTTAGCACAACAAATACCATCCACTCGCCATAGGTTCATCAATTCAGTGTTTTTTATTTTATTTAATTTTTTTAAAATTTCCAAAAACACTAGATTTTAGGGCCAAACAGCTTAACATTGACTCAAATTGGAGATACGTACATATAGGCGGAGTATGGTTAAACTGACATAGTACCAGTTGACCTGAGGAACCAGCAAAGATATGGATATTAAACTTCAAGGAGAACTGAAAGCTGGTAGTGCTAACTCTGCCAGTGTTAGCCATACTCTGCAAATCAGTTTGTCACGTTTACCCACGGACACTTCCCTTTTTAGCTAGGTTACATAAATCGACTTAATTTTGATCATTTTTGAACATTTGTAACCTTAAATCTTGTCAATAAGTTAGACTTAACATTTATGTTTATAGAACTTAAGTTAGTATTTTCAGAACATCCCCAGTTTAGCTGCACAGTTAATCGTTTTTGTTGCTTTCACAGAGCTGCCAAGCCTCACGCTTGAGTGTGACAGTCACGCAATTTGACCCATTCTCACACCACACGCCACACGCCATGATAATAAACTTGGCTCGCTGTAGTTTGAGTAACTCTGACTGACTGACCGAGATGACCAATCCATCAGTTCTTTGTGCCTAAATCTAACCAACCACGGACGGCACCCCGCAGTATAAACCAATCAGAAGCAACGTAAGCGGGTCTTGGCATCTCTAACTATCTTTCACGTACAACAGCGCCGACATTTAAAACCCACTCGACAAAATGCAATATTGATAAATAAATGTTTTTTGTCAAAACTTCTTGTTGCAATTTTCATTTCTAATTTCTTGTTAATTAAGACTAGCATAAGGTAGAGCAGCTGGCATGGAGGTAAGGACATCAGTCTTAAAGTATAAATCAACGTTAAAAAAGGCAAAAAAATAAATAAATTCTGAAACTTGGCAGCCCTGCTTATGTTTTGAGATTGGGAAAGCAGTTGTAAAATAATTCAAGAAGTCTCATACTGAAATTGAGCGAATTGGACCATTTAAGAAATACTCTAATAAATCCAAAAGTGCTGGAGTCGTGATGTAGCTTTAAAACAGATTCTGTTGCAATAAAGTATCAGTTTTTCTTCTTTCGCTGATAAATAACTGTTGATTGTTGCATTGATGCTGACATTCCGGAATGTTGTGTTTAAAGGAATTTAGAACCAACAAAATGCCCTTGATGTTTCTTTGATCATTTGAAATTTAACTGACGCTAAACAAAAGCTGAGAGCTCAATAAATATCTGTAATTAACGAGGATTTTAACTCCCAAATGTTCACTACAAGAGCAGGAGGTCATGAGGTTTGCTTTCTGTGTGAGATTGTCTTGTTCTGTTCCCTCACATGTGACCTCTGTATATGAACTGCTCCTTTATTTACTTCAGTTTTAGGTTTTGGCTGGTGTCCAATCCAAATCACTGGAGTTTTACTTTGAATCGCCTGACACCAATCCTCATTTATCAGGGATCAGATTACTGAATTCTACGAAATATAGGAAAAGATTCTGACTGCAACAGCTGTCTGGAATTAACTTTAAATGTCTTGTCTGCTGAGGTTAAGAGGAAAAAAGAGCACATATTTATCTGTTTGTAATGCGCTGTCTTTTGACTCTTTTGAGGGTCCTGCTTTCTCAGATAGCATAAAGAATATGGTGTTATAATCTTTTAAACGACACAAACGTCTTACCTTCTCACTTAAGGATGGAGTAAACATAATAAAAGCTCAGAAAATGTCAGTTGAGTCACTGCAATGTTGTGGAAAAATACCAAAAATGTACTCCTCCTAGCTTCTATTTCTGACGATAAATAATTTTCTGCTCTAAGTGAACGTGTTGAGGGAAATTTTAATGGTTTTATCTGCCATCTTTGACTTTTTACCTTTTATATTTGATCGACGAAGTCACCTTCTGATAATAAAACGAAGGGTCATTGGAAGGAACACATGGTGCCTCATCTGGATTCGGATCCCCTCCAAAATTTAATGGGATCCTCCCGTGCCCCTGTTTCACCCCTCAACAAGGTTTTAGGAAAATTTGGAAGGTGTTTTTTTTTTTTTCTTTTTTCTTCTGTCATCTCTACAGACAAAAGGATAATTAAACGTTAAATCAAATCTCCAAAGTAGTAGGAAAAAATCATTAAAATATTAAATTAAGAAAATAAATAACTGAGTTGCAAAGAACAAGTTGGCCTATCTTCCCCTCTAAATCTACAATCCAGAACAACTTTGGCTTCTGTGTCTATCCTGAACAAACAGCTCACCTTTTACTAATGATTTGCACTCATCCAAAATACCACCACTCCTCAAAAAATAAGAAAGAAAAGGTCACAGAAAGGTAGAAATGCCATAATGTGGTCACAACTCGTAATTGGGGCGAGAAAAAAAAGGTTTTCAGGGGAGTTTTCTTTTGGTTTTGAAATCCTTTTGTGGCAAGAATCTGACTTTCGACTTTTCTGTTGTGTTTCAACATTTCGTTTCACAAAAGAGAAATTAATTATGTCGACATCTTTTGTTTTTCTTTTTAAAAAATTTATTTTTTATATATTGGGGTTTTGCTTGAACGACTTGTTTTGTCTTTTTCCGAAACGTTCCTTATATGAGCTGCGCAACGATTTCAAGACAGAAGCAACATTTCCCTGTAATAAATATAAAACCAGCTATCTGCATGCCTCGCACTGTACACTGTCGCAGCTCCACTGTGAAACTCGGTCAGTGTTTTATACATTTTTAATGTGTGTGATTCCTCTCCGTGCAGCGATCTGCTGTGACCCCACCGTGCCCTCCAATCAACATCTCACCCAACCCCAACTTTTCCTCACGCTATACATTAAAGCTACACTGCTCGCCCATCAATTAAACATGGCCGACAAGGACAGGCAGAGTTCAGTGAGCTTCTCGAGCTCTGCTGTTGGTGGCGTGATGCCTTGTGAGATAAAAGTTAAGCTGCAGTGCAAGACGATGACAATAGTTTTATTTTTTTCAAACTATCTTATTGAGCGAAAAAAAAAGTGGGAATCTAGTCTGACTTTGGTGAAATTTGGACGTTTTCTTATCATTTCTGAATTTCAAAGGTTTGACTCAACTGTTCGCTCCCATACTAGACTACCTTTCTATTTCCTGCCTCCTCTCTTATCTGAGTTAATATCCCCGTTCTTCCATGATATGACTGCCCGTCTCCATATGTGCTTTTCAACCCGGTTAGATCCCTGAAGTGTGAGATGATGTAAAGTGTGTGGGACCAACCATGATCAAATGTGTGCAGGAAAACAACAGATCTGATCCAATGGCTGGTGCCGGGGGATTACAGCATCACTTCTTGTTCTGCACGAGTTTCTGCGCCTATGGATGGGTTATCGCTATAGGTGTTGCGTGCTCTTTCCGCTCACATGCTACAGAGAAGATATGCATCAAGCGGAGGTCAGAGTGAAGTCAGTCACACACATGTTCACCTTTTGGGCATGGGAAGTGGAAACAAGATAAAACCAACAATCTGTAAATAAACAGATTTGTGATTCTTTGGGATTGACAGTTTAAAAATGGGTCCAAATGTTGCCCAAAGTCTCGTCTCCAAAGTGCTTTTCCCGTCAAATCAGCGTCTCAAAATCAAAAAGTTTTTGTTGATGACGAACGATCGAGAAAATTTTCTCTGGAACTGGTAAATTTTTCCAAGTTTTGTTTGAAGAAACCAACAAAAGGATTCATCTTTGATTAAGATATTTGAAATACAATTATTTTCTGACTGATAACTTCTCGTTGCAAGAAAATAAACTGATGCAGGGTTGAAAATCACGACTCACTTTAGGCAAAATAAAACAGAAAACTATTTTCAATTGTACAAAAAATGCGTAAAAGTTTGTATTCATGACTTTTTGCTTTGTGATCGTCGATGAGTTAACCCAACCACTTTTTGTTTTTCAGAGGAAATATTCCGCGTCATCTGTTTACATGGAGTATGATCCATTTTGATGTTGTGTTTACACGCTCGAGGCGCCGATCATACCCTTACTAACAGCGTGATTGGAGTGTAGCGCGCCATTGTGACCACACAATAAAAAGGTGGAGGTCAATCGCCTGTCGTGTAGATTGGCGCCTTCGATTGTTGTTTTGATTTTAATTAAAACAGATGTCCACAAGGACCCACGCTTCGTCCTTCGACCTTTGATCGCCACCGCGTTGTGTCGAGGAATGTTCGCGCAATCTCAAGTCACAAGAGACAAGAAACGGGAGTACACAAAACGTCTGCTAATAGAGTGCGATGAGGCCATTTCTCTGATTCTAATTGGTTCAGAGGTCATGGTCATGTAAGTGTCTGTTGATGAGTTTGTTGATTTCTTTGGCCTCACTGACTTCTGCTAATGTGAAGCTAACAAAGCTAACGTTTGTTTTCTTCCTTCAGGTCAAAGTTTGGTTCCAAAACCGGCGGACCAAACAGAAAAAGGACACCACCAAGGATTCGGACAAGCGCTCCTCCACCACCAACGAGTCCTTGGCCACCTGCAACATCCTTCGCCTCTTGGAGCAGGGCCGCCTCCTGTCAGGTCCCGCCCCGCCTCCTAACTCCCTCCTTGGGCCTCCACATCCGGCCAACGGCTCCCTGCTGGGCAGCCCAGGTGGAGGCTCCTCCACCTCTCCGGGGATCAGCAGCAGCACTCCTCCCAGCTCCCTACCTGGGGGGACGTTCGGGCTGTCGCTACCCTCGCTGGGTGGCGCGCCTCCCTCCCCGCGTCTCGGCGTCCCCCCGCCGCACTCTCTTTGCTTCTCGATGCCGCTTCTGGGGGGCGCTCATCACGAACTGACCTCCGCCTACGGGTGTGGATCTTCAGCGTTTGAGCCGTACATGCGGCTGGACAGGAAGGAGGCAGACCTGGGCGGGAAGAAGACTGTTTCTTAATTTGAGCGTCCCTCTTTTAGGACTGCGGGGGACTCGGACTTGTGAGATCACTCCTTTTACTGCCTGTTTGACACCTGACAGCAGCACCCAGGGGGAACGAAACACTCTGGATCAGAAGATTCCTCCGAAAGGAAGGTCCTTTTCTTGCGGCACAGTTTCGTGTCACAGCACTGACACATGATTATGAAAACGACTCGATGTGACGGACTTTCCCACATGAAAAAAAAAAAAAACGAAACAAAACTTGTGAATTTTTGCAGAAATGCCGTGTGTGTACGTGTGTGACCCCTGACAGACAGATGTTTTTATCTCCACTCTCTTCGCAGTGGTTTTAAGTGACTCTTCACTTTGTGTCCTGTGAGTTTGTGTGTGTGTGTGTGCGTGTGTGTGTGTGTGTTTTCTCTCTATACAGGCCTTCATTTACTGTTCAGGAAAAAAAAAAAAATACTTGACTTAAGAAGCTCAGACTGAATCAGGGTCTGAACGAGAGGGGCGGTATTTCAAAGAACGCAGTTTGTACACATTCCGGTACATTTTCTACGTACAAGTGGCCATGTTTGATTTTAGTTGATGTGCTTTCACGATACGGAAGAAACACTGAAGAAAAAAAAAAAAAAGAAGAAGAAGAAGAATCGTAGCATTTAAATATCAATGTGTTTGGTGTCCAGCGGTAGTTTTTTGTAAATTCCTTATTTGGTTGTGTTTGTTGTATGAAATAATTTGTGCTAGGATCTGGACAAAACGGTGCAAAAAAAAAAAAGAAAAAAAAGGAAAAAAAATTCACATATCCAGATCCGTTTGATTAAATACAAAAAACCACGAGAAGAAAGACGAGAAAGCTGGTTTTAGATTCTGCCAAAGCATTTATGGATGAAACTCGACGTTTCCTCCGATCACTGATGACCTTTCAACCCTGAAAACTTTTCCAATCGAGACGTTTTCCCTCGAGGAAGAGTCGAACATGTTTTTGACATCTGTTCGTATTTACAGACGTCTGCTTTCCATTTTTGATTCATCGGTAAATCCTCAACAATCTTCATAATCTTCTTAGTTCGACACAAAAACACACGTCGCCGTCTGCTTCCTGTCAGTGTCGTTTTTTCATACTTGACGGTAAAAATCCATGGATGTAATTTTTTATTTTCCTTACACACACAAAGCGATTAATTATTCTGTGCAGCCCTAGTTAGTTAGTATGAAAATATCAAGTCACTTAAAGCCTCAATCCGTGTCATATTTGCTGCTGTTTTCCTCTCAAACATCCATATTTTATAAGTCAGCTGTTTGATAGTTCGCAATGTCACTTCATGTCTGTAACCACAAAGAATCTCGATGCATTTTTACACAGGCACAGGCAACCTCTACGTGGAGCACGTATTTAGACTCACATGAAGAAGTTAGTACTTTTAATGATATATATATTTTCCTCAAAAGCTGTTTTTGTGTTCGCGCTATATCTCCTTCTTCTAGACTTCAGCTTGCCCGTCGTTTAAAGCACTTTATGTTCGTAGTTTTTTCTCCTTTTTTCGTATTTTGACCCCAAATTAAGATTATGCAGAAAAATTAGGTTTGTTTAAGATTTAAACCTCAGTTTGTGTGTTTAGTTTCGTGTTCAAAAAGATCCCAAATTAAGACAAATTCTCATCAGATGCAGTATTTACTTTATTTTTCTCTTTTTAGACCGAGAAGTCAGGCCTGGTGTCCACGCTGCCCAAAGAAAATCCACACTCGCGCGCAAGTAGCTGCGATTTGACCCCCGGTTTGCCCCCAATTTACACGTGTCACACGAGTTATCGCCTCTTTTCAGAGCTCCCGTCCCCCGCCTGTTGCGCCGCCTCTTATTTCCACCTCACATTTTCCTCATGAATCTATTTATCTGTAAGTTTGGTGTCATTGTGAGGTTGAATACTTCCCTCAGAGGTGACTCGACGCCTATTAAAAGAAACACAAACGCTCCCGTGACATCAATTTAAAAGTAAAGGCCAACGCAGAGGCGTGTTTTTCTCAGCCGCACATACGTTTTCCTCGTGCGGCGCGTGTCCAGATTCTGACCTCAGCTGATGAGAAAAAAGAGAAAAAAAAAAACCCCTCCCCCGTCTGCCAGCTCTTCTGGGCCTTTTTGCACCCGTGTAGCTCCGTTTGCTAGCAGGTGATTTGTTGCTGTTGTGTTTAGACCCCTTGCTAGGGAAAGAAAAAAAAAACACTGTTCTGTGCTCACGGCTCTTTGCAGCGCTGCACCTGTGCTGTTGTCGAACACTGTATTATTTTCTATAAGCACCATCCATAATTCACACGCTGGGGCATCAAATATTAAGAGGAGAGATGGAGCTGAGAGGTCAGGAGGCTTGCTTCTCGTGTTCTCCTCCACAGACCCTCGCTCCTTTCTCCCTTTACTCACATTAGAATCGTTTTCTTTCCTGCTGAAAGCGAAAACAGTCTCTTTTACCCATTTTCAAGTTGGATTTTCAAGCTTTTTGGACGACTTAGCTCCCCAAACTGCTTCTACTTGATCTCATTTTTCAGGAAACGTGTCTTGCAAAGGCATCTAAGCATTTACAAAACGGAGTATTGTCTTTTTATTGTTCCGAATCAGCACTGACTCCATTCTCTCTGTCACTGTACGGTGGTGTTGTTTTTTAATGTAAATCTGCAGTTACTGTATTGTGTTTGAGACGAAGCGAGACGCCACTTCTCCTCCTCCTCCTCCTCCTCCTTCGCATCAGTGAAACAAAGCCTTCAGTTTTCTTTCACGTCTTTTTTTCCTCCAGCAGTTTCTTCTCACTCCTGAAGTGGATATAAAAATATTGCTTTCGTTTTTTGTGCAATCTGTGACATCTTGCACTTGTGCGCCACCGTCTCAGAAGCCCCTTCTCGCGGCTCTCTCTTACAGCGTTACGATTTTCATTTAAGGATTAAGTCTTTTGAGATCGTGTGGAACTTTTTCTTTCTAAAATTAAACTGCGTGTTTTTTGTTTTTTTTCTTTTATGCACAGCCAAGGTCCTCCAAGGGGCCGTAACGTCTTTTCTTTAAGCAGTAAAAGTAACTTAACAGCACCAGCTTCTACTTATGCTCAACAAACTCTATGTACATATATATAAAGTTATATATGAATATATATGATGGGTCTTTGCACACATTGTCTCCGTGTCTGCTCCATGTGATTTAAACAGGAAAAAAAAACGAAAAAACGTTAAAAAAAAAAACAAACGGTGAAGGAAGATTCAGAAAAAAAGACTTTATATATGCTTTACAGTTCTTTGTCTCATTAACATTTTGCACTTATTTAAAGAGGCTTACTTCTGTTTCTGGGCTGATAGAGCTGTTTTCACGCTCGGCCAAGATATTGTACAATATGTATATGTATTTTTATTCATATGCATATAAATATATGTCTATGTAATTTGCCTCCTGTGGTCTGTTTTTCTTTATTTTAGCGCACCGTCGAGGAGAAAGGTTATCCCACTATTTCTAAAAGCCCAAATCTGTTTGTACAATGAATCAGAAAGAAGCTTTTAGAGGACTATTCAGTTTCTTTGTGTAATCGGTCAACAAAATCTACAAACATGGCTGACATCTGCATGTCAAAGCTCTTTCTATTCACGCTCAGGGTTTTGGACTTTGCTTTATTAAAAACCTTGGGTCTTTGTCCAACCTACCAGTGAGATTAAAATGAAAGATGAAGGCAGTGGGCATTTTACCTTTTCAGGCCTTTCTGTGGAGCCATTACCTTTAAATACTTTGGGTTCTGTGACGGTCTGGGTTTTTCGGCACAATCGGGCTGAATGGATGTGCCCTTGGGACATTAATTGGATGAAAATATCAGACTGTGAAAGTAAATAAGATAAATAAATGTGATATTTTCACGAGAGAAAGAAAAAAGCATTTTAGAAGATTGAAAAGTTAGCAGAAATAACAGCATGTTAATACAAAGCGCTGTCAGCGAAACTTTTACTTCAATCATCTTAATTGAAGACAGCGGCGCCGGCTCACAATGAAAACACCCGATGGTTCCTCTGTGATCAAAATCAAAGTTTCAACCTTTTAGTGTTTTTTTAAGGCACATTTAAAGCTCCAGTGAGGAGTTTTTGATTGGTTATAAAACAGACTGAAATGAACAGCGATGCATCTCTGTGGAGTTAAAACCATCAATGATGAGATTATTAAGACAAAATCAGCAACAAAACAAGATTTACTACTTTGTGTACAGAGGGCGCCAAAATCAACGCAGACAGGAGCTTTAAGTAGTCGCTTATTAATCTCTGAAGTTTAAAGCTCTAGTGAGGAGTTTTTCATTGGTTATAAAACAGACTGAAATGAACAGCGGTGCATCTCTGGGGAGTTAAAACCATCAACGACGAAATCAACAATTTCAATTTAGTCATTTTAACTCCCTGTATCGTCAGTGAGGGGGTAGGTACACTGAAAAAAACTGAATTTGACTCTCTTTCAAAAGCAGTTATCAGTATTTGGTGATTTTATGAAAGTATAAGACAAAATCGGCAGTAAACTAAGAGTTACCGCTATGTCCACAGGGGGCGCCAAAATCAACACAGACAGGAGCTTTAACGAGTCGCTCTCTTAAACATTGTACTCGTCATTTAAAGCACTACATCGCTGAGTTTTCATGACCTTCAAAACCATCAGAGACTAAACTTGTTGTTTCAAAGTATTTTTTTTATTTTTTGTAGCATTGGATTTTTTTTGCACAGGGTCCGCTGCAGACAAAAGAATCACAAAAACTGCGTTTTCACACATTTGCAGGGTGACAATTTTGCTGAAAACTTTTTTTTTATACATGAGCGAAACAGAATCAGCAAAGCTAGACGATCGTTCACAAAAATCAGCAACTCTCTGTGAAAGCTTTAAGTCACTTCTATGCCCATTTTTATTCTTATTTGTTTGTTGTTTGCTTTCTTAGCTGGACAGGATTTCGCTGTTTGTAGACAGAGAATGTAAAGTCATCGGTTTGATTGAAATTCAAACGCATGAGAAACTAAATCCAGTTCAAACTCCAAACAGCTCTGATGCTAAAAAACATGTTTGGTAGATAGTAACTAAATTCACTCAAGTAACATTCTTGTATTATCTACATTATATCTAAACTTAACTGAAATTCAAATGTAAAAATGGTCTTTATTTTGTTTTTTAATCAGTTTTCTGGTCTCACTAAATTGGGCTTGTTTGCAGATCGGCTCTGCTGTTACAATCTACTACGTCAAGATAATGTTAAATATTAATGCATGGATAATCGAAGTCCAACAATGTCACACTAAATAGTGCATCTCCAAAGATTGCCATTAAAAAGTTTGATGTTTCTAACCAGTTATTTAAGAAATGTCTAAGTTTATATACGACGGACACTAGTTTCATTACACGTAAACTACATTTCCTGTTTTGTTTTTTTTCGATCTTAGTTCTGATTATTTTGTTTTACAATTCAAATTATTATAAAAATATAGAAGACTAATATTCTATTCTTTCAGTTTGCAAAAAAAAGTCACTTTTTCATGAAATTCTAATATTTTGACATGCATTTGGAGGCCCAACTTTTCCAATCATAACTACTTTAAAATATATATTTTCCCGTTTGAAAGAATTTTGCACCTATTTTTGACTACAGAATTGTAACTTCTACCAAAATACATCCACACCCATACTTGCATTATGGAAACAAACTTTTTTCCCCAACTTTGGACTCTTTGGGCCTCTGTAGTAAAAAGGCCTAAATGATGCAGAACTGACAGGCCCCTCAGCTAAATCACATTTCCATGATTACTTACGAAAACTTTCCCAATGACACGTCAAACGGAGAATAATCTGCGGTAAAAGGACAAGTCGTGTGTAGGTTGGACTAAGCTGGAAAGGTAACACAGTACATACGTCCCCCCCTGTCAGCCCAGACTGCAGCGAGGGGGCTCTCCTCCAAGCCGGGACAATTGATCCGCGGGGTGCCAATTATAGTGATTGGCACCTTTAGTTGAGCGAGAAAGAGGCGAGAGGGCCGGCAGAAAGAGGACCAGATGGGTGGCCTGTTTTAGAGGAGAGCAGGGAGGGAACGAGCAGGAGGAAGGCCCCCGCTGCAGAGGAGGGAAGTGGTGGTAAACAGCCTCCAGAGAGGAGCGACACGACTCCATTGGTTTGGCTGGTAATATCTAAACAGCAGACATGTTCTCCGAGGGGATAAAACTAAAAAAGTACGAAACAATACAAGTATACATCCTAAATCTATTTAAGGGAAAATATTTTTTTTAATTTGATTTTTAATTTATTTTAATAATATCAGGAAAACATTAGAAATTGAAATATTTACTTTAAAAAACAGAAAGTAAAAGAAATCAAACTTTTTATCTGCTCGGTAAAATGCTCGGTAAAGACAGTTTACCTTAAACTTACGCTCACTTATGCTAAAGTGAACATACTTTTTGTTTGTTTGAACATAAAGTAAAAGTTTTTTTTCCTAACCGCAGGCTTAAAACTTTTTTTTGAGCGTAAAATTAATCAAAATAAAATCAAATACAATCCCAAGAAATAAGTGTTTCAATCCATCACAAGAGTGTGTCGTAAACTGTCATCTACAGGATGAGTAAAAAGGGGGATTTTATTGTGAAATGCTTAAAAATGTTTGTCTGACATGCATTTATTGTGAAAGAAACAACAGAACAGTTTATTTAAAGATCCTCAATTAGCATTAATGATATGTAGATTGAAGATCCTGTGAGGGAACTTTGATTTTGGCGCCCCCTGCAGACAAAACAGCCTTCTGGAGATGTTGTCATAGTCCTATATTTATTATTTATAGAGATCATCTTTGGTGGAACTGTTGAAAAAGGCTAACCCCCAATTTTCACCAGGTACGTAACGGCTACGAAGAGGCCGTATCCGCAAATCGTAGCTGATCGTAACCGTTCAAGTTAATGTGTCAATTTCCACCGGCTTCTTTCCGAGTCCGCGGCTGATCGCCAGAGTTCTATTTTTCTGGACGCCGGAGCATGCGGGATGAATTCAGCACAGATTAACCCGTGCTGGAAAGGAAGTCGGGCACAGACGCAAAATAAAACATCCGCCTTCTTTTCAAAATAAAACACTCCATGTTTCAGGAGGATCGTATTTCACACAATGCAAACAGTCGGGGATGAACAAGTGAAAGGTTTATAGATAGGATTTCACCCTGATGACAGCATGAGAAGATGAGGAGATGCTGATTTTAAAAGTCTAGAAGTAGAATCCGCGGGTTCTTGTGAGTTCTCACTATTCCCGCTGTCCGTAATCCGCCATGAAATTCGCCTCAAAATCGGATCAAGTAGGAAAAATCGGCACCGTTCCGGATCAGAACAGGTTTTTTTGGTGGAAATCTTGGGTGAATCAGCAATATGCACTTCATCACTTTGTCTGACACCTACCCCCCTGCACTGATCTCAGACATTCCTCACAGGAGCTTTAATATTGAATAAAAGACATTTTACGACACTGAGACCTTCACCACTTATTACACTAACTAAAATCTGAATAACTGTATTTTTAATCAATGTGTGACTGCAGCTATTATTCTTTCTATGATTTTGACAATGTTGATTTGTGTCATATTGTACTTTTTAAGCATTGTTGAAGATGGAAGTCAGGAACTGTAATCAAATTTTCCATTTTAAAAAGAAGAAATTTTCATCTTTTTAATCATTTCAGTCAAATTTGCTTCAAAATTTGTTGATTTTCACTTTCATATTTCAAATACAAAATAATCAAACATGGAGGATGTAATTAAAAGGATGTATGAGTTTTTTTCTGCTTCCTTCTTCTCGTCTCGTGTTTTTGCGTCCCGAGCCCGAGCTTCAGATCATTCCCTCGTCAGCACTCAGACGCTGTTTGTTGTGCGTCAACAGAACAACTCAGCTCCGTGTTCCTCCGTGAACCTCGTGCCGTCCGTGTTTGTGTGTGATTCTGAAGGGTCCGCAGACCTTCAGGAATGCTCCACTGTCCTGCTGCTCCCCCACTTTTCCCCCCATGTTCTCCTTCCTCCCTTCTCCCACCCTCTCCTCCTCCTCCTCCTCCTCCTATGAAGCAGCTCAGCGGCCCAGCAGGGGGGCCTCTCCACTAATTAGGGTCACTAATTGGGGGTTGGCCGGGGCAGAGACCCCTCCACACCTGCACGGTCATGTGACATTCAAAGAGGTGCGCAGGGTCAGGGGTCATGTGGTCGGGGGGGGGAGAGAGTGAAGAGAGGGAGGGTTTGGATTAGTTTGGCTGAGCAGACGAAGGGGGAAAGGGGTTAAAGGAGAGAAGAAAGAGCAAAACTACCCGTCTGTCAGGCATTATTCACCAAGTTTATGACCATAAACTTTAAAACCAATTTACTTTTATTCATTCTGGGAAAAAATCAGGAAATAAAACTCATCAGTAAAGTTTTATTC